TTTAGAGAAGGCTGTTATGAACTTTAAGAAAATACTGGGATATGACTACTCAGTGCCAAAAATCAATGTCCTACCATTGCAGAAAGATAATTTTATTTCATTTTCAATCAGTTTTTCCTTTAACAGAGTTGTAACCAGTGTTAGTCATATCAGAGGAGACCCAGTGAAACCCTTCAGCCTAATTTAGTCATGTCCATTAACTCCAGTGGGATACAAATGCTCCTCATTTCCAGCGCTTTGAAATGTTTACATTAGGAGTGAAGCTGACTGGACCAGAAGATCTCCTTCAGTTTTCATTGCACTTATAAAGCTATCAAGCTATTTTTGCTAGCTAAAAGCTAAAGTGGGGAGTTGCTTCTGCTCTTACAACCATGTTGTCCATGGTTTACCTGCCAGTACAGTTTACTGTCATCATGGTTTACTGTGCATTAGCCCTCTGTGCTCACTTTGCTTCTCCCGACTTGCGCTGGGAAGAGACAAGCCACAATTCCTAGCTTTGTGGTACATCTGAAGCGGGGATCATCATTTGTTTTCTTTAAACCACAGTTGGCAAGCCAAGAACAAAGTACATGTGCTTCCATATGAAAAGAATTACTTCTTACAGAGGGGGTTTTATGTGGCACCTGTAACAACGCCAGAACTCCAGAGCCAAGCAGTAGGGTGGGCACCTATGGGGTAAGGTGATCCTGCAAGTAAACTGGTCATTTACCAATAGCAACACCTTTATTTATGACTTACTGTGATGTGTGAACATGGCCATTCTCCATTTACTCTCTTGGACAGAAGGGGAGCAAACCTTTTCACAGAGCAGTGAGATTTCCTTCATGCCAGTCGGTAGTCTCACCCCTCGAATGCTTTCCATTCAGATTCTGCTCCGACATGCCAGCTGCTGTTTGTAATTCTGGCCTCTGTCAGCTTTTACAGCATTGTAATTTCCACTCTGTAAGTGTTACTTCTGGTGTCGGTGCTCAGTAGCCTTCCCACTCTTCCCCCAATGACTGAGCAGTTTGTGGTCAGGTTCACCGCTTCCTCATACCAGTAATCAATTGACTTAAGAGTCATTTCCATCTTGAGGAGCATGACAAAGAATGAGTTATGGGTCAGTTCTTTTCAAATCAGACAGGTTCTGAGCCACTAGAGTATGCCTATTTTCATCTAGATAAAAAAAGAAGAGCCCGTTCACAGGACATGAGTTGACATTGATCCTTGGCTGCCTCTGCCAGTGACGGTTATGTGTACGCTAGATCAGCATTAGCAGAGTATTTCACCTTGGATATTTTCACACAGAACATGCTCTGTTTCAGTTCTATAAAAGGCTACCTCATATTCTTACTGTTTGCATGCAGCAATTGAGGGCTATGTTTGATCAGGTACCTCAGCTTCTTTTGTAAATGGGGAGAAATGTTTTGCGACAGCAAGACTGAGGGAAATGGGGCTTTTCATCCTTTCTCATCCATTGATTTCCCTGTTAAAATGCCCCCCACACACATTGCTAACAGCCTTGCTGGGGTGGGGCAGTAAGACAGGTACAAAACAGTCACTTGTCTTCTTTTTTAAAATGAAGGTGTAGGCAATTATTTTGATCAGGAAAATAGCACAGTGGGGAAGAGTAAAACATCACCACCCTCTTCCCTGTTGCCCATTTCTGCAGCTGTTTTAAAACAACTAAACTGGGCTCCGTTCCAAGTGCTGGTGCTTGCCTTTGTAGCCCTCTACATCATAGAAGCCAAGTAGCTGCTGGTTCATCTCCTCTCCTGTCACTTAACCCATGCACATATATCTACACCTAAGAGCATTCTCCAAATCCCTGGTTGAGTGGCAGCCAGGAACAGAGCCTTTTCCACGGTGGCACCCCACCTGCAGATGGCCCTTCTTTGACAGGCTTGCCTGACATTCACTTTTCTATCAGTTCAAGTCCTTTTAAAAAAAATTGCAGGGGATTTTTGATAGTGCTAACTTTTCTCCATTTCATTTCTTTTAAGATAATGTGGGTTTTTAAGAATTTAGAGTTTTACCTTGACACACGCTCTTGTTTTTTATATTTTGTAATCTCCACAGTTTTTCTTCTTTTGTAAACTGCCCTCGGGAATGCCAAGTGGCTATTGAAGGGCACGTTATACATTTCAGGAAAGAATGAATAAGTTTTTAAAGCCCAGTGGGAGATCCAGTTACACGTTGTTTGGTCCAAAGAGAAATCTGCAAGTCAGCTTCCTGCCTCTTAGTTTGACACTCTAGCATTAAACAAGCAGGGGCAAGATCATTCTGAATGGGCCGCCTGAGATTGTATTTCTTTTTGTGTCTGTGATAATATATATGTGGCAAGCAGGAAGATAAACCTAGGAGCTGAGCTGTCACAGTTCTGATGTCATTTTTGTGGGGGAAACACCGTGTTTCAGTGCCCAAAGAATTGCTTTCTGCTCTCTGGAAGGTCACCTCTGTGCCTGATGTAGAATGGCTAAATGCCCTGTAATCAAAAGCACTTTATTTGTCTTTATTTGAAAGTAGCTCACTGACTCCTGTCAACTCTTTCAACCTGTTTTATAGGACTCTTGGTCACATCCCCATCATACATTTACAGCACTCTTATGCCACTTTTAACATTCATGGAGAATCCTGGGAACTGTAGTTTGTCAAGAATGCTGCCCTCACAGAGCTCCATTTTCTACCACGCTTAACAAACTACAGTTTCCAGAATTCTCCAGAGCTGTTAGGACTGCTATAATAAGTGGATGTGACTTTAGCCTGTGAATGGACAGACCTAGAAACAGGGATGGAAGAAGAATTAATTTGGTTTGCATTTTGATATGAACCTACCCAGTTTACACGGGTCTCCTTCAAAATCCACAGTTCTCTGAATTTTTCAGCGCAGATACCAAAACGCACGTACTATTAGTGGAAAGGCAAATGCTTAGAAAAACTAGCATATTTCAGGAAATGAAGATGAAAATGTTTATGAATTTTCATCCAGACTCTTTTTTTTTAATGCAAACATCGGGAAATGGGAGAAACCTGAGACTGGAAAAGTGAGAAAAGTTGACAGATTTGTCTTTCTCTACCTTGAAAACAGGGTAGGCCACTCCCTTTTCCTACTGCTCACACACACCTCCTGGCCTCCATATTTACAAGCCGTTTAACAGACTTCCTAGCTGGCAAATCGAACACCAAATCACTCTGCTATTTTGCCCACCCTTTCTCTCCTTCTCCAAAAAGAATGGTAGAAATCAATGTTTTATAAACTTTTCCTAAAAGCTTCCATGAAGCGGGGGGGGGGGGGAGTGAGGAAGTTGTGACCCAGGGGCATAATAGGGCGGGGGAACCAGTTAGCACCCACCCTCTGTAGCTAGGTTCCTTGGAAACAGGAAGAGCTGGTTGATTTTCCCAGAGGTTGAGCCTAAGGAAAATGCTGTATGTATACAATGCAGTGAGCGCACTTTTCCAGCAACCTCACCTCTCAGGTTACATACATCTGTACGCAGCATTAGTCATTTTGTGAGGCACCTTGAGAGGCCTTCGTTGGATTAAAGGCAGGATAAAAGTTTCTAAACCAACTGATAAATTACAAAGAAGGTTCCTGATGCTGTCATGCTGAGCAGTGTACTTTGCGCAAGCACTGTGTGTGGGTGCCCTACTCTACTCCACCCCACCTCCTTGATGAAAGCTGCAAATAAATACTTAGATATTGTTTTTGATTTAATTGGTGAGGTAACAGATGGAACAAATGGTTGGGAATGCTCTGTGGGGAAAATTCCTTTGTGGATTAGGAGGGTTAACTAGATAGCTGAACATAGAAGGGAAATGGGTGCGGAGGGAACAGCGCACGTTGCTTTTTATGGGCTGCCTGTGCAAAACACACCTTGCTTGTGGCAAAATGGAAACAGATGTTACACTTTTGATGAGCGGAGTTGAAAGTGTACATGTTGAAAGCCTGGCAGAGGGAGCTCCACTTGCAAATCCTATTATTTGCAATGATTTCTAACAGGATTTGTCTTTCCTGCTCTTCTTCCCCGCTCCGAACGCATCAATCTGAAAATGCCTTTCATGATGTCATCCGCTTTTCTTAATACCCAGTTCATTTTTCTTTCCCTCTATCACATCTGTGCCCCCCCCCTTTCTGATCTGAACTTTAAAGGGTAGGAAGAAGTCTATCCTCTTAGCCCCACGGATCAATTGCTCAAAGGGGAAGCATATTTTTCTAGCATAAAACAAACTGAATTGGATTTGAGAATATGTTTCTTTAAAATATACACTTGGCATCTGTAAGCCTATCAGCAAGGGCAGTTTCATTCTTTCGGTGGAACGAAACAAATCAGTCTTGGTGTTTCTAGTTCTGAGGCAGTGCTCTGGTAAGAGAAGCGATAATAATGATAATTAATAGGGGAAAGTTTCTACTATACTCTCCTTCTTGAGTTTGACCAAGAAATACATACCACCAGAGGCCAGGTAAACAAAAGAAGGCTCGCTCATCAGTGACTGGAGAGTTAGAAATTATATTTAGTGGTGACCCAGAGCACATCATTTCACTATTCCCCATGTAAGTGAATGATTTCTTACAATGGAAAACAAAATACTGCAGTTGGGGACAGTTTTGTGTGGGCCAGCTATTGAGTGCACGACTCAGGCAGTATTTTAAGTAGGAACTCACAGCACACATCCTTAACCACTTCAATTCTAAGTGGGTTTTTAAAAAGATAAATCCTGGTGTATCTACAGAAGTGCTGTTTATTTCAAATGTGGTTCTTTCTACCTGCAGAACATACAGGCTGCCAATCTGGATGCAAAGGCCCCAAATCCTAATCATATGTTACTTGAAAGTAGTTCCCATTGACATCAAAGAAAGCTTACTTCCCAGTTTGAAGCTAAGTGTAGAGTTTTAAGAAGAAATATTTTGGAAGTGAATAAGATTCCTAACTTTCTTCCTAACTTTCTAGGGCACTTTGAAATATATTTGGCCCAGATAACAACCACATGAGGTCTAATGGGACTTCCCTTTCTCTCTGAAGGCCATTCATGCTTCTTCCCCCACTGATGGAATGGATGCGAGTGGCTATAACGTATGCTGAGCACCGGAGGAGTTTAACAGTGGACAGCGATGATATAAGGCAGACGGCCAGGCTACTCTTACCTGGCTTGGACTGTGAACCTCGGCAGCTGAAGTAAGTATTGTGCTTTTATTGTTTGACTAAAAACAATCCAAAAAGCTCTGCTAAATTTAATCACTGGGTATTCTTGTGCAGCTTGTAGGTTTCAGACAATTTTTACACACACATGCAGAGGAAGACTGAAATTTGTCCAATGTTGCAGTGTGTGTGTGTGTGTGTGTGTGTGTGTGTGTGTGTGTGTGTACCTAAACTTCAGGGTCATTCTTTGCCATTAAGAATCATTTCACACTAGCCAAATACCGTACACAATGGGCAGAGAACCTTTTACCTTTGAGGGGCATATTCCCTTAGGAAAGTTTTTGGACTCTTAACTATTATCTGTCCTGGCCAGCAGAGCCAATGGTGAGGGGTGAGGGGAACTGGGGTCTTCCAAGAACTGGAGATTGGCTACTCCTCCTAAGAGATAATATTTTCTGAGACAGAATCAAAAGTGGTTGCCCCCTTTTCAGGTGTGTAAACTGTGATCTGTGTAAACTGGGCAGACATTTAACCAATGGGCTTGCCTGTCCCTGTCATGTCAGTGGCACTTATTTTGAGTAAATACACAAAGGATTGGTAGCAAAAATCCCAAACTCGGAAACTACAGCAATGGCTCAAAACTTCTCATGCTCTTCCATCTACCTACTTTTATCATGGACTGGATTGAGATGGGTAGATGATCAGATTTGGCACATGCATGACTTTGGCAGAGAATGCACACACTGGGAACTGGGAACTGGGCCCCGGTGTCCCAGTGCATGTGCCACATATAAATGAAAATATCTGGCCCTTGGATCTCTTCTCAGCCTCTGCAGCCACACTCCCAGGCCGCAGCCCTCTTCCTGCCCTGCTTTGCGCCATCCTGGAATGTTTTTGCCTGCCTGGAATGTGTCTTTGAACTCTAAAGATGCTTCTTACTTGCCTGAATGGAGACTAAAAGGGTTGTGCAGGAGTACGGGGAGAGCAGCCTGCTGCACAAAGGAAACCCAGCCAGATGGGCGGGGTATAAATAATGAATTTTTATTTTTATTTTTTTATTTTTATTATTATTATTATTATTATTATTATTATTATTATTATTATCATCATCCACATTTGTTGCTCTGTCCACCTTTGCCCCTTGCCCTGCTCAGTGCTGGCATGTGGCCCCCAGGAAGTTGCCCAGAAGGGGATTCGGCCCTCGGCCTGAACATGGTTTCCCACTCCTTCTCTTGCAGACTGTAGATAAACTCATCGTAAACAGCCATCTGTGTTTCAGACACTATTTATACTCTGGCAGTTTTGCAGGTGCTGGCAGTGGTCCTGGCATCACACAACTGCCACAATCATCTTTAAATACGAAAAATATTTAGATTGTATAGAAATCTAAATATTGCTATACAGTGATTTTGATGATGAGATTAATTCCACTATTTATTGCTGCTCAGCGCAGTGTTTGTTGCTGATTATAAATACATCTTATGCACGAAGGAAGGGTTTTATTTATCTCACAACCTTCTATTGGATGCTGATGCTGAGTCCCTGCTTGGCTTTGGACAAGTCATCAAACATCCTCCAGTGTGACCATTTGTAAATCTCGTAAAAGGTTTAGTATTCATTATGAGAAGAAAGGTACTGCAAAGATTAATCGCGCTTTTTTTATTGAACATTAAGATAGTTAGATGAAATGCACTGGGGAAAATATTAGCATTTCCCTTAGGTAGTCAGATGAATGAATTGCTCAAAAGTCACTGCAAGATTTCTTTCTTAGTCAAGCTAACATTAATCTCAGAAAGAGAGAGAGATTGTGAATTTAATAGAGTGCTATATTTTATGGAACAAATTCTTTAATAGGAAATTGAAACTAAAAATAGAATAAAATATCACACAGCGAGATTTCTAAAGCCCCTCTGCCCAACAGTAGACCTTAATGCATCTTCACAAACATCCTGTAAGGTAGTAAAAAATAAAATAAAAGCAGGAAACTTGCAACAAATAATAGAACACGCTTATTGATGTGGCTGTCAACTTGCTGAAACTAAGCAGCTCCTAGTCTGGTCGGTGCTTGGCTGGGAAACTGCTGGAGAACGGCATGTGTGCTGCTGTGGATTCTATGATGGAAAAAAGGTGGGCTAAAAATACAAGAAAATATATAAATGACAGCTCAGATGGCTTCATAAAGATCCTTCTTTCTCACCGTGCGACCTTACTCGTTAATTTCAGTTTAACGGGCCCAGTTTGCCTACACGGAAGACTGCATCAAATGAATGTGCTGGCCATCATGCAAGAGAACTGTCACATGGTCCAGTGTGTTAGATCTAGTCTAAAAAGGGCAACAGCATGCTATAGACTACATTGTAAATCTTTGGGCCGCAGATGGTTAGTGCCATTTTTTATTGCTTCAGCATGTAAAAAAAAAAAATCTTGCAAGTACAAAACTAGCATTCTGGAATGAGACATTATAGGTAAGCTTGCTCACTAATGCCAGTTTTCTAAGAGTATGGAGCTTTCATATGGGGGAGCATTCAGAAATATGATTCCCACCTACCAATGTGTCCCTCTGTGAAAGTTCAGAACAGCGCAAGGATTTATGCTTGCACAACACCACATTCCCTCCCCCCACCTCACCTTCTCCACACCTCTTCTAAATATGTTCTAGGGGTTCCCACAACCCTCTGGAGCTGATATGGGGAAGATGTGTGAAATGCATAGGGGGAGCAGGGGGAAAGTCCTATTATTCAAGGAGATGGGATGGGGTAGTTGAGTACTGTTCCATATAGTACAGGAATGAGACAACTCTGATTTTCATTAGGTCATAAGGCCCTGCTTGATTTTATTAGAAGGGGTAGCTTTTTATTTGAAAGAAAATGAATTGTATCTTAAAAAGCTTTTTCCTGGTTGTGTGAAAATATTTTTGTGTGAAAATGTTTTTCCTCAGCTATCTGCAAACAAATAATTGGGGTTCTGGTGTGGGGTGTGTGGGTGTAAACATTATAATACAAACAAAAATAAGTACAGACATCTTGTAGTAATGGGCTGTAGCTCTGTGGTCAGGGAAAGTGGGCAAAAGGATTAGTCTTTACAAGACATCTTAAGCAACTGACAAGTGATGTTTCACATATGGCAGAGGGAAGGGCATTTCAGAATGCAGGGGCAGTAGTGGACAGATTACTCCTGAGGCAATGTGGCGCTCAAAAGGGGAAAAGAGGTCGCCAACCACCTCTATTGATCTTCCCGAGCCGGGTCAAACCAAGGCCTGCTGAAATTCAGGACTATAAATAATCATAATGGTAATAATACAACCCCCTTTAATATTAATAATATGGCCCTCTTTAAAACCAGTAACACACAGCTTAAAATTGCAGCTATATTTTCTGGCTATGTGTCCCCCACAGGCCTGAATGCTGCTTCAGTTCCTTCCGGAGAATGGATGCAAAGGCCGCCACTGAAAAATTCCAGCAGGATTTGGGGTTTCGAATGCTGAACTGTGGAAGGACTGACTTAATCAACCAAGCTATAGAAGCATTGGGTCCGGAAGGGGTCAATACAATGGACGATCAGGTATGTAGAAGGACGGGGTGTGGGTGTGAGGGTGTATCTAAAATTAATTAGGCAGATCAGTATACAAAGCACTTACTGAGATAGCTCAGACACTGTCTCTTCCAGCTCTGCAACCCTATGATTCTAAGTTCATGAGAACTGATACTCTTCCTTCCTGTTTCTGCCCACCATTATCACATTCTGGGGATTGGCGGACAGAGGCAATTTCATGGGCAGCAGCAACTAAGTAAAATTTCTCATGGGGCAACACAGCAGCAACAAGAACATCAGCAGGCACACACCCCTCACTCCACGGATGTTCTTTGGAGGTTGTCAACCATTATGGACGTGTTGACAAAGGGAAGGCAAAATGGCTGTATCCTGCTGCCATTTCAGCGGCTCCAGTTGGTTGTGTGAAGAGGGGAGCCTATTCTTATTGCAGAGTTCTCCCAAGTAGGGCCAGCTCCCTAGTGCAGACCAACTCATGGGGGGTGATGAGGATGGGCAGTGACAATGGGGCAGGGGAACAGACCTAGCATGCTCATCCCTCTCTCCCTTATGCGATTCTCTCTCATGCAGTTAGTATTCCCAGATAAGGTTCAAAAGTGTGCCTATAAACTCCATGTGAGAATCTGAATCACAGGCTTTTTGATGGCCATTGCTTTTGGGCATAGCAATCGAAGTTTGCTGACCACACGTTTTGTCCTTAAAGGGTATGACTCCACTCATGTATGCCTGTTCTGCTGGTGATGAAGCCATGGTCCAGATGCTGATCGATGCTGGTGCAAATCTAGATATACCAGTAAGTAAAGACTGAACCCAGGGACGCTGCCAGTTTAAGTTCTGACCAAGAACCATTGCTTATTATCCCTCAGAAACAGTGTCTTGTTTTGGGACGATTGCATGTACTGAAGGCCATTCTGAGAGAGAGAGATTTCCTTCTCTGAAAAATAATTGTTATGGATTCTAGAGCAATAAAGCTTAAATCACCTTCAAAGCTTGCCACAGATGAGATCATGATTAACAGTGGCATAGTAATGGGGAAATAGAGGGAGTAAATGTTTCCTCCCTGCAAAAGCAGCCTCTGAAGGAAACCAGTAGATGCAGTAGAAGAACCCAAGGGATTGAATACACTGATTGGTGTTGGCAGTACTTTCTGAGTTGTGTCAGCCTGTCACTCCCGGGGGCCGTAATTTTACTAGGGAAGTGCCACTCCCAGGCATTTCTAAGGGGAGAAGAAAGCTGGCAGTGGCTAAACATTCTTTCAATTTTTCCTAGGTCCCTGGTAGTTCCTCCCGATACCCATCAGTTCATCCTGATAGCCGGCACTGGACTGCACTCACCTTTGCTGTGTTACATGGACATATCTCTGTAGTTCAGGTGAGCAAAAGACAAGTTGTCAGTCTGCAGTTTGAAATAACAAGAAACAAAATGGAGATGCAGGGCATGCAAGTTCAGAAACTAGTTGCTTTTGGAACACATATCTATCCTGTAAGATGATGATGATGATGATGATCATAGAATCATAGAATCATAGAATTGGAAGAGACCACAAGGGCCATCGAGTCCAACCCCCTGCCAAGCAGGAAACACCATCAGAGCACTCCTGACATATGGTTGTCAAGCCTCTGCTTAAAGACCTCCAAAGAAGGAGACTCCACCACACTCCTTGGCAGCAAATTCCACTGTCGAACAGCTCTTACTGTCAGGAAGTTCTTCCTAATGTTTAGGTGGAATCTTCTTTCTTGTAGTTTGGATCCATTGCTCCGTGTCCGCTTCTCTGGAGCAGCAGAAAACAGCCTTTCTCCCTCCTCTATGTGACATCCTATGTGACCATGATGATGATGATGATGATGATCAACAAAAAACACAAACAGGATAGAGCATAGTTTTTTAAAAAATAACAACAGTACCAGGTCATCACACAAATAACAACATATAATAAACTTACATACTCCTAAAAAGACTTCATGTGATCATTATATTTTGTCTACATATTACATTTATAATATACTTAATAGTGTATGTGGTTGAATATTTCCTTGCATTGTATTACATTACGAACACACTCCATTTTTCAATAACCAAGTTATTGACTTGAAGACCTTCCCTTACCCTCAGGATATTAGTCAATTTTACTACATTCATTAACTCCCCAAACCTCAAAATCCATTCATCCAAGGTAGAACTTCTTACTTTTCCCCAGTTATGACAGATTATCATATGTCTCTCTGTTAAAAAATAGATTACAATTTCTTTGTCTTTCCAGAATATTAAATCTTTCACATAACCCAACAGTAATTAGGACTGGATCTGCGGACAGATCTACAGTATTATAAGTTGACTTGATTTTTCAGCTCAACACATGATCTTTGGCATCTCCAACAAATATACCACACTAATAAACTTATATCAGTTTTGTATTACTTCCCAGCTTTCCAGAAGGAAGGAAAATTCAGCAAGTCTGCAGTGCTGATATGCTATGTCTGCAGTATAAATATGGCATAACATTTGTTCATGCAATGTTTTGCTCCTCATTATTTGCTTATCTGAATGTTTTAAAAGTTTTCATGGACCAGTTGCAAAGGTACCATCATGATATATTTCCAAGGGATCTGCCCACAATATGATCGTTTTAAGATCAGGATTGATCACATGCTTAGTTACGGCAGGACAATAGAGACATCTGGAAATCCAGATCCTCTTGCTGTTATTAATTATATCTGGATACGGGAAGAATAAGTGTAAAATCATTTGTGCATTTATAAAATGGTGGCATCGCACTGGTTATGCTTCTCCAGGCTCTTCCAGTAGTTCTAGCAGAATTGACCTTTACATGGAGAAGAGAAGTCTAAAAGTTTCCTCCCTCTTCCCAAGTAATAAAAGGAATGCCTGCAGTATGATCCTAAGTGGGTCTAGTTGGAAGTGTATGTAGAATTTCAATTTACAGCACAATTCCATACATGTCTACCCAGAAGTAGGTCCCATTGAGTTCAGTGGGGCTTACTCCCAGGTAAGAGTGCCTCCACACTGAATAAGGAATGATGCTCCATTTATAACTAGCTTTTATTTGTTTAATTTCTTCTACGAAGATAATGAGGAGGCAATATGAACAGATATCTTGATAAGTATATTTGGTAGCTAGAATGTGTCTACATATTAAAAATTAGATTAATGAAATCTAACAATATATCCAGAAGTTGCAAAGCAACATGTTTGAAATGTTTCTTTAATATGTCATTGGGAAAACCAGTGTTGGTCATTCCTTACACTCCCAAACACGTTAGCTGCTGCCTTGTGCATGTCCTCTTTCTGCTTATATTGTCTGTGTTGTGGTCAAAGGCTTTGTAGAATTTGGGTCCGGTGATGGATTTTGGGCTCTTGAAATACTGCTATCTTCTCCCTTTAATGTCAATAGGAATTTAAAATGAACAACAGCAAGTAGTCAGTCAAGGGTAGAGATTTTCCTGTTTGTGCTATTTCTGTTCACATAAGTTAGCAAGCAATTGTGGACAGAGTTCATTCAATTTCGAATTATACATAAATGCAAATGTCCATGCAAATGAGATTTTGCCTTCAAAGACTTGGAACATTGCCAGTGCACTCTTTAGTATTGCAAAGGCCGGGCACACTTAATTTACACATGCAATGATAATAAGCGTGTTTTGCCCCAGAGACACCGCTGAGAATCCTGTCAACAGAACCTTTCAGAAGAAATGAAGCCTTGGGCTTTCTAAGCCATGTTTTTGTTAACTGCAATTAATGTTTACTCACTCCCTGTTGTTCAGTGGTAAACATTTAATCTTTGGAAGCTCTGTTTTTCAGGTGTCTCCAGTGACCCATGGGAATTAATTGTAGGACCAATTCTGATATAATAATAATAATAATAATAATAATAATAATAATAATAATATTTATACTCTGCCCATCTGGCTTGGTTTCCCCAGACACTCTGGGCAACTCCCAACAGAATATTAAAAACACAATAAAAGATCAAACATTAAAAACTTCCCTAAACAGGGCTGCCTTCAGATGTCTTCTAAAAGTCAGATAGTTGTTTATTTCCTTGATATCAGAGTAAACACAATGTGGGCAGATCCTATGGACACACATGCTTGGATTACTCAGTGGTAGTTGTGTAACTGACAATGCAGCTTTGAGGAACATTCAGAAGTACAAATCAAAATGCTCCTTTTAATGACAGCATTCCCTTTTTCATATTTTTGTAATGTTTCATTGAAGAACGTTCACACTGAGACCTTTAGAGCCGGTAAACATAAGTAATCTTGAAGGAGTTTTCCGCACAGCATTCTCCAATAAGAAGAGAGGTGGATGCTATGAGCCTAGTACAGTGGACCCTCCGGATACGAACTAAATGCATTCCGGGGGTCCGTTCGAACCCCAAAAATACAGTGGTGCCCCGCAAGACGAATGCCTCGCAAGACGGAAAACCCGCTAGACGAAAGGGTTTTCCGTCGCGGAGGCGCTTCGCAAGACAAAGTTCCCTATGGGCTTGCTTCGCAAGACAAAAACGTCTTGCGAGTCTTGCCATTCCCCCCCCGCTCCCCCCCTTTTTCAAAGCGGCTAAGCTGTTAATAGCCTTTTAACAGCTTAGCCGCTAAGCCCGCTAAGCCGCTAATAGCGCTAAATCGCTAATAGCGCTAATTTGCTTAGCCGCCAATGGGGTTGCTTTGCAAGACGAAAAAAACCGCTAGAAGAAAAGAATCGCGGAACGGATTCTTTTCGTCTTGCGAGGCACCACTGTAACATAAATAGAGGTGTGGTTCTGCACACACACACCACGTTTGAGCACTTCTGCGCATGTGCATATGGCAAAACCCGGAAGTATACACTTCGGGTTTGCCATGGCCGTAACCCGAAGATTCCATATCCAGAGGGATACGTAAGTAGAGGTACGATTGTAGTGGATTTCCGCCGAGGGAGGTTACTCTTGTACTTTTTCTGTTGCTCTGTTTCTTGAGTTGTTTGTTCCTACTCTGCATTTGCAGTTGCTCCTGGATGCTGGAGCCCACGTCGAAGGCTCTGCTGTGAACAGTGGAGAGGACAACTATGCAGAGACCCCACTCCAGCTGGCTTCAGCAGCAGGCAAGTCTGAGCAAGCGTTGCATTTTCACTCCCCAGAAGCAGGGATTTGCTCTCTTAATGCGCAGTAGGTGTCAAAACACATAAAAGTGGGAAGAAGCAATGTTTTCAAAACTGCCAAACGCATCTGTTCCCACACCCTTCAATATTTTTAAGCTGACAGCTGCTGTCAGGCAATTGCTGACTGAGCATTTGGTGTGCACAGTGGGGCACTGGGATGATGTGTAAGTTGCACCACGTGTAGAAGGCTGTGTGTGACCCAAGTGGAGGCATGTCTTCTGGTCTTCTTCATCCTATTTCAGGTGGAATGGTCATAGGTGTCTGCTGTACAAATGCACAAAGTTGTATACTCATTTCCTAGACTGCACATTCTCTTGTACACTCAGTGGGACGTGCCCCACCCTACGTACAGGATACTCTGCTCACCCTATGTGTGTTCTTTTATACCTGGATTGTTTCTCAACTGTGTGTCTTTTACTGTACAGCATTTTAATGTGTGGTGTGCATCAGTTAACCTATAACCCATTTTCTCTAATACATAAATCAGATGGTTTCTATACAGTATAGTATATCCTTTGAAAATACCAATAAAGGTAAAATGGTTTGTCTTTCTAGGCAATTATGAGCTAGTCAGCTTGCTGCTGAGCCGGGGAGCAGATCCTCTTCTCAGCATGCTGGAAGCCAATGGCATGTCCTCATCGCTTCACGAGGACATGAATTGCTTTAGCCACGCCGCTGCACATGGACACAGGTAAACCTCATGAACAGGCACTCGTTTGCAGACACTGATGCTTAAAATGCCAGGTTAACAGCAATGGACTGCACTTCAAGGTGGTCGTACACTATCTCCCCTCTCCCTCCAGCAATATGGGTATAACAAGACCAGGGGCATTTTGCAGGGCTAGCATAACCCACACTCTCTTAGCCACTGCTCTGCTCTCTTCAGTATAGGCATCATAAGGATGAACTTCACTGGCATTGACAGTCAGGGACTGGGCAGAGGAGGAACGGTGGAGACCGCCTCCCCATCCCTACCCTTCCAGGGAGGAGGAAGACAGAAAAGATGTACGACAGGGGTTTGAGGAAGGTAGCAGATGAGGGGGGAAGTTGGGAAATCATGGGAGAGCCAGAACAACACCCAGCTGACATGTTGTCATTAGACAGCATTCCAGCCCCTCCATCTCCCAGAACCCAGAGAGCCTTGAAAGTAGGAGAGCAAAGAACTCAGAGGCAGAGGGCACATAGCAGCACCTATAGAGGAGATGATGAGAATGACGAGTGAGGAGGTGGGAGAGACGGAGGGTGGCGATTCACTTGGGACAACGCCATTATCCAAGAGGCTGGGCTCAATAGCCTCTCTCTGTAAATACTGAATAAAAAAGGACGGTAAGAAATCTTCCTTTGTCTTTATACTTTCCTGGGCAACAGCCGGGAGTTGCTGACAGCATCCTGACATTGACATTAACAGAGTAATTTTTTAAAAGTTTACAAACACAGAAGAAAACAACATTTTTGTATGACATAAGTCCTAAGTTAGGAAGATCATGAGCTCATGTCTCTGCTGCTATCTTTTGCTTTTAACTTCATTCTCCCAATCACACCTATGCTAAAATCATGGGTACCTGAACTACGGAGCATCAATTACTTCTTCACTAGGGAAAAGCAGCAGAAAATTTCACTATCTGTTGCTTCTTTCTGGAAAAAATGCACAAGGAGAGCATACAGGACAGATAAATTTGTGCCCTCTGCAGTCATACAGAAAACGTCATGTGCCCAGCTTGTGCGCAGAGAGAACAGCGGCAAGCAGTAATTTAGATCAACCACTAACAGTTGGTGTGGCTGTCGTGTAAATTTGTGTGGTGCAGTGGAATGTGGACCTGCTGAGCTATGCAGCTCATGGGGTGGTTGTAGATTGTTAGGATGGTAAAGGAAGATGAACCCATGTAAGCTTCTCTTGCTCTTTGGAGGAAGAAGGGGATACAAATTGGGGTAGGTGGGTGGGAAACACAGATAGCCTATCGACAAAACAAAGTATGCAAGCACTGAAAGGATTTAATGTTGAATTCTGCTTTTATATTTATCCTGCTGATATGAAAAGGCACTTTGCCATCTTTAAAGCATATCTGTGGAGATAAGGGTCTATTAACCCAAACTTCTCGCATAACCTGGAATGAGCTTATACTTTAGCCCTCTTCAGGCAATACCTGTACATGTTAAGTAAAGAGGTAAGGGGGCAATGAGCATGCTAGCTCTGCCACCGCCACTCCAGTTGCCATTGGGATCACCTTCCACAAGCAGGGGGGCAATCTTTTGAAGTGGGGAGACTTCTGTACCCATGGAGTACATTCTTGTGTGTTTTAGAATACAGTGGTACCTTAGGTTACAGACGCTTCACGTTACAGACTCCACTAACCCAGAAACAGTACCTCAGGTTAAGAACTTTGCTTCAGGATGAGAACTGAAATCGCGTGGCGACAGCAGGAGGCCCCATTAGCTAAAGTGGTACCTCAGGTTAAGAACAGTTTCAGGTTAAGTACGGACCTCTGGAACGAACTAAGTTCTTAACCTGAGGTACCACTGTAATGGGGTTTTCAAGATCTGTGTGGAGCCTCCATGGGTACAGGAAGCTCTCTTCTTCAGACAGTCACTCTGCAACTTGTGGAGGGACACAGGTTCGATGGGGAATATTGCTATAGCACACTCATCTCTCATGCCCCACCCTCCACACCCCATGTTTAACAAACACAGGATCTGAACACCTGAAGAGAAGCCATTGGGATACCACATCCATCTCTCGTTTTTCTTTATTGCAGAAATGTTCTGCGCAAGCTCTTGACCCAGCCGCAGCAGTCCAAGGGAGATGTCCTCTCGCTGGAAGAGATTTTAGCAGAGGGCGTGGACAGTGACACCTCCAGCCAAGGAAGCTCCAACGAGGGCCAGGTTAAGCTATGCAAAGCCAGGATGAAGGCTTTGCAAGAGGCCATGTACTACAGTGCTGAGCATGGCTACGTCGACATCACAATGGAGCTCAGAACGCTTGGTAAGGGGAGCTCATTTCCGGACACATTGCTTTCAAGAATAACAAGGCCTGTGATTTTAAGATATGGGAGCATTCCCACTGTTTGTTTGTTTGTTTGTTTGTTTGTTTGTTTGTTTGTTTGTTTGTAAGAGGTGTTTTAGTACATCTTATATAATGGGTGAGATTCAACCGCTGAGTCCCATCAGCATAAGCCCTGAACAAGGACCTCTGTTTACAGATGGGGTGCCCCCTTCTTGTCCTCCCCTGTATGCCCCTGCACTCCCGAAATTGGATCTGAGGGGTAGGGTTAAAACAGCATGTGAGGGATCGCTCTATCTGGCAAGCCAAAATGCTTGCACCACTGGAACGAGTGCAGCGTTAAATTCCTCTAAATATGTTTCTAGAATACATTACATAAAACTTTAATAAGTTAGCACCTGCCTGAAAGCTTACATTCTAAAAGGCAAGACAACAGAAGTAGTGGAGAGAGGAAATATTTGCATTTCTGTGTTTATCCATATTTTATTTATTAATTATAGTGTTTCTGAAGTAGAAAGAGGGCCCTCCTTACTGTTGGGAGTAACACATGAGAATTGCAAAGTAACAGAACGTTGCCCTGTGATTTCTCAACTTTTAACATTTGTTTGCACATTCTAAAAGCAGAGCAAATAAATAAATACAGATCTCCAAGATTTTTTTAAATCGTTTCACATCTGTTCCTAATTTGATCCATGCCAAAGAACTCACTGTGTTTGTTGTAAACATCTAGTTGCAGCAATGTTCAATTTTAGAAACAATGTATAGGACATGGGTAGCTAACCTTGGGTCCGTGAACTGGATGCGGCCCAATCGCCTTCTCAGTCCAGCCTGCGGACGGTCCGGGAATCAGCATGTTTTTACATGAGTAGAATGTGTGCTTTTATTTAAAATGCATCTCTGGGTTATTTGTGGTGCATAGGAATTTGTTCTTTTTTCCCCTTCAAAATATAGTCCAGCCCCCTGCAAGGTCTGGTTGACAGTGGACCGGCCCAGTGAGCCTCTTGGGCTTGCCAATCAGAAGGTCGGCGGTTCGAATCCCCACAATGGGGTGAGCTCCCATTGTTTGGTCCCTGCTTCTGCCAACCTAGCAGTTCGAAAGCATGCCAAAAAGTGCAAGTAGATAAATAGGTACCACTCCGGCAGGAAGTATACAACCCACTATGTCTATCATACCTTGCAAGTAAATTCCCCAGAGACATCTGGTTAGAATATTGAGAAGAATCATTTGGTTTGATTCAGTAAAAAAAAAAAGAAAATGTGTATATTTTCTGCCTTTTCTTTTGCTGCCATCAATTCAGAGCTTTCTCCATGGTAAAATAATCACTTTTGCTTTCTAATGAATGGCCACAGGAATCCCATGGAAGCTCCACGTGTGGATTGAGTCACTCCAAACAACTTTTTATCAGTCTCGTTACTCAGTAGTGCAGAATCTTCTACGGGAATTCGTCACCATTAAAGAAGAAGACTACAATGAAGAGCTGGTTAATGATGGACTGCAGCTGATGTTTGAAATCCTCAGAACCAGCAAAGTAATCAGTTTCAAAACTATATTCAGATATGCATTGTTTGGCTCAAGAAAATCTTCGGCTCCTTCCAAGGGCTCTGTAGTTTGTTTGGGCGGAATCAGTGACGTGTGAGGATCCCAGTTAATTCTGGAAGCAGGGGACAATACCATGCTGTGTTTACTTGAGCCTGATTAACACAATTTTGCCAGGGATCAAATGTAAAAGGTCTCAACAAAGTCTCCATCTAAGCAGAGACCCTCCTTCTAATAGTAATTGAGATACCTGTAGTGAGTTTGCTCTAAAAGGATTTCGTTAAAACACACACACACACACACACACACACACACACACACAATTTAGCTAAAATACTTTTATTCTAGGGATGCGGGTGGCGCTGTGGGTAAAAGCCTCAGCGCCTAGGACTTGCCGATCGAAAGGTCGGCGGTTCGAATCCCCGTGGCGGGGTGCGCTCCCGTCGTTCGGTCCCAGCGCCTGCCAACCTAGCAGTTCGAAAGCACCTTCGGGTGCAAGTAGATAAATAGGGACCGCTTACCAGCGGGAAGGTAAACGGAGTTCCGTGTGCTGCGCTGGCTCGCCAGATGCAGCTTGTCACGCTGGCCACGTGACCCGGAAGTGTCTGCGGACAGCGCTGGCTCCCGGCCTATAGAGTGAGATGAGCGCACAACCCTAGAGTCTGTCAAGACTGGCCCGTATGGGCAGGAGTACCTTTACCTTTTACTTTTATTCTGCCTTTCTGCCACACAGTTGCAGACATGGAAATTTAAATGCATGTAATTTGCAAAGATCTAAATAGTCACACTGCATTATACAGAAGTAGGTAGACACTTCAAAAGGATAATACAGGCCCTAGTCTTACTCCAGCTCAAGCAATTCACAACTAGTTGCAAAAATCACCCTTCCCAGCTGTGGAATCACATCCCTATATGCTTCAGAAAAGACATCTAGCTCACATAGTGGGGGTCCAGATTTGTATTTTTCTTAGCAAAGAGAGATTCCAGTAAGAATGAATTTAAAATTAGCTCTGTTTGAACCTTACACTCTGCAGAGAGCTGAATTTTAACTCCTTATCCTTCATATTCCTCTATATACTGTAAGGGAGCAGCAAGGAAAATAGGCAGTTTTTAGCTGTATGAGATTGGTCCTTACAGAGCTCTAATGATCTCCATTCATTCTTATTCACAGAATGAGTCTATCAACCAGCAACTTGCCTCTATCTTCACTCACTGCTACGGAAGCAGCCCCATCCCTGGCATTCCTGAAATCAGGAAGACACTTCCAGCACGCCTAGGTAAGATGGTCACCAGCAGAGATTTTGAGGGTATTGTTTTTGACTTTGTAGGTGTGAAGCCTTGCTAAACCATTTCCTCCTCCTCTTCTTCTTCTCCTTCACAGATCCTCACTTTTTAAATAACAAAGATATGTCCGATGTTACTTTTCTAGTGGAAGGAAAACTGTTTTATGCACACAAAGTTCTCCTGGTGACTGCTTCAAACAGGTGAGATACTTAGGAAGTGGCACATAATACCTTTGCAGAGTCATTCCAAGATCAAGAAAGATGAATGGTTGAGTTGCTTACTCAAAGAATCCCTATTTTAGTTTTTCACAATGCCAAGCGTTTTTTGACAGAATTACAAGCCTGGTAGATGAAGGGAACGCAGTGGATGTAGCCTACCTTGATTTCAGCAAGGCATTCGACAAGGTGCCCCATGATATTCTTGTAAAGAAGCTGGTAAAATGCGGTCTTGACTATGCTACCACTCAGTGGATTTGTAACTGGCTGACTGACCGAACCCGAAGGGTGCTCATCAATGGTTCCTCTTCATCCTGGAGAAGAGTGACTAGTGAGGTGCCACAGGGTTCTGTCTTGGGCCCGGTCTTATTCAACATCTTTATCAACGACTTGGATGATGGACTCAAGGGCATCCTGATCAAATTTGCAGATGACACCAAACTGGGAGGGGTGGCTAACACCCCAGAGGACAGGATCACACTTCAAAACGACCTTGACAGATTAGAGAACTGGGCCAAAACAAACAAGATGAACTTTAACAGGGAGAAATGTAAAGTATTGCACTTGGGCAAAAAAATGAGAGGCACAAATACAAGATGGGGGACACCTGGCTTGAGAGCAGTACATGTGAAAAGGATCTAGGAGTCTTGGTTGACCACAAACTTGACATGAGCCAACAGTGTGACGCGGCAGCTAAAAAAGCCAATGCAATTCTGGGCTGCATCAATAGGAGTATAGCATCTAGATCAAGGGAAGTAATAGTGCCACTGTATTCTGCTCTGGTCAGACCTCACCTGGAGTACTGTGTCCAGTTCTGGGCACCACAGTTCAAGAAGGACACTGACAAACTGGAACGTGTCCAGAGGAGGGCAACCAAAATGGTCAAAGGTCTGGAAACGATGCCTTATGAGGAACGGCTAAGGGAGCTGGGCATGTTTAGCCTGGAGAAGAGGAGGTTAAAGGGTGATATGATAGCCATGTTCAAATATATAAAAGGATGTCATATAGAGGAGGGAGAAAGGTTGTTTTCTGCTGCTCCAGAGAAGCGGACACAGAGCAATGGATCCAAACTACAAGAAAGAAGATTCCACCTAAACATTAGGAAGAACTTCCTGACAGTAAGAGCTGTTTGACAGTGGAATTTGCTGCCAAGGAGTGTGGTGGAGTCTCCTTCTTTGGAGGTCTTTAAGCAGAGGCTTGACAACCATATGCCAGGAGTGCTCTGATGGTGTTTCCTGCTTGGCAGGGGGTTGGACTCGATGGCCCTTGTGGTCTATTCCAACTCTATGATTCTATGATTCTATGATTTCTTTGAATATGGATGCAAGGAAGCATCGCTGTATTGGCAGCTGTGTTCTCCATACACATTAGTCTGTGTATCTATCGCATCCGATCTACACTTTCATGTGAACCAGTCTTCAGCTTTTATTGATAACTTGAACACAACCTGAACAGCAAATACTTAAGCTGTAGAAGGAGAATTAATGGATGGTTGCAGCTCAGAATGGCAGAGAACAAGGCCAGAGGGAGGCTTTTCTTCTTTCAAGGAGAACAGGACTAAACAGGATTAGATATGGTATGTAGCAGGCATGGGAAACCTATTGCGTGTGGGTCTCATTAGACCTAACATGGCTTCTGGTTTTGGCCACAAGACCATTTTCTCAACTAGAACCGGCTCCCCATTACCTATTGTCAGGTGCAGGGCAAGTAAAGGTACTGATGGAAAGGAACAACCTCAGGAAGGTTAAACTGTGTTCCCGGTTGTTTCTTGCAAAACATGCCCGGCATTCATTTCCTATAAAATTTGACACCAAACCCAAGCTCCACTGGGATTGGTTTCACTTTGGAAGTTTAGATCAGGGCTCCAGAGGGGAGCCCATTCCTGCTGAAAGCAGGGCTTGCAGTCAGTGATGCAAATACAACCCCTATTGGGACTGTCTGTACATGGATGCAGTCAGCTGATTGGCAAGTTTTTCACGTTTCACTTTAACCAGAGTTGGAGAAGATCACATATTAGCCAAAACCAGGCTTTGAAGGACAAGGGGGAATAATGAGAGGCAGGAGGGTGCATGCAATCCCACAGCTTGTTTCCGGCATGGCCTCATGTTAAATCTTAATCAGACCTTCATAACTTCTTTCATATACCAGGAGCTAGTCAAAAAAATGGTTCTACCTACATATTTTTAATTCTGCCTCTCACATAGATGTTTCTTTCAGGAAAGAAGGTGTCATTGAAACTCCTAAAGCTATAGGCCCTTTTTTTCACTTCACATATAGAAAAATAATCTAAGCAAATAAAGCTTGAAAGGCTCTTTCTGAAATCTTTCCTCTGCTTTCACAGGTTTAAGACACTGATGACCAATAAAACTGAACAAGACAGTCAAGGCAGCAAGACTGTAGAAATTAGTGATATGAAGTACAATATCTTCAAGGTATGTATTTAAGAATAATCTGCACTGTTACCCTTTTCAAATGCTAAAATTGAGTATGATTCAGGGGCACCATAGTCTGAAAAGTTTCAGGTTTAGGGGACCTGTCATTCAAAAGAATTCACAATTTTGGCTGAAGAAGCGGCTTTTGCTTATGTTCAAAAGAAGAAACCAATATAAATGAACTATAAAATTTATTCATCAAACTGAGATCTACCCAAAATTCATTTGTCCAACCAAACACTTTAATCCATCCTCAGTTACTTGTTGATGTGGACAAAGTAGCTTGTGAATCAGATTGCTAAAATGCTCACCAGCAGTTTCCATGTCATGGTGTCACTTTTTGCATTGGTGATGAACTACTATTAACCATGTCCAAGATCTTCTAATTCAGACATTACTTTTGTCCATGACAGCAAATGTATACCAGAGATAACTGGGCAAAGCTGTCAACTTTTCCCTTTTCTTGCGAGGAATCCTATTCGGAATAAGGGAATTTCCCTTTAAAAAAGGAAAACGTTGACAGCTATGTAACTGGGACTTCTAGCACAGCTCAAACTGTACTTGTGTAAACAGTCACCAAAATCTGCTGGAAGTTACGAGGCATAATTTTTATGCCATGTTAAGCAAGTTAGGTCTGAATGGAGTCAGAAAATGTGCAGCCTTTGTGTTGAATCTGTTTAATGGTCAAAAGGTTAAAAGGATTGGAATATTTATCTTTTACTCTCTTTTTCAAACATCTGCAAACCTTAATGTCCAGTATGTCATGAAAAGGGAGAGTTGGCATTGCCATATAAACAAAAATGTACACCACTGAAATCCAGCACTCAGGAGCTCTTCCCACTTTCCAGATCTGTTTTTAAAGATCTACGGGAAAATGTGTTGAGGCTGGAAAACTGAAAGCCTAAAAGTAACATTCTGTAGAACTGACACAAGGATCCGTTTATTTGCACTCTTTCCTCAGCCATCAATCACTTATTTTTTGTGCTTTGGCTATATAGGAAAAATGCAATTGCAGCTCACTTTGCAAAGTGGAGACATTCTGTATTTTAATCTTGAGCTGAGCTGTAATTGCTATGTTTGCATCCAGACTTTGCTGGCCAGACCGGTCCATCGCCAGAGTTGAATAGTAAAGAGCTTACACGGAAATTAATATTGCATATTGCACTTGCTTTAATTTATAATCACTGAAAGTTTCTGTATTGGGAGCCAAGTTGCTGTGTGAGTTTCCCAAGGCAAACCTGCGAGTTCGTATTTCTCACTGCTTTGGCTGTGTTCCTGTTTCAGATGCTGATGCAATATTTATATTATGGAGGAACAGAATCTATGGAAATTCCTACTGCTGATATTTTAGAGGTGAGAGCATTTCTCCCAATCCCTTTCGGTCTATTGCAGTGGTTCTCAAAGGGTGTAGCAGGAGAGGATGGAAAGTGTGGCAGGAAGATGCAAAGACAATTACAGAAACATTTAAACATTTCAGTGTAGTATAGTATAGCGCTTCACCGATCTCCCCCCGCCCCCGCCCCCCCGAATATGGATAGGTATCTTTTCAAAATGAGAGCAAGAGCATCAAGTGATTCTGAGGACAATCCTGGTTGCCATTTATCATTATACTTTCGGAATGATGCATGTTCTTATGTAGCTGCATTGTTTTATACTTTCTGGGTGTCCTATGATCATGTTATAAAATAGTCGTGCTCTGTGTTATAAATCAAGCACTTCTAGGAGTTGTTTCTTTATGTTTTCCAATGTATTTCTGATTAGTAAGAAATTCGGTGTGGCGTGAGCAAATATTTATTCTGAAAGTGCGGCCCAGAGAAAAATAGTTTGAGAACCACTGGTCTGTTGTCATCTTGTGCTGGTTCAGGATTATTTATTTATATACCAATAAACCATAAGCACACTTCAAAGCAGCTTGCATTAAAAAGATACAATAAAAGCCTTCAAAAGTTAAAAACAATTTAAAAGGGAAAAGGTTAAAAATAAGCATTGTGGAAGGATGAACTCTTAATTGGCTGCATAGGACTGGCGGGATAGAAATGTTAGTATCAATAATATTGAGGACGTGTATCTGTACCACAAAATTTGTGCTTTGCAGGCACACTGCACTGTTTGACAAATGATTTCCTAAGAGTTTAGACTTGCCCATGTGATATATTCTGAAACCAAAAGAGCACTTCCCTGTCTAGGGAAGCTTTTAATGTTTGACAGACTATTGTATTTTAATATTTTGTTGGAAGCCGCCCAGAGTGGTTGGGGAAGCCCAGCCAGATGGGTGGGGTATTAATAATAATAATAATTAATAATAATAATAATGGGGTGAGGAAAAGAGATACTCTGAGGACAGAGAGTCCACTTTGTGGCTCAGTGACTGGAAAGGGGGAGCCCGTAGACTAGTTGATCTGTGCATTTATGTAGAAAATTAATAGTACAAGGTTCATGTTAGGTGGAAGTTCACTTTTGTCAGTTTAACATACTGGGCCAGCTAGATTAAAATCTACAACCAGGTTGTTATACAGTCATACCTCGGGTTGAATACGCTTTGAGTTGAGCGTGTTTGAGTTGCGCTCCGCGGCAACCCAGAAGTAACAGAGCGCGTTACTTCCGTGGTTCGTCGCTTGCGCATGCACAGACGCTCAAAATGACATCATGCGCATGCGCAGAAGCGGCAAAGTGTGACGCATACATGCGCAGATGTGCCGTCACTAGTTACATTTACCTCTAGATGCGAACGGGGCTCAGGAACGGATCTCGTTCGTATCTAGAGGTATCAGTGTAATTTACAAACATGGCCAATCAGCAAGGGTGATGGGAATTATAGTTCAGCATCCCCTGGAAGGCCAAAGGTTCCCCCCACACCCCGGGTTAGATGCTCCACAGTTTTGGAATGTGGGGAGCGTTATGTCTGCTGTTTCTTTTTTTCAATCTGTATTTGCCGCTTCCCTCTCATCCTGATGTTTTAAGCTGTTATTTTTAAAGGCTGGTCCATGTTTCCACCTGTACCTTATTGCCCTGTTTGTGAGATTCATTGAAACAAAGCACAGTTTAGAAGAGCATCCAGCGAATAAAAGCAATGTGATGCGCAGGTGTGAAAACTCAAAATGTGATCAGATTGCATCACAGCATGAGTAGGGAGAGTTCATTATGGAAGAAAATGGCACAGACATGCCATGACACACACGTGTTGCAGCTGGTCTAGACTAGTTTAGGATTGCTCCATGCTGCTTTATTCTGTATTGTTTTGCTTTGAGGTCAAGGCTGTTCACTTTTAACTTTTTCTACGGTACCAATCAGTGTACACAGAGCCTTAACTGAAAAATAATAACAGTGTGACAAAAATAGGCATGGGATTGCAATTGGCAACAGGGAAACAAAAGAGAAAGGGGGGGAGAGAGAAGGGGGCAGCAACAGAGAAATGTGGGGTAAATGCAGCTTTACTTACTTAAAACCCTTTAAAGCTCAGGGGAGGATCAAGGACTAATGGCAAGGGTGAGATTTAAAGAAGGGATTTGAAGGAGATATAATACTACATGCACCTTTAGAAAGGGTGTATGGGATAATGAGTAGATTCACAACAGAGTGCAGTAGACCTTTGGGAGGCTGAGATTGGCTCGGTTTAAGGAGCAGAGATTGTGAGGGAAGCAAGCAATTGGGTTTTAAGAAGGAGGGTGTGATAAATGAGTATAGACTGAGAATGATTGGGGAGGGGGGAGAGAAAATGGCAGCCATCACAGACACAGGTGAATGACCAGAGCATAGCAGAATTTAAGCTGACCAGACCGAGAGAAGTTGGAGGGCTTTTGGGGAGAAGTGACACAGCTGCGTAACCAATGCAAAGGAGAGGGAGGTCTTAGAGATAAAGCCAAGGCTGCCTACGTGGTCAGGAGGAAAGGTTGCTGAGAGATATGGAGAGTAATCAAGGAGAATTAGCCCTGGCAGGAAAGATAAGCAGTTCAGCCTGATACACATGGAATTTGAAACAGCGATTAGACATTCGAGTTAATGGACAGGGAGATGGAGGGGGAGAGGTGTGGGGTATACAGTTCCAGTTCCCTATAACTTTGGAGGGCTTAAACCTGACCCAGCCATTCAGATACACACATAGTACAGTACTTCACATAGCTGGACCGCCTCATAATATGTGTTAAGAGTGGACTCCTTGGTGAAAATTTCCATCCGCACAGAATGCTGAGAGCCATTGTATGCAATACTAAAAATAGATGGCTAAATTCTGGATTTTACCGCTGTGCAGCACATAGCCAAGCAATTGTTTTTTAAGTGTTCCTCCTATAGAAAGCTCTGTAAACAGTAAAACTAGTACATCCATGAAGAGAACTGAACTAAACCTCATAATACCCTGGTTTCCTACATGCATTTTGTTTTTTGTTTTGTTTTGTTTTGTTTTGTGAGGGAATACACTTTCACTCTAAAGTGGGACAGCCATAGTACACTACCAAAACACTCTTACATCGTACTCAGTGTTATCTGTGGACTTAATGTCCATATTGAATTAACTGGCACATCTCCCTGACATTTTTCTCTCTCTAATAGACAAGAGAAATTATGACAGGGGCATTTTCAGGCAAGTTAACCCTCCTGCAATCCAAAGGAGGATTCTACCATCTGTAGAGCTGAACATTTTGATTAAGGCTTTGGGAGATGCTTCCTGATCCATTGATGCTGTAGCTCAAGAATAAGGAAAAGCACCAATTACACAGTTCAGTTTTGCAAGGAAGTTGGAAGGCTGTGCAAAAACAAAACAAGTTTCGGTTTTGCTTCCTTGATGTGCACAGCTTCCCTTGTCAATCACCCGTTGTCATCTTCACTGATTTCTCTTTCATCCTCACTAGCTGCTCTCGGCTGCCAGCCTATTCCAGTTGGACGGCCTCCAGCGACACTGTGAAATACTTTGCGCCCAAACCATCAGCACCGAAAGCTGCGTCAACATCTATAAATATGCCAAGGTAAAGGACAGTCCTCTTCCGTTCAGCCTCAATAAGACTTGCAAGTGTTTTCAGGTGCTGTGAACGTAAGAATAGCCCTGCTTGATCAGAGCAAGGAGTAATCTGGTTTTGCTCCTTGTTTCAATCAGTGGCTGGCCAGCTTTGCTTTTGGAGAAGTCCAGAAGGACACAAAGGCCACAGTTCACCACTTCTTGCTTGCCCACAACAATATTGTATGCTGTATTTGAATTATGTCGGCTGAGCAATCCCAGACTAGATGCTCCTCTGCATAGAAGAACGTTAAGGGGTGGTATTTGATTAAATAATACAATGAGCGAAATGACTTCCCACTTGTGCCCACTCCACTCACCATGTCCACCCCCCATCTGTTCCTCTAGAGCAGATTTGGGGGTGGCATGGGGTATACACAGAGGAAGGAGAGAAGGGAAGTCCCATTGCACAAGCAGAGGAGTTGTTGCGTTGGCTCAGTTATTTAGTTGAATGCCACCCACGGAAAACTCTGATGTCAGTGACATCGTGCCGTGGAGAAAGTTTCTAGCAGTCCATCTTCTAAGCTCCCATTTGCAGTGTGAAGTGGTGCAGCTAAGGCACAGACTTGCCACTTTGCTGCTCGGGAGAAAAGGAGAGAAAAGGCTGTGTTGTGATGATGCACACGTTATCAGCAGCAGCACATAGTCTTAACAAGTTAGAGTCAACTAACTGTTAGGCCTTGTTCATAAATCCTACATTGGTCTACCTTTCTGTGGCAGGATTCCTATCCCACAAGCAGCTCCATGGCTTGTAGATGCTCAGTAGATGTTTTCAATCAACACTGCATCTTCCTTCTAAGGAAAGTGTCACTTGTTTAATTTCTGCCCAGCACCCCATTATTAAAAGCACCAGAATCATGTGAAGAAGCAGGCAGTTACTCCAGCATGAACCGGGGTATGATGCAGGTGTTGCATCCTGGCGACACAAGTGACTAGGCCTGGTATATCCAACACCACAAGAATTTTTCAATATATTTATTGCGTCTTCGTTGGAACTTTCACTTCTGTGAACTGGGAAGAAGGTGGACTTCATTACGCCCATATTATATTTTTAAGGATGCTGTGGAAGGGAAACACCAGAAACAGACTCCCTCATCATACATACTTTTTATCAAGACATATCATCAGAACTTTTTTCTACCAATGATTATAAATAATCAGGGGCTGGAACCATCTTTCCCAACACAGCAGCAGGGTACCTTAGAGTAGCTCTTGTGTGTTTTATTAAACGTCCACTTTTTCTAAGTCTCATCGTATATGCACAGAATTTCTTTGACTGCTAATACCATGTGCCATCTGGTACTGCTCATTATGCTGTCATGGGGTGCCACATGGATTGCACCCTCACATAACAAAACAGGTATCATCTTGGCTATTTCATTGACCAGCTGCTCTTTTCCTTTAAGAGTTACTTGACTTTGGCTCAACAAGCAGCAGGAGATCACAAAGGGATTAGAAAGAGGGAGACTTTTACCCTCTTTAAAATATCCCAGTAGAACTGCCCCCCCCCAAACACACACACACACACACACAGGGGACAGAAAATATTCGTTAACCCCGGGATTAATATCCTCTTAAGCATTTGCTGTCAGCATTTAAGCCTCCCCATACACTGAAGCTGTCTGAGTGGGTGGGGGAGAGAGAGGCGATAATTGACAGCTGCATAAAAAATCCCACTTATCCGCCAATCTGACATGACGCTCTTCTGTTTTTCAGATCCACAGTGCCCAGGAACTAGTCTGTTTCTGCGAGGGCTTCTTCCTCAAACACATGAGTGCCTTGTTGGACCAGGAGCCTTTCAAACAGCTCATCTACGGCAGGAACAGTAAAGTTCAGGGTCTGGATCCCCTGCAGGACTTGCAGTCCACACTGGCCAGCAGACTTCATTCCATTTACATCACCTCACGGGTGTGATTGCCAAGAGGAACTACAGTGACCCTGTCTGGATAAGCTGGGATGCTCAAAGCACTTGCTCATCTAACTGCACTAGGACGGGATTTTGGCCCAAATATGCCGGCTTCCCTCGCCAGCAACTGGATTGCTGAAAGTTCCTCCACCAGATCCAAAAATCCCCAGTACAAAAGACCTGACCATTCACTGTGCAGCTGGGATTTATAGGCACGGACACCCAAAGCAAATACTCCAGTCTAGCTCAGGAAACATTGCTTGCTGGATTAGAAGCTGCAAGTATAAATCATTCAGGCAGGAAAACATGCAGTCTGTTGCATTTTTGTGAAGGAGATGCACATTCTGAAGTATGTTGTAATGTACATTCTCCACCACATTTAGTTGCACGTCAACAGCTTGTTTGGGTGTGACAAAACTGAATCGGTACCTTAATGCTTTGATCTGTACTGGAAATTAGATGGCAGGGTTGGGAAGTCGCTAACTGGGAACAAAACTCCTCCCTAACACCAAGGGCTTTTTTCAGCTGGAACTCACTAGAACTCAGTTCCAGCACCTCTCAGATGGGTGCCATTGCCATTCTGAAAGAACGAGGGAGGAGTTCGTGGTGAGTTCTGGCACCTCTTTTTCTAGAAAAATAGCACTGCTAACACCCAACACTTTGGTCAAGGGTTGCTTCCACCTTTGCATTCTCTACTGGATGAAAATTTAGGGTGGAATATTTAAAAAACTGGGACATCATGCCATCTATGCAAAGCGCTCACTGTTTGGGGAGAGATTTGCCAGTGAACGATGCTTCTTCTGTGAAGGGCGTATTGTTAATAGACTAAAGGAGGAAAAGGATAGAGGGGAGCTGTATAGGAACAAGGGGGAGAGAGATGTAGAGCGTGGATGGGGAACCTGTGGCTCTCCAGGTGTTGCTGGCCTCAAACTCCCATCAGCCCCAGCCAGCATGGCCAGTCTTGAGGGATGATGGGAGTTGCAGTCCCACAGTATCCAGATGGCCACAGGCTCCCCACCCCTGTTGTAGTGTTTCAGGGAAGTTACTAGAAGTGTAATAGAAATGTGGGACTGCTTGGTGTGAATATATGTTTTAGAGGCAAGAGAAGTTTTTCTCCACAATCATATCTAGGTTTTTTTCGACCCTGTGAACTGCCCTCCCCACGCGCTGAAGCATTTTCGTTTTAACATGTCATTGGGAGGTTGGGAGAGCATTCAATACAAAACCAAGCATCTTTGTAAATGATTATTTCATCAGTTTTGAGGATGATAAAGGTCAAAGCGCTTCAGCATATTATGGCTGAGAAAATTAACTCTGAGGTAGACACCTTTTCTCAGGCATCAAGCCTACTTTCTTGCATCTCTCACTCACCACTGAACCATTTGTCTCTCTCTCCTTCATCTTTCTGCATAAATACACCAACATCACACAGTACTGAAATGTCATTGCTGCCAAGGTAAAAGAATTCAGCCCTTCAAAAAGCCAGGAGGAACTTCATGAGCAGCACATGTTGAAAGTGGGCCAGGAATAGGGAGAGGATCAGAATGCTAAAAGTTAAAAAATGCTCAGTGCAAACAGGCTCTTGCACAGTAGTTGTCCAAGGCAGTTGTTAAACTAGGTGGTAAGATTATACACCCTTCAATCAATCACTTTTGAAATTTGGACCAGAAACAAACCCACAAATTCACATTTCCCTCCCTGACCCCAGAAATCACAGAAAAGGTCAAGCTTGTTTGGGAATATCCCCAAAAGTTGTAATTCTGGAAAATAATTTTGAAAAAGCTGTTTCAGCTATCTGTACAAAAAAAATATTATAGATTCTGTTGCATTGCTGTAATGTTGTCTGCTACATTAACTGTACATTAATGTCACTTATGTAAATGTACCATATTTTATTAACAACATAACTTTTGTTAAACTTTACCGATGGTATAAGCTCAGTTATTTTAAGGCGGCTAGGGAACGCATTATGATGAAAAGGAAGAGATAAAAACAAGAGTGCCTTATGATAAACTATGCATGAGATGGGCTCTGCATACACAAACACACTCAGGAAAATAGATTTTCTTCCAAATTCTGTGCTCAGCTAGGACTGGGCAAACGGCATGCAGGTAGTCTTGTTTCAGCAGCTAAACAGTTTCTATGATACTACTGCCTTCTTAATGCCTTACTAGCCTTGGTTATGCCATCCTATAGAAAGAATAGCTTTCGGCAAGGAATGGAGTTTTGAGGTTTAGAGGAAAGGTTTCAGCTGCTGGTTTTCAGCTGAAAGAATCCTTAAAGCAGAGCTTTCAGGGTAAGTGTTGCTATCCCCTCTAGAAATTTGCATGCTTAAGTTTGCACCTGTGGTCTCAAGCCCCTACATCCATTTGACTCCTATGAAAATAGGAGTATGGCAGCCAGTGTACCCCAAATGAAGAAAGGGGAACTGTCCCTTTAAGAGCCTGAAGCACCCAAATGCTCAGCTTCTTCCACCACAGTATTCAAAAGGTGGGGTTATTGCTCCTGTTGAAATCTATCCTGCTTCACAGCTCTCAAAAGGATAGAAGCCCAATCTCTTCTAAGAGATTGTTCCCTGCTAGAAATCTCCCAGGACTGGGATTATCACCTCATTCACTTGCCTTCAAATGAAGCCTGTAGACCAAGGCTGGCCAAAGGCATTTTACTGCCCGAGGCAGAACAGCAAATGATGTCATCACTCCCCCTACACACCTTCTACCAGTCAAGGTACGTAGTGGGCACCTGAAGCAGATCAAATCACACAAGTGCCTCCCCCCACTTCCCTAGTACAGTGGTACCTCAGGTTAAGTACTTACTTCGTTCTGGAGGTCTGTTCTTAACCTGAAACTGTTCTTAACCTGAAGCACCACTTTAGCTAATGGGGCCTCCTGCTGCCACCGTGCGATTTCTGTTCTCATCCTGAAGCAAAGTTCTTAACCTGAAGCACTATTTCTGGGTTAGCGGAGTCTGTAACCTGAAGCGTATGTAACCTGAAGCGTATGTAACCTGAAGCGTATGTAACCCAAGGTACCACTGGAGTAAAAATACTCAACAATAATAATTTAAATAGCTAAGAAATCGCTGTCCTTTCAGGACATGCAAACTCTTTAGCAGCTGGCTCACGTCCCCTAACGGTAGGGCCGGTTCCTGACCTGGCAGCTCGGCCAGAGGCTTAGACAGAAAGTAGCCCCAATGAAAAAGTGGCTGCTTCTAGGAAGAGGAAGAGAAAGGTTAAGACACATGTACCCAGCATTCCACACACACAAGTTTCACTGACGCAACAGGAGCTCCATTTCCTCTCCTCCCTCTAGCACATCCCCAAAATCTGCTCCAGAGGGTCCCCTGTAGCAGATTTCTGAGGGTGTATGAAGCAGCATTAAATACCGCCCATGGGTTACAATCCAAATAAGGGTGGAAGGGGTTTATTATGTGCGCAAGGAAGAAAATGGTATCTGTAGTTGGAATGTTGCTTGTTTTGCTGCAGGTGTTCTTTCTGCCGAGAAGGAAAGCCCCTTAATTTATGTTTTCATTTTCAAGTCAGCTTGCCTCTTTGTCAGTACAAAGCACCATAGCAAACGCACCAAATTCAGGCTGTACCTGTTTTTCTCTCTAGCCTACACATGTCTCTACGGACTGTGGCCGTAAGCACAGTCTAGGAGAGCAACCCAAACTTGCCAAGCCGAATGCACACTGTATCCTCCAGGGGGCTTGGCTATAACCACAGGCTGCAGCTCCTGAATAAGCTTCCACTGCCATGCACATCCCCTAGGAAACCCCTCCCCCCCTCCTTTCCCCTTTAGAAGCTTGATGCTTCCTGACATGGCCTGCAGCTATCAGAGTAGGCCCAGAGCAGAAGCCATTTGGGGGTTAGTTAACAAAGGAAGGGAGAAAAGATGGACAAAGGGGGGGTGGTGGTTTGGGGGCTTCATCTTAAAAAGCTCCCTGAAGCCTTGTAACGTAAACAGAGAGGCTCTCATTGTCAAGAGCACTGCATCTGAGAACAACAGGAAATGAATGAAAAGCCGTAGGAATACAAAAAATCCAGAATGCCAGAACCAATAGGCAGAGGCACCGTTGAGGGTTGGCATCTTGTGATGCTTAAATACCCTTTTAGTGGAACTGTGCCCATTGAACTGGGTATTTTTTTAAAAAAAGCAGCAAAAAGCAGCCCTGGTGGGTTCTTCAGAGCCTAAAGTTTCCGGCAAATTATGCTGTTGCAGCAAAGAGTCTCTTGCCACCATAACTCCTATCAAATGGATGAAGGCATGAGCTATTGTGGACTAGAATCTGTGTCATCGAATGCTGTAGCTACAGCTAGACTTAGACAGGGATGAAGGATCAGAGGGTGAAGTTTTGGTATGTTTGGGGGGGGTGAGGAGGTGGAGCCTGAGAATTAGAACCTGTCACCCTCTTCAAAATTCCTGAACCAAAGAAACGTTTGCTTAATAAACTGGCAAAAATATTAGGCTACCATAAGCAAATCCTTTGCTTGCTTTTTCATAAAAATAAAAATAAAAAGCCACTCCCCTCATACAGGGGAGAAATTACCAAGAGGTGATTTCCTCTGCTCTTTTTACCACTCGTGTCACCAGGCTGTCATTTCTCCTGCTGCAAAAAGAACAGGCTCTACTAATGTTCTGCCAGGGCACCGCTAGTCCTGCAACGTACCTCTCCCACAAGTCAGCTAGGTGCTGCCAGCTGTCAAAACCATTCAGGGCTCTCTGACGCAGAGGAATGATCACACTGACAACTAGGTCACATCACCTCCCAGCCTCCTGCTGGGAACAGCACCGGCCCGACACAGCTTTGCCATTTTAGTCTAATTAATCAGAGCACTCTCTCATCTCCAGCCAAGGTTTGTGAGAGTTACCTGGGCTAATGGCCCAGCTCCTACCCCTCTGAGATCACTCAGTTGCAGGTGGTGCTCTGAGCCGTGGGAATGACCCCTGGTAGGCAATGTCAAAAGTCTGCCTGCCAACCCTTTTAAATGAATTGACAGTTCTCAAGTGTGGAGGATTCAAGCTTTGGCCTTGAAAGGTTTTTCAGCTGGAATGGTATCATCTTAACACATCACAGTTCCCCCTGCTGGTTGATCTTGGCAAAACAAAGGCAGGAAGAGTTTGAGATCTTGAAGATGAATGGTTAAAATGTGCAAAAATCGCAGAAGTATCTATTTTGCTGTGTTACAGATAGGTAGCCGTGTTGGTCTGCCATAGTCAAAAAATTCCTTCCAGTAGCACCTTAAATTTTGCTGTGTGTTCACATGTGAAAGGTTACGCTGCATACAGCTGAGGAAGTGTTTCAAATGGATCACTGATGCTGCAATCTCAGAGTCAGTACCGTTCAGTATTAAAGCACTGCTGAGAAATAGAGAGGCGTTTTTATGGGAAGGTTTAACCTCCTATGCCTGTCCACTCAGCTGTAGGCCCTTCTTAGTTCAATGAGGCTTCCTTGCAGGTAAAGTAGCATAGGACTGTGCTCTAAATATTGAAAAGGGACAGAAATGGGAAGTGCAGCAATGTCGCAGTGCCAGAATGGAAATCATAACATTGCATGGGGCCATCAGAAACTGGAAAAACACACACCCAATTCTCTACAAAAATGAAAACATCAAGGAATTTAAAATATAATTAAATATAAAAGGATTAACTATGGAAACTAGGTAAGCACACGTATTTCAAATTTAAGATCCATGTTGCAATAAATGAGGTGCTCTTACCAATTGATTTCGTCACTAGGTTGTTTCTGAAATGCGAATAGCTTTGCTCTTTTAATTAACATGTTGCAGCACAATATGAGGCAGCGGTGGAAGCACAGGACAGCCAGCAGCAATTTTTTTTAAAAAAAGATTTTTAAACTCCTACTGTATCTTCTTTCTTCACCTGCCCTTTATTCTTCACATATTCTCTTCTACAGCTGTTCTCAGAGCTACAAGACTAATTACCTTACCATCCACCAAGTTTTCTTCCTCATTTTATATAAAGTTAACAGCCAGGATTTCAATTAGAGTTCACTGCCCCCAAACAGTGATACGCACAAGGAGAGGCCTCCCGTTACTCTGGTTTAATGGGCAGTAAGCTACACAGTCCATAAAACAGGAACATCTGTGTACATTAATCCCAACAGTCGGCACTGGCGAAAGGATGCATTTGGAAGCAATTTAAAACTCCTGCTACCTCTGGCTTCAATTGTGTTAAAGGCGAGCCTCAGCCACTCACAACACCAGCACATCGGCCTCAACTCCATTCACTAGCACAAAAGATCCATCGGACACGTACCTTATATACTGGGTTGATCCATCGGTCCAGCGGAAGAGTGGTGTTCGTGTCCTTTTTGAAATCCCATCAGGATGAGTCTCAGTAGGACAGAAATGCTTATTTTGGCCAGGCAGGGCCCTCCACGTAACTGCTGCAGCAAAGGGCAAGGCTGGCCAGCTGGAACCCTGAACACAAGAGCGTTTCTGTCGGGTGATGGAGACCATTGCGACATTTTGTTGAATGTTCCATTTGCTTCCTCTTAATAGTGAACTCAAACGTCTGAAAGCAAAAATCAAGTACCAAAAAATAATAATGCTGTGTTTTCTCTAAATGCAGAGGCCACTCCCTAGATATGCAAATATATGTATATTTGTATATCTGTGTCTCTGTGTGTGTATTAACAGAGAGTATTTTTAAAAAATCAAAAATGGCCCCAAAGGAGCCAGCGAGCTTTCAGACTCTCAAAAATTGTGTGTCTGTTGAGCTGAGAGAGAGAAAAAGGATCTAAACTCTGGTTATAAAGTAGCTGTGATATGAACCTAAGAAGATGAAGAGCCCTGATGGATCAGAGGTCCACCTAGTCCTGCTCGTTCTTCTCAGTGACCAACCAGATGCATATGGGGGACCTGAGCACAACAGCATCTTCTCCACTTGTGATTCCTAGCAACTGTTTTTCAGAGGCATACTACCTCCAGTACTCGTGGCAGCACATAGCCATCGTAGCCCATGAGGGAGGTATCCCACAAAATGCTCCTGCTAGTGCAAGGATGTTTGGCTGCACAATGGGATTTCCCCTTCCTCTATTCTCCCTGTACCCCCCTAAATCTGGTAGGGGGTCACCCCCCCAACCTCAGGGGCAGATTTAGGGGGGAGGCATGTGGGGGTGAGGAGGGACAAGCAAGAGAGAAGTTCTATTGTGCAAGCCAAAGCACTTCATTGGATACATGAATCCTACCTAGCGACCTAAATTTCGCTTCCAGGACCACACAACCACATTTCCCTGTATTGTTGGATCCAATGTGCACCATGACCACAAACTCTTCCCCAGCACTACCTACCAAGCTATCCAGGCAATAGGTAACATCTGCAACCTTTGCATCAGGCAGGCAATTCATCCTGCCGTCCGTATGCCCATCACACCCCCGGCTATGTCCCTACTGATCGAATCGCCCACTACCATGATCTTCCTAACCACCAGAGAAGTATACACACACACACACACACATTAATACATTTCTCCATACACAGCACCCTGAAAGGTGTGTGGAGCCAGAAGACATTTCTATGCCTGCAGCTGCTGGGAAAATATATCATTGGAAACGTTTACCAGCTCTATGTCCCAGGGTGGCCATTTCTAGTTGTTATAGCACAGGCCCCACATCCAGCAGATGCCTTAATTCTGCATTCACAGTACAGGTCTGGGAAAAAGGAAGCCTTAACATTTTTCCGCTTTTAAAGTTGCTTCTCAACTCCCAAGGTTTTAAAAGGAAGCTTGGGGAGAGGAAGAAGAAAAACCCACTACAAACCCCCAGCTACTCCAAACCCACAGGCAAAAAAGCCACAAAACTGAAAGAAACCTTTCTTTTAAAAGTCTCACACTGTAAGCTGATTTTATGATTAGGTGGCCTGTGGGTTTGGGAACATCTGGCCAGTGTGTTATGTGTGTGTTGCATGCAACCTTGCCTAATCCTCGACAAACCTGTTGTTCACTGTTGTCAAGCCAGACCTCAAACCCCTGAATGCTTCGGGCCAAGGGAAAGTGGTTCAATCCAAGCTGAAGCGAGTTGGAAAATATGCTTTCAACATGTAGAGAAACAAGAGGTGCTGCTCCTGCGGCATTGGCCAACAAAAACACAGACCCTGGGATCCTCAAACTGCATTCCCCCTGACCTGGCAGAAAGGAAGGTACAAAGATCAAGCCAGCTTAATTCATCTCTTTATTTTGCATATTTCTCTCGCTTCCAAGAGCTTGCATTTCTGGCGTTTTATTTATTTACATTTTAAATAAGTACCGGGAAGGAAAAAGCTATAGAGGCTGTAGTAAGCAGAGGATAGGAGGGCTGCCATGGATATCAGTTAAGCCACACCACAGACCATCACAACTTTTCTTCCCACTTTTGATATTTTACCAGATACTGCTGAGACATCCTCAGTCTTAAGGACCAGAAACATTTTTTTTATGGAGGGAGAAGAGAAAGAAGAAAACTGGATGTTCTGGGCAGCATCATACTCTGTTTCAAATACTATCCCTGCAGAAGACACAGTCCTATATTACGCAACCTACTACATATGTGTTGTTTGAAGACCCAATAAGGTGTCTGCGGTACAAGCTCTTCTTGCTGGTCAAGAAATTGAATCCAGATGGATTCAGTCAGTCCCACCCTCCCAAAAAAGACTTCAGCACTGGGACCACCCACCCACACTATTGCCACTCCTTAATCAATGCCCTGTGGGACATGATATCAAGTAAGAGTACTGAAAAGCAGGGAAGATGCTTTTCAAAGGACAGGATTCCCTGCCACATTCTCTGTTTTTCTAAATACCAGTAGACGGTCTGGCTAGGAGAAACCAATGTCTAGAATTAACCACAGAACCCAGAGTGCAAAGGTGAAGGCAGTGCTCAGGCTGCTGATTCTTCCCTTTTTATCAAAAGGCATAATATGCAGCACACACCTCAATGCAACTCCACCGTTTCAAAATCCCACAGAGTGTTTTTACAAGCTCATTGTACTGACGCTTCTTAAAAAAATACCAGCTTTCAATTAAAAATAAAAAACATGCAGCACTGAGGCCCAGGCCTCTCTCCAAAATTGCTATTAAGGAAACAAATAGTAAAGAGAAGGGAAAGATGTTTATAGGTCTCTGAGGCACACAAAACAGAGGCTTTTTAAGGCTAAACTGCAAAGAGTCATAATTCCTGGTAACAATCCAGTTTACTGCTCTACAGTTCTTTTAGCATAACACAAATGCTGAGCTGGCAGCAATAATATAAAAAAGATCTTCTGAACTGTTTAGCTTCAGGCTGCCCCTATATGAAGGGGAGGAAAAACCTTCATGTCTTCCCACTTCGATGGATGGTTTCTTTGTGGCCTACAGTGATTTGCTTTTCAGGTTCCCACAAAACAAGAGCTCCATGTCCCAGATTTTGAGATCATTTCTTCCACTTCTGCTTTGGGGTTTTCTTTTTAAATTTCTTCTCCGGTTTTGATCCTATTGCGATTGCTTCTGATTTTCTTTTCTTGTCACTGAGAAAAACATAACACAACAGTCACAAAAATGCTTGTGGATATTGTGCACTTTGGGCTAAAAAACATAATATAGCTTTGTTTTCTCCCATCTTCTGCAGGAAGATCACCAGGCAGGGGGTGTGAATTCACTTGGGGGTGGTGTGAAAAGTAGTAGTGAGGGAAGGAAAAACCACCTTCCATCCCTCTAGTAGGTAACCTCTGCTGGATTCTAAGTCATTTCAATAATCAGAATAAATCCTTCTGTTCATGGATGGGCAAGTCTAGATGCAACCTCTAGAAAGTGGTCTCTGATTTAAGCAAGTTTGACTATATTTGCTTGTTTACATAATTTATTCCGCTTATTGAGATGAGGAAGGAGCTATGCAGGGCACTAAGACCTTGACTTAAGGCTTGAGAGTCTAACCACTTAATAGATAGAAGGTCATAGACCTTCCCATGTGTTGAGATGCAAAACAGGCATTTTTCAAACACTTTCATTTCTTTAACAACAATATGGCCTAGAAACATTTTTTTTTCTAAATGCAACTGGAAAACATCTATTTCAGTATTCAATAGGCAATACTTATGGCATAGTGAAATACATAAAGCCCTAATATCATCTCTCCACAATAGAATGGGCAGGAAGAAAAAAACCACTTTAGAGAGAGCTCTGGTGGAGATAATTTTTTTATACCAAGTTACCATCCCTTCCTTTTCCTGACAGCGTCCTACACATCCCCCCAGGCTTTGTGAAGGGACACCTAGGGGGTGGGAGCTTCTGAATAATGCAGGACAATGCACAGGCAGGAGACAGCCTGGGAAGCTTTTCTTCCATAAGCTTCCTTAAATTAACATTTATTGAGATTGAAAGTTAAATATTTTGGCTTCTGAAGATTTAGGAGTTCATTTCATTTATTGAATTTATATACTGCCCTATACCCGGAGGTTTAATTCAGAGCCAAACTGATCTTCTCCAAAATAAAAAGATTCACAAAGGGAACTTGAGGACTGCCTTCTCCACTAAGAAGCTACTCTACTTGGCTCAAGCCATCTTCTAAGCCCCTGCTCTATATTCCATCCCAGCACCTGATGCGACTGACTTTGTGAAACAGGGCACACAGTGGTGGCCCCAATATTGTGTAGCACCCGCACAAGGGAGACTTGCTCCGATTCCTTCCTCTGGTTCCTCTGGGAATGGAAGAGAACGCATTGAGATAGAAACTTTTCTCTTCTTCATTTAATCCTTCAGTTTCCCAGTATTGTCAACCCTTTGAGAAGCGTGCGTCACTACCTTTTGAGGCTGACAATAGAAGCATTCTGTCCTGCTTTGGTCAACACTTCATTCCATTCTTCATCATCTCCTCGGATAACATACCTAAGTGAGAAGAATTGTGTGGTTTTTTTAGATTTAAAATGGAGGACACTTGATCAGAAAATACTGGTTTATTTTGCAGCAATGCTAGTGATCATGCAGGCATTGGTTAACAACAAGAAAGAGCATGATCAGGCACATTCAGCTGAAAGAGTGTGTGCAAGTCAAAAGTAAAAAATAAAATAAAAAATGGACATCTGAACCCGCCCTTCAAATTCTATCACCATCCAAACAACTACTAAAAACCTCCCATCTTTATTAGTATGGTCGAAGTTAAAATCATCCCAGAGGAGGTAGCAGGCAGATAGGGCTGACGGGACCCAATCCTGCAGCCCCTTCCTCTAATCATAGTTTGATACCTAAGTTAGCATTGCATTCACATCTTAGAAGAAATAGAGACTAAGCAAATTGTGAAGAACTTAAGTATTCAGATTGGTCGATCCCTCTATACCTAATGGACCTTAAAAGAAGATTAAAAGCAAGGTCAGATAGGCGAATGTTTTTGGGGTGTTTTCTTAAAAACTTCAGCAGCCTTTGGAGAAGGGATGACAGAAATTAATTTTAGGATCTTGATATTCAAACCCTGTGCGCAAGACTTTCAGAAACTGACAGCAATCTCATTAAAAAGCCACAAGAGTTACACCACAGCTGGAAGACAATAAAAATTCAGTTGTGTCTTTCTGAATTTGGGAGGGAAAAAACATTTGGAGGGACATTTTGGGAGGGAAAACATTTTGGGAGGGAAAAAACATTTGGAGAATGCCTGTCCTGGTAAGGGCATCAGTGAGAAAATTCTGGAACTGCAGGCCTGTGCCTCAGAAGGCCACATGAGTTATGGCAAACCTATTTTGAGAGGCCTAAGTTCCCATCCACAAGTAAGACAAGATGGCTCCCTGTCGCCATCAACTTCCATAAAGAGGTTACAGGGCTTTGAGCATATTCCCCTGTAGCTTGTGGGGAAGTGACCAAGTGATGTTGGGAAAACAGCAAAAGCTCTTCTGAACTACTTAAGACCCATCAGGCTAGCTTTATGGAGTCATTTGGTTCCTAAACAAAGCAATGTGATCCGTATTATCATGTCAACATCTGCCTTTGCCAACACAATGGATAGTATGAATAGGTGGCCATTCATACGTGAAACCAAAGCAAAACTATATTTTCCCTGTAGCATCCTTGGGCTATTTAGATGACATGGTGAATTAGCTTAGACCCCTTGATTCCTTTTCTGGAGACTGTTGATTTATTTACTGCAAATTACGAGGGCTTACTGTGAAAAGTCCAGATCTTTCAACTTCCCAACATCTTGCTTGTGTTTTTCCTGAAATTCTTTTGCTGCTTCTTCCTGCATTGAAAAAGCAATTTTTAAAAAAGGATGCTAAATAGGGTTATGAAAAAATATACAGTTCTGAAGCCAAACACACAACAAAAAAGGCTGACTAGCCATTGCTTCTCTGTCCCACAATCCTAGATTTGTAACCTGATACCTTTGGCACCTAGGACAGACTTATCCCATCTGCAAATTCCACAATGGAACCAAATCTAAAAGCTGATCTAATGGCTACAACATCCAGCCCTTTCTTTGTACTTCTGTATTTTTTATATTTTTCCCCATGTCCTCTCAACTGTGGCTTTGCATAACATATTGCCTGAGGGAGAGTTCCAGAGAACTTTAAAGCTTGCCATTATTTTGTGACATTTTGGGTAGTTCTAATGAAGGCATTGCCCAATGTGACATTTTGGGATTTTAACTGAAGCAGTGATAATTCCAAGGAAGATTGTCTCACCATAATATGATTAACACCAGGTATTGGTGTTATGCACTGCCAGTTATAAAAACTGAGATAGGAAAATGTGCAAGCTATTGGCAAGCTTTCTTCAAAAGATAATACAGTAACTTGGAAGTTGAACGCAATCTGTTCCGGAAGTCCGTTCAACTTCCAAAGTGTTCAAAAACCAAAGCACAGCTTCTGATTGGTTGCAGGAAGTTCCTGAAGCCAATCCGAAGGTGCGGAAGCCCTGTCAGACATTTGGCTTCCGAAAGAACGTTCGAAAACTGGAAGAGTCACTTCTGGGTTTCGATCGTTTGGGAGACAGAACGTTTGAGAACTAGGCTGTTTGAAAACTAAGGTACGACCGTAGCATAAACCACTTTATATTGTATACTTTCTGTGATCCTTAGAGGAAGGGAAGTATAGAAATTTAATAAATAAAATAAACAGTGCTTGCAAGACCAGACAAAAGTTCCCACTAGTTCACAGATGTGGAACTTGCAGTCCAACAAAACCTAGATCATGGGTAGGCAAACTAAGGCCTGGGGGCCACATGCGGCCCAATCGCCTTCTAAATCCGGCCCGCGGACGGTCCGGGAATCAGCGTGTTTTTACATGAGTAGAAAGTGTCCTTTTATTTAAAATGCACCTCTGGTTTATTTGAGGGGCATAGGAATTTGTTCTTTCCCCCCCAAATATAGTCCGCCCCCCCCAAGGTCTGAGGGACAGTGGACCAGCCCCCTGCTAAATAAGTCTGCTGACCCCTGACCTAGAGGGTCACAGCTACCACCATCCCCAGCAGTCAAAACGGCTGTTTGACCTCAATGTCTGATATTCAGAGGTGACTGCTTTTGTACATGGAGGTTTTGCTTAGCTATCAGGGCTCATAGCCACTGGCAAAATAATCATCCATAGAAGTGTGGATTAAAGAAATATTGCACTGGAATGAAGGGGTGGTGGTAGAAACCTCTACATACATAGCACTAGTAGTTAGAATCTCAATATGAAAACACAAATTACCAAATCCTCATTTAAGGATTTCAGAGTTGGCTCCATTACAACGTCTTTGGTTACTGCCATCTGCTCTTCCACAGCCTTTTCCAGGATAGTGTTGAACACCTAGGAGGGAGAATTTACCATCAAGGTCATTGCTCATTGGTTAAGGATGAAACGCTTGATACGTTTGATTGGCGGTATCATTGGTTCCCTAGAAGTTACTAATGACCATCCATGCAATGGCCCCTTATATGCTAAAAATACAAGATTACTTTGCATAACCAACTGGCAAAATTAAATTCTGCTCTGCACCATATTCAAACAGTACGCAATGGTCAGTCAAGTGCAATTTTTCCCTGACATCACGCACACATCTTGAAATAATGAGTGAAATACTCAAGGGAGGGGAGGAGCTGCTTAACACATTCCCTTCCAACAATCGGTCCATTCAAAATCCTCTTCCACCATAGTGTTTTCTCACCTGGAGGAGGTGCCATTTTGAGTAGAAAAGCAACAGGAATAGAAAGAGTTGAGCATTCCCCCGCCCCACGGCACTTTGCTAAATCTTGACTGCCTCTCATTTATTAAAAAAAGAAAACAAGGGAGATGTACACACAGCTGAGCATCATACAGAGTTTGAGCCTCAAAAACATTTACCCACATCTGAAGAACCAACCTAAGAGAGCCTATGATACAAGGGGGAGATGTTCAAAGCAAAACATATTGAAGTTATTTTTATACAGTTAAGTTTAGATCCTATACTATTGGATCTGGACACCAACTGTGTTCCACCATACAGGCAATCCTCCCAAATGCAACACTCAAAAAAACCACATTTACCTGAACCACCTTGCGGATAGACCTGTTGAAAAGGCCCATCAACTGGCCACTAGGCAGCTCTAACTCTTTCTCCAACTGATCCACAGATTTGTGCTGCAGACCAATCCCAAGAAGAAGAGCCTGGAAGAAAAGTGAGTTTCCTGGTTTTGATTCAACAGAAGGGAAAGTCTGGCCTTTGTCAGAACCCTATCATGTCATTATTATTTTTGTCCAGCAATTTCCTGTCCTTTCAAAAATTTAGGTGCACAAAACTCAAAGGGCCACATTACATTTTTATTAGTCCAGGAATATCACATCACATCAATGGTAGAGTAGCATTTTGCTACCATTTTAACTCCGTACTCATTTTTAACGCATTCCTTGCCAATCCCCTTCTTCTCTCTTTGCAAAGTGAACCACCCAAAAACAAACTGCAAAGTCCCCCAGCAAACCACCACAGACCACATCTTCTCCACTATTAAGTGTGCTCTCTTTCCTCTGTGCACAAAGTACATCACTTATGCTCTCCTCAATATGCAACAACAAAGATCTGCACCCCTTTTCTGTTGCTCCCCCATTTTTGTTTTATCAAATGCAAGATCTGCACTATCTACCTATGCCAGATTTTCTCATTTTCTTCCTTTAGCCTTTCCTTTTGCTGTGTTTTGCTCCCGCAACACTTGTCTACTGCCCCTAGCCAAGTTCAGTGGCAACAAAACATAAGGCATTCATTTGCTCCACTAACTTCACACACAGTGTCTCAGATGCAGGTAGGCTGCAAAGCATCACTGGCAAACTGCCAGAGGCTTTTAAAAATGGGATCAATTCCCAATGCCTGCACTACGTTCTGCATTCTTCCACTGACTGTTGATGGCCTGTATGAGCCACAAATGATCCCACAAATAGGTTAGAGAGGTCTTCAGATAAGGGGTGCTGCAATCAACCTGCATAAATTATCTTGAGCAAGTGCCTTAATTCAGTTACTGTTTGATTCAGAAGTTGGGCTCTAAATTAGGGTTCAAGGGCACCTGATGTAGTTCCAAGACAATTGATTTGTGGATCTTGTCCTGGTGAGTTTAAAGTTAAGAGGACAACTGGAAAACCCAAGCATGCCACTGAGTTCAGGGGGGGAAAGTCAAGGTCACAAAATCTCTCTCTCTCTCTCTCTCTCTCTCTCACACACACACACACACACACTCACACACACAGTTCAGAGACTGGCCATCAAATGAGAGGACTTGCATTAACAAGACGCTAGCTAAACACATGATACTTACAGACTGAGTAGCAGAAAGGGTCATATCTCCAAGCTGGTTGAGAAAGTACATCTTAGAGATAGCTGGAATCATGTCCATAATCAAGTGATAGTCCACCATGTTCCTTGAGTACATCTCCAGCCTCTTCAGGTCGTAAGGGATAAAAACAGCTTCTAATTCTTTACGACTGATTGCTTAGCAAACCATGAATCAAATTTTGAGTGGAGTGGCAAGAAGGAAAAAAACAAGACAGAGATAAATTACACTTGCTATCTAGGTGTTAAGAGCAGGAAGCAGAGCAGTATTTGTAAGACGGGGATAGCCCATCTGATGTCTTCCGTAAAGGATTCCCATTGTCAGCATGGAAATGCAACAAGCTGTCCATCAAGAAAGAAACTGCTCTTGGACCAGAGAAAGCAGAGTACTGTGTATATTTATTGAAGACCTTTTTTATTTTTTAATGTGATGCATATTTTTTTTTTCTGGGATTTGCTTTAGTACTCTTTAGTACATGGTAGGCAAACTAAGGCCCGGAGGCCGGATCCGGCCCAATCTGACCCATGGACAGTCCGGGAATCAGCATTTTTTTACATGAGTAGAAAGTGTGCTTTTATTTAAAATGCATCTCTGGGTTATTGGTGGGGCATAGGAATTCACCCCCCCCCCCTGCTGAAAAAGTTTGCTGACCCCTGGTTTAGCTTCACAAAAGGCCCTCCAGGGAGCTTTGCAGACATTTACTTACGGGGTTGAGGTGGCTGCTTGATATTCCTGTTTTGCAAAATGTTCAAAGCTAATGAAGGAGAGAAAGTGCTGAACTGATATGACAAAAGGGAGAGAAACCTCCTCCTGAAATCTGCAGGACAAATGGAAACAAAACCTTGTTTACTACTTCATGTACAACTGATCTAAAGGCTGATTAACAGTGATTTGCAGTGGGGGATATCAAATCCTTTTAAGGGGACTTGACCACCAACTCTCCACGTGAAACTGTGGGGTCAAATCACCACGGCAGCTAAAGTTGATGACTACTTTTTATGCAAGAGTATACCTTTTATTCTCCTGCCAACCTAGCAGTTCGAAAGCACGTCAAAGTGCAAGTAGATAAATAGGTACCGCTCCAGCGGGAAAGTAAATGGCATTTCCGTGTGCTGCTCTGGTTCGCCAGAAGTGGCTTAGTCATGCTGGCCACATGACCTGGAAGCTGTACGCCAGCTCCCTCGGCCAATAAAGCGAGATGAGCGCCGCAACCCCAGAGTTGGCCACGACTGGACCTAATGGTCAGGGGTCCCTTTACCTTTATACCTTTTATTCAGAGGAACTCCACTCCCCACCCCATAGGAATGTGGCGGTAAATTTACCATCCAACCCTAAAATGGCAGCTCAAAAAAGCACTGAAACATCATTCCCACTAGTCACCTTTCCAGAAGGCACTTAGCCAGTTCTCCTGCTCACTCTCTTCCTCTTCATTCAAGGTCTTCAGCATGATACATGAGTGCTCCCCAGTCAGATCATTCTGGAAAATAAAGGTATTGCTTGTAGCTGCAACGTTTTATGAGCCGTTGAGTCTTTTCAGCAATAAACAGCAGCAGAAAATAAAAAAGTTTATCAGAAAACACACAAGATAGTCAACAGCAATAACTGCGGCGCATCACCATAGTCTCAGTGCAACCTGGATTCTGCTTTTACAAAAAGGTAGCTTGGGTAATTCAGAACCAAATTACTGTTCCATTTCAGATCACATCAGGTGAATGATGAGGTTCCAAACTGGAGTTATTTTCTGGCTCAGATTATCAGAGCTGGAGGAGAACCATAGGGTCACAACACTCACTTCAGACTGGAGGTGAGCATTATAAGTTGCCCAGTCTGGTATAGTAGAAGACTATGGAATTCCAAACTTCAGGGACATTATTGGTGAAAAATGAAAACTTATTAACTATTATTTCACTGTGTATGTCTGATGACTACGAAGAACTAGTCACTGAAGCTATCAAAAGGAGATCATTTTAAAACCGAACACCTGATTTATGCAAACAAACCCCACCCTAGGCAAACCAATGACACTCACTGGATTTATAGTAAGGCTGTCAACCAATTAAATAATGCCTAGCTGATTGTTCAATAAATATACACCAAACATTTTTGTATAGGATAAACTACAGCTTAATAATCAAAAAACTATCACAGAAATAACAGAAATCACTGGGTTAAAGCTGACCAAAAGCCCAGAGGTAGCATTATTATCAATATATGATGGGGTGGAAGATTCACAGACTATGAAGGACTTGCTCACAAATTTATAGACAGCTGTACAAGTTATTATATCTAGGAAGTGGAAGGGGCAAGGTGGATATAAAATGGAATGGAATGGTATAAAGAGGTGTGAAATGTAGCTATTAATGATAAATTAGAATGTGCTGTTAAGGTAAAATGGGGAATATGCAGGATTTTGAGGAGCTATGGAAGGTGTTTGTGGAATTTGTACTGGACAGGGGGTCAAACCATCGCAAGAGATGTTGAGATTTTGGGAGGTTGAATAGTTACAATGGAATGGTCTCGGGGGTGGGGTGAACATTTTTATTCTTGTTTATTTATTATTATTACTTTGTCAAAATAAAAAATAAAATTATAAAAAAAGCTTTCACATTGCCATAGTGATATAGTCTTTGTTTTCCTTACAGGGATCATCAGAACCAAAAATCATTCCAGCACTATTGGGGTCTTGGGCAATGAAATGAAACTTACAGGAGTCTGCCTCAGATAAACTGGTACAAATCCAGCTCGTTTCCAAAACCTGGTAGAAGAGAGAAACAAAAACTTACTTACAGCCTGTGTCAAGAGAATGCTGATCGTATACTGATAGTCTATAAAACACAAAATAACTGCACAATATGGCTCAATATTTATTTATACTTAGGGCTGAGCCAAAGCTACATACTATTTCCCCCAGGCATTTGTGACCAAAAGACACCAAGCCTTCCCACTTTTTCCACTACTCCTTGCAACCATCTCCATTTATTTCTTCTTTCCCTTGCCCTCACTCTTAGTTGATCTCACTGACACCATCAAATGTGATGCAGTCCATGGTCCTGTGGCCTCGCCACATTTCTTGTGATTAATTTAGGAAGGAAGCAGCAACAAAAAGAGGGTGAAAGGGAAAATGGCACTGGAGCAACAGTGGCCAGTGTCACTGAAAAAGCGAAATATTAGGATAATCTGTGGGTGCAATTCAATATTGTGCCATTCAGTGCAAGCATTTCTACTTGCCAGAAATAATTATCTCCCCTCTGCTCCCCACCCCATCGCTTGCTGTTCTGGCCCTCCAGAACATGACCCTCCAGAGCCGATTTGGGTGAGGTGTAGGGAGCACATGGGGGTGAAGGGGGGAGCCCTTGCTCTGGCACCGGTTAGATCAAATCAACCCCAAAAAAATTTCCATGGAAATAAGTTGTTTTGATCTATGCACTGGAGAATAGTTCAGCACTGTCCTAAGTATAGTATCCAGGTGTACAGAAGAAGCTAACTGAAATAACCAGAAACTGCACATTGATGCAGAACAATGTTCTTGTACTGCTCCCTTCATGTCAATAGGACTTGGAACCCTAGAATTATAGAGCTGGAAGGGACCCCAAGAGTCGTCTAAGTCCAACTGCCTGCAATTCAGGAATCGCAGCTAAAGAACCCCTGGGAGACATGTTCTGCTGTGCACATATTTTACCAGATTGTACCTTGAACAATCCAAAACAGGCAAAGCACCCCAAGGTTAGAAAATGCACTTGGTCTGAACCACTAAGATTTCATGCTTTGCAAAACACACCAATACCCGACTTCAGTATAGTTGTTAAGAACGTAAGAAAAGCCCTGTTGGATCGGGTCAAAGGCTAATCCGGCACCCTCTTCTCCTAGTGGCCAGCCAGATACCTTTGGGATACCCCTAAGGAGGACCTGAATGTAGCAAAGCCCTCCCCACTTTTGATCCCCAGCAACTGGTACCCAGAGCTATACTGCCTCCAACAGTGAAAACAGAAAATAGCCCATTGTGGCCAGAAGCCATTGATGGAATCCTGTGTATACCTGGTATCACAATGGCACTGGCATCTCTTAACCTCTCCCAGCAGAGGATAATGTTGGAATCCATGGTTTGAATGCAGCTTTGCAAGTTAGCAATTAGAGTCTCCACAGCGTGGGAAGACAGAGCATGAAAGGAATCTGCCTAGAGATAAGGAGACGCAGCAACAACCCAGTGATTGGCTGAGGTCCCTTATATAGGCATGACCTATAACACTGGTGTGAGTGAGTGTTAGTGTGGTGTGATTAGTGCTGAGGAGTTGCTGAGAGTGAAGAAGTCCTGTTGTAAATAGTAACTTGTAGATAGACTTGTATGTTTGCTGCTGTAAATAATAAAACAACAAGAATCAAGTTACTAGTGATCCGTTTGGTTCCTGTTCGTCATCCTGCCTGGGCAATCTCAAGAGTTGCTCAACAATGGCTGCAGTACTCTGCTATACTCTGCTAAGCTGTGCAACAGGCGAAAGCACTTCAAAGGTTCAGATGGCTTTCAAAGTTTCAACAGATACAAATGCATCCAAATGCTTACTTGAGCAGCCTTGGTGTCAAACCGTAGGACACACCAAGATAGTCCAGATTCTCAGCTTGCCTCTCGCTCAGTTTGAGAAGCAGAGGCGGCAAATCCTTCCGAGGCATCACAGCTTCTTCTAATAAACTGACCGCCTAAAACAAAACAAAACAAAAACCCAGCAGATCACTTAGCAAGCGGATGAGTGGCCAAAAACATTTGCCTGTTCAGTGGAAAGCAGTCCGAAGAGGTATAAACATAATGAAATCCCCATGTGGACCTCTGAAAAGCAAATCTCAACAGAAGCCTTTGTAGAATGTCATAGAATCATAGAGTTGGAAGGGACCAAGAGGGTCATCTAGTCCAACCCCTTGCAATGCAGAAATCTTTTGCCAAAGGTGGGGAAGAAACCCACAACCTTGAGATTAAGAGTCTCATGCTCTACTGGCTGAGCTAGCTTTCCTACCTCACTGCTCACTGTAGTTATTTCTCTTGGCTTCTGAGTCACTTTTTCTTCCAAACAAGGAAACTTGCCTTCATAGTACATCTGTAGCAAACGCAGAGCTCGGCTGCCATAACCCATCTAGGAAGAAAAGGGTTTTGAAAGAAAGGATGCACATTCGAGAAAGCTCTTACAACCTGCCTCCTTCAGGAAGCTCAGCATTTCAGACATCAAGCATCAAGTTCATTTCACGTTGGGATGAAGAACACGTGGCCCCTTCAGATGTTCATAGACTACAACTTCCATCATCCCTGACCATTGGGCCATGCTGGCAGGGGCTGGAGTCTAACACCATCTGGAGGACCACAGGTTTCTCATCCCTGATTTACATGACCAGGTCAGCATCACTCTGCAACCACAGATGGTTATTAGTTATAAAAAGTTGCCAACACACACAGACATGAGAATACACATTTCATACATATTGTTTTTTCATTAAATTTATATCCTGCCCAAAGAAGCCAGGGCAGTGGGAGATATAAGGCCCAAACTAATGGGCCTTAAGTAAGCAGTTTACTTTAAAAAAAACCCTGTTTTTGATACAATCTACGTTTCTGAGGCAGGAAAAGAATAAGATCCCAAAAAATGGTATTTGCAGGATTTCTTTCAAATGCTAGCAACAGAAGAATAAATTACATTACCCCTTGATAATCAGGATGGACTGCAATGCGAACAACTCTCCCACCAGACAGACTACCAAAGTCAGGATCTTGGAACTAGAAATAAAAATTTAGAAGAAATGAAGCAATCATCAAATGGAACTGAAGAATAAGAATACAGGAAAGTGCAAAACACCTGAGATGCAACTGAGAAGCTGATCAGTTACCTGCTCTGAGACGCTCCATGGAATGAGATCTCCCGATGCTTTCTTCCCCCTAGACAGACTGTTCATAATAGACTGACGGGCGATCTCTCCCTCCAAACATACCTGCCAAAAGTGGGGAGAATAAAGGAGACATGGGATTTAGTGCTAGACTAAAGCACAGTACTCAACAGACTAGGGCAATTTAATCCATAAAAAATACATTGCTCTGTTAGTTCCATAATAATTAGGGATTGTCTTATACACAGGGGAGAAATACAGTAATTTTCCCTAGGAGTCAATGATGAAAAGGTTAGCTCTCTGATGTAGGATTTGTAGCCTTTATCAGATACCCAATTTTCCACAGCTTGCTTTCTGGGCAAATTAATCAGAGCTCTTTAAACACAAAAGGCTTCGGGTTGGATCCAGTCTAAGCTCTGGGTGCAATCTAAACACTCACCCTGATGTTGATGAGAGAGCTTAGAAGGGTATGCAGTTGCCCCTCTGCTGCTCTCTGCTGCCCATGACGAGGAGTGCGGCTGGTTGAGAGACTCCACCAGGGCAGAGACCCCACACTTCACCCTGGGGGACAGGAAGGTACCACCAGCAATTCTTCAACCAGAGCTAGCTGGCAGAAAGCACCCAAATGGGGTGTTTGGGACGGGACCATCAAACTCTTTGAGTCCCAAAGGGATCCAATTCTTTTGTCTCTCAGCTGCACCAGCTGGGAGGTGGCACAACAAAAAGGAAACTGCTCCTCCCCCACCCAGACACAATACTCCCCTAGCCAACACAAGCAGCAGAGCTTGTGACGCAGCTGTCAATCTGGCCCTCCACTCTGCCCTGCTGGTCCCCGGCTGGGGGTTAGGATTGCTCTGTTAGTTCCATTTACAGCAAGTCCCATTGATTTCAATAGCGAAGCCAATTTAGTCTGCACCCAGCCCTCTGTGCCCTCTCTTACCTGAACGACAGCAAGCACTTCTGGCAAAGAATTCTGGGTAGGTGCAACAGGTGGCAGGAGGCAGAAGAGGTGATGGGCAGGAGCATCTGAAAGCATCTGGAGGTCATTGGGAGAGTTCTGGAAAGACAACCGTTGGGTCACAGAATTAGCTCTCCAAACACACACAAACAATTATATTTGTTTCTCATCTGATGAGCAACTATTTCACTGCATCTGATTTATCTGCATTATGAGTTTTTGGCGGGTTTTTTGCACAGAGAACTCTCTTTGAAGCAATGAAGACCATCGGCATCAAACTGATTTTTTAAAATGCCAAGCTATGTTGTTGTTGTTGTTTAGTCGTGTCCGACTCTCCGTGACCCCATGGACCAGAGCACGCCAGGCACTCCTGTCTTCCACTGCCTCCCGCAGTTTGGTCAGGCTCATGTTTGTAGCTTCGAGAACACTGTCCAACCATCTCGTCCTCTGTTGTCCCCTTCTCCTTGTGCCCTCCATCTTTCCCAGCATCAGGGTCTTTTCCAGGGAATCTTCTCTTCTCATGAGGTGGCCAAAGTATTGGAGCCTCAGCTTCATGATCAGTCCTTCCAGTGAGCACTCAGGGCTGATTTCCTTCAGAATGGATAGGTTTGATCTTCTTGCAATCCATGGGACTCTCAAGAGTCTCCTCCAGCACCATAATTCAAAAGCATCAATTCTTTGATGATCAGCCTTCTTTATGATCCATCTCTCACTTCCATACATCACTACTGGGAAAACCATAGCTTTAACTATACAGACCTTTGTCGGCAAGATGGCATCTCTGCTTTTTAAGATGCTGTCTAGGTTAGGGCCATTTTGATACAGCAAAGTGTATATAGTATATAAGAGTGTATATAATAATAGATTTATTTTCTTCCATCCAACTGCAAATACTGATCTTGCTCCAACCAGCAGGAGCTTCTCAAGTGGCATTCAGCTGAGGGATCACTCCTGTTGGCAGGGCAGTGGGGGTGACTTTTGCCATCTCTCTCCTTACGGCAGCCCCCAACACTCCCCTCTCTCACTGTTGTGAAGGGTTGCGAGTCTGCCCAGAACAGTGACAGAGGTGGCCCGGATGGAAAGAGGGGAACTGAAGGAATCAGAAAGAAAAAGAACCACGAGGAAAAGCACTTATGATTTTTGTCCAACCACAGCTCAGCAAGGAAGGTCAAAGGTCCCCCAATCTCCAGCCGAAGCTGGCAACAGGAACAGTGTCACCAACCTTGTAGTGAGAAGCCACGTACAGCGCCATCAGCCTTTGAAGAAAAGTCTCTGATGCTCGGTGATAGCAGAAGAGGGTGTCCCTGTTCACGTAGTATCTGAGTGCCATGGGTTAAGGGCCATCTCACCTGTGGCTCACTCTAGGAAGGACCTGGGAAGGGAGTAATTTCCTGGGAAGGGGGTAATTTCCTGGGAACAGTATGCAGCAGGAGGACAGAGCGGATCATTCCATCTGGCAGGCTGAAAGGTTTGCCCTGGTGGAAAGAGTAACAGAGCCTGATACTGAATTCCTGTCAATTTTCCATCTCTCTTACTCCCTGTGGGGCTGCTAAAGGCCACACACGGCATGAGAATAATCTCCAGCAGCAAGGATACAGGTCACAGGTTTCGGGCAGCGGGCAGCCAGATATAATCCTTGTGATGTTGAGGCAATCCAAACACAGCAAGTCGTTCAGCCACTTTTCGACTGGATCTCCCGGGGCATACCTAATGGATTCCTGGAGGGAAACTTCATGCAGCGAGCGAGCTGGAGGAGAGAGAAAGACGCAAAAGGGGCAAAAGTGAAAAATTTAAGTCCACGGCCAATTCATATCCATAAAAAAACCAAAACAAAGGAGATAGGGAAGAACAAAACTCTTACACCCCAGTGTTTCCTAAACTGGTGCCTTCCATTTGGAGGGCAACAGATTGGGGAGAGCTGCCTTGTCCAAAGAATTATTTCTATTTCTATACATTTTACACTACTTAATGAAATAAAAACCACTAAGTGGTTTATGTTTACATAAAAAACAACACACAGAGAACAATATTCAATCAAATTTCCTAATACCTAAGACGTGATATAAACACAGAACTGTATGTCACAAAGAAAACTGAGCAGTGTACGAAACAAATTTAAAAATTAAGGGTTCAGTCCAGAAATTAACCACCCTCGGCTCCAAAAGCCCCAAATGGGAGGTGTTTTCACATTAAACTCCCAAGAATGCGTCAGCAGGTTGTGTCCTCCTCACAAGCCCTGAAAGCCCTCTTAACGCTGCCCAATAACAGCTTCTCACACTGCCGCACTGTCAGCCCTCCATGTTAGGTAGATGATGCTTGGAACCTACTGTTTGGTCCACTGCCTGGAGACAAAACAAGTACGCAGCCTGTCAGGAAAAGCTGGTCCACAACCCAGGCACTAAAAATGAACTAAAAGCCAAGAAGTCGTCTTGGATTTTCTCAATTCAGCACTTTCAGGTCCAAGACACCTAATGGTGACAGCAGCTCAAAGCTCTTGCATCCATTTCCTGCAGTTCTTGGGGGGGGGGGGATTTCTCCTGCGTCAAGAGCCACTCTTTGGCACATATCTGAGAAACGTAGATGCTGTGCTTCCGCAGTGCAGATTTCACATTATGCAGCCTGGGGTTTCTCAACTCAACTATACCTGAGGACAGTTTCAGCGTTGTCGTCGCCTTGTTCTCTGCTGTCATACTGGCCTGTGCTTGTGCACTCTGTTGCCGTAACTGCTGGATCAGCTTCAGGGAGAGGGAACGGCCAGTCCCCTCATACCTATTAAGAACAGACAAAACAGTCGAGTGAAAAGAGAGAGACACAAAACAAGTAAAGCTCTTGATTCCTGTAGTATCAAGGGAAGACTTCCACGCGCCATGACAGATTAGTGACCAAAGAAATAGCATTAGTTGTCATCAGGTGTTAAGCTACAGCACAATAAATTTTGGGGGAAATAATTCACGTATTCAGCAGGCAAGTAGGAGAAATTAGGGGATGGGAAATCAAGCGATGGGAAACCTGCGTGTGAATCAGAAAGCTACTTTTCCCAGAGTGCTTTTATAATCAATCACAGGGAACCCTGGGAATTTTAGCAGGGGTGGGGGGGATAGGGATTGCCTAACAATTTCCAGCAGCACTTTTAACAAACCACAGCTCTCAGAATTTTTGGGGAAAGCAAAGACTGTTTAAAGGGGTGTCATGGTGGTTTAGTGTATGGTGTGGGAGCAGCCCTGCCAAGTCACAGAACCCTTAGAGCAGATTTAAGGCATGAAGAACTTACCCATTGATTGTAGAAGCCATGAAGACCAGGTAAGGGCCTAACAGGTTTTTCACCAGTGGGAGAGGGATAGCAGCAGCTTCATCAATCACCACCAGCTCAGCTTGCCCCAGTTTCACAGCATCAGCAGGGTGGATATACTTGCCAAGAAATGAGAAAAAAAATATTTTTTATAATTATTATTACTACTACTACTATTTCTAAGTAAATGACCATTCTCTCCTGAGCGTTCAACCAATCAGAAAGGAAGCCACAACAAATATAAATTATTTCTTTAACTCGCACTTAGCTCCAGAACTGCCCTCCAGAATTCTGGAATTGGCCTCCACAGTCACTTACAGACACACTGTTAAGACCACACTCATGGAAGACAATCTTACTTGGCTACAAGTGAGCACCAAAGAAGACTTAGCTCCATTTGAAGATCAATCACCTAGTTTTCCTTAAGATTTTTGGTGTTGTTTATTAATGCAATATAATTCCACAGAGAAGGAAAAAGATTTAAAGGGGGGACTTTGAGCTAACAGAAACAGACAACGCCTTTAGAATATGGGTACAGTCTAATTGTGAGGAAGTATAAGCAGATGTTCTAAACAACGGATGAAAGACCTCAAAATTAAACTTACATCACCTGGACACCAGAGCTAGCATACTTAGAGGAAAAGAGGGAGGGAGAGGCAGAAAGAGAGCCCAGTGTATGTGCAAGGACTAAACGTCCCAGGTACAGATCTTGCCTGTGCTGCAAAACTTCAGGGAAGTGTAGCATAGTGTATCTATGTTGTACATTATTATTTCCTGCACCCTACTGTTCTTCACAGGATGTGGGTGGCGCTGTGGGTTAAACCAGAGAGCCTAAGACTTGCTGATCAGAAGGTTGGCGGTTCGAATCCCCACAACGGGGTGAGCTCCTGTTGCTCGGTCCCTGCTCCTTGCCAACCTAGCAGTTCGAAAGCACCTCAAAGTGCAAGTAAATAGGTACCACCCCAGCGGGAAGTTAAGCTGTGTTTCCGTGCGCTGCTCTGGTTCGCCAGAAGTGGCTTAGTCCTGCTGGCCACATGACCCGGAAGCTGTACACTGGCTCCCTCGGCCAATAAAGCGAGATGAGCGCCGCAACCCCAGAGTCAGCCACGACTGTACCTAATGGTCAGGAGTCCCTTTACCTTTACCTTACTGTTCTTCACATAGATATTTTAGCACCAAGGACCACAGTGGAAATTGTGGCCACCTTTGCAAAGAAAAAGAAAAAAGATTGTGCCCTTCATCCTGGACCATCAGGTCACATGCAAAATTGAGTGTGAGTAGGTGTAGTGTAGTGGTGAAGAGAGTTGTTCATGAAGCTCACCTTCGGCCAGTCACTGCCTCTCAGACTAACCTACCTCACAAGGTTGCTGTGGGGATTAAATGAGGGAGAGAGCAGCCTTCTGGAGGCCACAGGCCAGTGCTGGGCAGTGCTATTAATGCACATTTTCCTTGTTTCTATACTTTCCTATCCAGGCAAGCAATAGGCTTGATCAGAGCTCAGGGACACGTTTCAGCTAAGCAAAAACACTAAGCACAGTGCAAAGCAGGGGCAGTGAGGAGTGGGGCTTGAGGAGAATTCCAAGGGCCAGAAAGAGGGGTCCAAGCGCCACATTCAAACCCTAGGCCCGAGGGCCTGGCATTGGGTGCAGCACAATATGTCTTCTGAAAACACGGAGCTGAAGACTCGCTTTGGTAAACCAGTCTGATTAGGAGTTAAGCAACCTTGTCTAGCTTTTGCAAAGAAGTTATAGCATTTGAAGAGTGCCAGGAACAAGTAATTGTGTCTACACATGCCTGAAGGAAAACCGAAGAAAGCTTCTATCAAAGATAAATCTACCTGGATAGTCTGCCTATGCTCTTTGAACACATTCACTCTGACGACTGCTTTGCTAAATTCAGGGTTGAGAGACTGAATGATCTCATAATCCAAGTGTTCCTGAAAACGACAGACATAAACCACATTAGGAACACCAAAGAAAATAAAACCTAGCTTGTACAAAAAAAAACCCAACCCTTCAGAGCTAGTTTGGTTTCAAAGGTCATCTGAAGCTATAATTATCTAAAATTGTTCCACATATTTGGTAACCCCATGCTTTGTAAAAAAAAAACCCCACAAAAACATTATTCCACCAGGCTCTTAGGGCGTAAGAATTTTCCCTCTACCCACTGATGGTTCTGCTGTTGTTTTATTCCATTGGTTGCATAATTTGACATTTTCAGTATGGCTTTGACTGTTATTACTGCAATTTGTATTGTCAGCCACGCTTGCAATCCACTGGAAGGAAGGGCAGGATATAAGCCTATGGGAAATAAATACAAAAATAAGGAACTGAATCTAGAAAAAAACATGACCAGAACACCACTAATGGAACAGGTTTCTTGTATTTCCATTGCCACTGCAGAAATCTGCACAGCCTAAAAGCAGCTCATGAGAGTCAGAGAACTTTCTGGAATTGTGTGGGTTATACACAGGTGGTTGTAAGGGGCGGGGGAAGAAATTCAGGAGGATAACCGTGTGCAATGTACACAGAGGCACTCTGTGGAACCAGTCAATATCTGTTTATATTACCTGATACTGCAGAGCATCAAAGCCTTTAAATACAAATTCAAACAGGGTGTGAAGGTTATCTGGGCTGGGAGATGTGACAAAAATGTTGGAATAGCTGCAAAAAAAGAAAGAAAAACATGACAGAAATGAACTTTACAAACTTTATTATTATTGAAACAGTAATATAAATAATTCGGCATGTTGTAAAAGCGGCAAAATAATTTATCAGCTTTTTAAAAGAAATATTGTTATAACATGACCCAGCTTTTGGAGAAACTGGAACTGAAGATGGTTTAAAGCAGAGTTTACAAGACAATATAAAAACCTGATGTAAGAAAAATGTTCCCCTATTGCATGCACATGTGCTACAGAAGAAAGTACTGAAGTACTCCTATAGCAGTCTTTGGTCATGTTTTCACTGGAGTGGTAAATCTGTTTCTGTACTGTGGCACTTCAGAGCTACAGCAAGTTTTGAACAAGTAATGAGCTACATTTTCAGCTATTTCCAGACTCAAAAGAGAATGTGGATTTAACATCACCTGGAGCCTCTTGAAGGAAGAACAAGTTACAAATTTTTACATCAGTTATTTTGCAGTGTTTTTTAAATTGCTGCCTCTGGGCTGAGAGCGCAGCATATTTGAAATCATTTCTGATTTCAGCCTTAACTAAGTAAATCGTTGGTTTGACACTAATTCTATTAGCTAAATGTGGCAAAAGTGAGCATATGGACCATTTTGATTTTTATTTATGGCTCATAACTTGGCAGCAGGGGCAATTACCTATGTATATTCATTATTACTGAATCAGTTCTTTTCAGACTTATGTGGAGAGTCCAGTTCTCCAAAAATACCTTCAGGTTTTACCTTTTAAACACACACCCATCCTTAAAACACCCCAGAGCAACTTACCCAAAAGCCACTGCTCCAGCTATGGCCAACCCCAAGGCAGCTGATTTACCACGACCTCGAGCGGCTGTTAAAGCCACAGTGCTTCTCAGCGTCTTCTCAGAAATGGCTTCAATGAACTTCAAAACAGCTTTGGCCTAGCAACAGGGAAGCATATTAGAACAGTTTGGCCAGAAAAGCAAGACCACAAAACTAGAGAGCTGCAAGCAATAGCATATGCTAGTAAGATTTCAAGTGCATTCAGTTATTCATTCAGTAAGATTTCTTACACATTCTTATAGTTATAAAAAAAAGAGCAGACAAGTAAAAATAATTCCAAATGGAAGCTGCATAGAATGGGTTAAACAAAAATAGAAATTGGTCCAATAAAGTAGCTTAACTATCTAAGGGGACGTGGGTGGCGCTGTGGGTAAAAGCCTCAGCGCCTAGGGCTTGCTGATCGAAAGGTCGGCGGTTCGAATCCCCGCGGCGGGGTGCGCTCCCGTTGTTCAGTCCCAGCGCCTGCCAACCTAGCAGTTCGAAAGCACCCCCGGGTGCAAGTAGATAAATAGGTACCACTTTATAGCGGGAAGGTAAACGGCGTTCCGTGTGCTGCGCTGGCTCGCCAGATGCAGCTTGTCACGCTGGCCACGTGACCCGGAAGTGTCTCCGGACAGCGCTGGCCCCCGGCCTCTTGAGTGAGATGGGCGCACAACCCTAGAGTCTGTCAAGACTGGCCCGTACGGGCAGGGGTACCTTTACCTTTTTAACTATCTAAGGATCTTTGGCATAGAGAAACTGAATAATGACGGTGCAAAACGTACTTCTGTATTAATATCAGACACCAATTTCATGCATAAAACCCCATCTGCTGAGAGCAGGAGGAGATTCTCCAGCAGCTGGCAATATCTTTCATCCCCCTCATATCCTGGCTCTTCTCACCATCCTGAGCTTCACCAAGCTTCATGAACAGGACACATGGGGGTGAGGGGCTCAAATAACTGCATCACCTGATTCCTGTTTCAATGTAAGACTTGCCTGATCCAGGGTTTTACAACCATCCACAAGCACTCCTACAGGCTGGGTATCCTGGAGGTTCTCCTTTAGTTCCTTCAGCTCCATGTCCTGAGGACTCAGACTTTCCTCCTGTGAGCAAGAGAAGTGTCACCTAAATCAGAAAGGACTGCTGCTTTGAATGCAAAGAGACACCACGATCCGCAAGTAGCTCGCCTGCACAGATTTGTTTTGATGGGAAAATGAGCATCCTACTGCTCATTAACCAAACATGGTGGGTTGTCTTTGAGGGATACAACCCAGAGCACCTGCAAGTGTGCAAAATTAGCTGCATAGGAGCATCCTGACTTTGAATATATATGAAGTGACGAAGGCAAGAGGGTTGGGGGGGGGACGACGACCCTCCAACACTTCACTCCTTTTCCAAGGCCTGTTTGTTATTGTTATCAGGACCTGCTGCTCCAAGCACAACTCCAAAAACTTTATTTGTACTTCTGGAAATACAGCTTTTAAGCCCTGTGCCTTTGGAGCAAGAAGAAACAGAGGGCTCTCCTGTTGGAAAACAAGAAGAAGCAAAATAGAACCTTCCACCAAGTCCTATAAATCATGCATTTATTTTACCAAGCACCTAAAAGAAGTTGAAAAGGCAAGTCCTGTTATTGCAAACTAAACATCCGAAAATCTGAAGTTATAATCTGAATTATATGAATTTAAACTACTTACCTGAGACCGGGGTGGAATAGCAGCAATGTCTGCTACATGGGTAGAGATCGGGAGGATGTTAAGCTGATCGTCAACCACCATGCAGGTTTTGCAAGAGGCCAAAGAAAGAATGAACCTGTGCGGTGAGACAGAGGACACAGCACCATTGTCGCTGTTGTACTTGACTGGTTCTCTGCCTGCAAAATGATTCCTCGAGCTACAGCTCATGTACATGAATGGATTAGGTGATCCAAGAATAGTGTTTCCGGATGGCACATCAAGCCAGATAGCACAGACTGCTTCTGTATAGTAGCTCCCTTCAGCATTAATACAGTGCTAACACACAGACCCTGCCAACTTCACAGCAAAGCTTAGGGAAGAGTTAGCCTTGGGACTCAAAGCCACATTTCCAACATGCAACAATACACTTTGTTCAACAGCATTTCACTGCACAGGGGAGTTTCCCAAAAACAAATGTGGGGGTTGGCAGAGCATTTGTTGGGAAATGTCAAAGTGAATCTACATAGCAGAAATCATAGATGTCCCAACATTTTACTATTGTAAATTAGACTTTGCTTAATTTAGTCTGAGCACAGCCACCCTACACAACAGGTGTGGGGTACCTGTGGCCCTCCATCTATTATTGGACCACAACTCCCATGTTCACTGGCCTTGTTGGCAAGGGCTGATGGGAATTGGAGTCCAAAGGTATCTCGTGAGCCAGGAGTTCCTCGCTCTTGCTGTGCATTTCCCTACTAGTCAAGATTGTACACAGCTTCATGAATGATCTCTTGGACACAGGGTAATAATAATGAATGCAATTGGGGTGGGGGGAATTCACATTTAAAGTTACAAACATGCACTTAGAATCATGCAGACTTCTGAAACAATGAGCGAAATCTAAGCAACAGGGCTAGAGCTTCTAAGATTCACCACCCCATTATGCTTAAATTGAACATAATATTCCTTAAAACTTCCACTAGAGGGCAACAAGTACCGTATTTTTCGCTCTATAACACGCACCTGACCATAACACGCACATCGTTTTTAGAGGAGGAAAACAAGGGAAAAAACATTCTGAATGAAACAGTGGATGTATCATTTTTGTGCTTCATGCTGTGGCCACAGACATGTGATCTGATGGTGAATTTGGGGTGACCCAATGCAAAGATCCTGAGAATCCCTGTGGATCCATGCTTTGTAACCACGTTTTTGCACCATTGCAGCCCCAGGCAACAGTGGGTGCATGCTTTTTTTGGTGCAGGCTGTAGCCATGGACATGCTATGTGATCTGATGGTGAATTTGGGGTGACCCAATGCAAAGATCCTGAGAATCCCTGTGGATCCATGCTTTGTAACCACGTTTTTGCACCATTGCAGCCCCAGGCAACAATGGGTGTGTGCTTTTTTTGGTGCAGGCTGTAGCCATGGACATGCTATGTGATCTGATGGTGAATTTGGGGTGACCCAATGCAAAGATCCTGAGGATCCATGTGGATCCATGCTTTTTAACCACGTGTTTGCACCATTGCAGCCCCAGGCAACAGTGGGTGCGTGATTTTTTTGGTGCAGGCTGTAGCCATGGACATGCTATGTGATCTGATGGTGAATTTGGGGTGACCCAATGCAAAGATCCTGAGGATCCATGTGGATCCATGCTTTTTAACCACGTGTTTGCACCATTGCAGCCCCAGGCAACAGTGGGTGCGTGATTTTTTTGGTGCAGGCTGTAGCCATGGACATGCTATGTGATCTGATGGTGAATTTGGGGTGACCCAATGCAAAGATCCTGAGGATCCATGTTGATCTATGCTTTGTAACCACATTTTAAGTGGGGAGCGAAGGAAAAACAAAGAAGGGACATGAGAGGGGTGTGCAGAGAAGCAGCTGGCTAAGAATGCTGGAGAGGGATTTAACGGGTGGGAGGCAAAAGTTCCCCCCCAAGCCAGCCATCTCTCTCTCTCCTCTCTCTCTCTCTCTCTCTCTCTCTCTCTCCCTCTCCCTCCCCCCCTCTCCCTCTCCCTCCCCCACTCTCTCTCCCTCTCCCCCAGCAGTACCGGAGCACAGAGACGACACTTTCCCCTCTGCTTGCCTGGAGGGGAGGGGCTTTCCCTGCTCTTTGTTCCGTTTCAGCAATCACAGCAACGAAACAGAGGAGGGTGGGCAGTAAGACCCTGAGGCAGAATACAGGAAAGCTGCCACTTCCTCTTTTCAGGTTTCCCTTCTCTGTGACTCGCGATTTGACTTTTGCTTGATTTTTTGGCTCCAGGGACCACACATTCGCTCCATAACACGCACAGACATTTCCCCTTCCTTTTTAGGAGAAAAAATCTGCGTGTTATAGAGGGAAAAATACGGTACTTGGGCCAACATGGAATCCCTTCTAATCCCAGGCTCAACAAACGCACTTTCCCCTTCCAAGGGTTGCTAGTATTTGTGCTCAAAATAGTTCAGCAGCCTACCTTTCATTGAATCGGCCGACCACATCCTGATGTGCTTCTGTCCGGTAGCGAGAGTGTACATCCTGGGGAGAAGAAATGTTGTTTGTACGAAGCCTGAAAAAAGCCTTGAACCTGACAACTTCAACGAAGCACAGGAACAGAACAGCCAAATATTCCACTGTCTCGGTTAGACTGTGCTCCTTTCCAATGCCCACATTTTACCGACTGCTCTTTAAAAGGCTCTCAAGTTTACCTCTCTAATTCCCAAGCAGAGGCCCAAGTAGAGATGGACACTGGCCCTCATTAGCACATAGCCCTCAGCCAGACCAGTCTATGACTTAGGGTGCATGAGCAAGTGTGCTGCCTGCAATCGTGTGACTGAGTAGGCCAGCCCACTTTTCTGCCAGGATGCTTGCGCTTCCAACACCTGCATGTCTAGAAATTCTGCATCTAAAGCTTTCCCCATAACTGCATCTCCACAATGAGAAAAACTCCATGTGCTTGCCGCTTTCTTAGCAGCTAAGTGCAGAAATAAACAAACAGCTTTAATGACTCTGATACACGTGTTCAGAAAGGACACTCATTGCATCCAATATGTGGTATGTTTCACCCATTCCAGAGCCAGATCTCAGCACTACAAAACAGGTTGCAGCACTGAAAAGCTCCTTTTAAGCTGGCATTATCTCAAGCCCCTAGTCCAGCTGTACATTTCAAATGGAACACAAGAGAACACGCCTGTACCACTTTCCCATGCAGTCCAGCACTGTCTGCTATGATTGGCAGTGCCTCTCTGGGCCCTCAATGTTTCCAGTTACATGCAACCTCATCTGTTTCTAACTGGAGGTGCCAGGAATCAAACGAGGGACCTGCCGTATGCAACGCATGGGTCCTACCACTGAGCCATGGTCTCGAATAGGAGAGCAGGCCGATTTTCTGTTAAGCGCAGATAAAAACATCTCAGGAGGCATACATACCATGGTCATGGTGTAGAGTTGCTTCAGGGAGTTCATTGTTCTCAGAAGAATCGCCACGATGCCGCCGCCTTCCACGGTTTCAACTGTACGAGCCAGCAAATTGGGCGTCAAAGCTTCAAAGTCCTGGAAAAGATTGTGCCGGAAATTGACGCACCGTCTTCAGTAATGTGCCCGCAAAAAATGCGCAGTGCCAAGAATGGAACAGTAAACATGGGAAGGTGCCTTACAGCAGATAGGCCATTGGTCTATTTTGCTCAATACTGTCAAGAGTGACTGGCAGCAACACTTCAGGATTTCAGACACGGGTCTCTCCCAGTCCTGCTTAGAGATGCCAGAGAATGAACACAGGACCTTTGAGATGCAAAGCACACACTCTTCCACTGTGCTACATAGCCTCTACCAACCCTTGAGTACTTTGAACCGATGCAGGCTTGAATGCCTTCTTCTCCCTGCAGGACAATGTACCCTTAAAAGCCTTTGCAGATTTGTGTGCTTTTTTTTTGCTTTTTTTTTAGGGGGCTGGTGGAATGATTGAGTTGTAATACAGAAGGAAAAAGAATGTTCCTTAAGTTTATCTACTGGGAGTTGCTTATCGAAAGGCATGACCGGTATGGACTTTCATTATTCTTGTACAAATGGAGTCAGGCAACAATCTGCAACATGATGGTCCAATTTAGATGGATCATATCTTAATAAGCAGAGATAGAAGCAAGACTTTTGCTCATACATGCGGTCCCTTCTCCCTTGTGGTGTATCTGAATCAAGGTCTGCAATTAATCAGAGTTTCTTTTTTAGCTGAACCCGGAACTTCAAAGCATGATTTAAGATGAAGGCTTGTTCTGGAGCTGGTAACCAGTTTCATGGTTCACCCAAAATGAGAAACTATGATTAATTGGAGACTTCTGTGTTCAGCTGAGATATTATCCTGAGCATGGCTTGTATTTCACAGAAGTATCAAATGTCATTTTATTTTATTATTTTTTATTTTTGTTAGTAATGCAATGTGGAAAATACATTTGGTACAATTTTGCACTCAAGAGTAAAGATATCTGCTACAGGGAACATTATGGATAGTGCAGATGAAGCCTAGAGTTAAGGAGCAAGTAAACTGCCCAAATAACTTGAAGAAAATGGCTCTCCTGTATTGAACATCTTCCTACCTGGAGGACGCACATGCCGAAAGTATTTCCAAGAATTTTGTGAGTCTCGTTGTAGTAACAGTACCGAATGTTTGTGGCTGCTATGAACAACTCAAACGGGTCATCTTGTTTCAGATCTAACATTCCAGTTTTAATCTTCTTCTGCAACTGCCTCATTCTTTTTTTACGGTGGCTGGAGGGAAGATACAGGAAATTAAATTCGAAGTCCTCACTGAGGAAATTATCACATACTCAAATATGCAATTCTGTGTGTGTTAACCCAGAATAAAGTCCCACCAGGTCCAAGGATTTAATACTTTAGCCTCACCACATAGTTGCAATTTTTTTTAAAAAAGAAAGAAAAGTCATACAAATGTTTTTACCTGCTGAAGCCCAGCTCTTTCTTATAACACCATAATACTGATGGTCTAGCCTTTACAGCTGCTTTAGACAACATATGATGAAGTATGACTACCTGTAAGGCAATAAAACCTATCATTACCTCCAAACAAAGACAACACTGAAATCAAGCATCTGGAAAGCAAACAGGAAGATTTTAGAAATACTGTACAATTAGATTTATGCTTTGCCTATGCTTCTGAGAGAAGTGCCAGAACTTTCACATATAATCTTGTGCTACAAAACAATGGGATATGGAAAAATAAAAATGACACTCATGACAGAGACTTAAAAAAAGAGAAACCTTAACTGAAAAGACAGATACTGTATGGAATTCAATGCAGCACTAGGTGGGGAATGTGTGCAAGAAACAAGGTCTGATCACGCAACAAGACTTTTGTGCTTGAGAATGTTGCTGCGATAAGTTTCATGCTCTATAGCTTATAGTTTGAATGCATTTATTTATTAATCTGCTGAGAGAACACTAGTTATGGGGATGGAATATAAACTGTCATCAGTAAATTACTCCCAGATCCTTCATTGGGTGAACTACACACTGTAATTATTACAATTAAAGTTCCAACTCAAAAAGTAATTTGTGGGCACACATGGAAGTACAACCTCATGACATTTTTCCCAAGTGAACCAGCAATATGCAGATAGATTTCCACAGACAGCAATGATTTTAGCTTCTCCTTCTCTACAGACCCTCAGCAGAGGGGACGCTCTTGGTAGTCCCTCAGTTCAGGAGGTATGTGACCCAGGAGATGGAATTATCTGTGGCAGCCCCTAAGTTATGGAACTCCCTCCCCGCAGAAGTGCATCCAAAATCTTCACTGTATTTCTGCTATATGCTGAAGAAGGCACAGCTCTTTATCCTGGCCTTTGACACTTGGGAGATAAATGCAATTAACTTTGCACTGGTTTTAATGTTGTATTTTTAAATTACCCCTGGAGCTTGGGGGTAAAGGGTGGGTATCAAAACAACAACAATGGAAAGCGCAGCAGATACCTTCTCTGCAGAAATGGGTCACAGTGTAAAAAGTCCCTGGAAAATGACCATGTTACTCAAGGGTAGGGAACCAGTGGCCCTCCTGATGTTGCTGAACTCCAGCTCCCATAGCCCCAACCAGCATGGCCAAAGGTTAGGGATGACAGGAGTTGTAATCCAACAACTTTTGAAGGGCTGCAGGTTCCCCATCCCCAATTTAGATTTATGATGAGCAATCCCAAGCTGAATGAAGCAACCACATGTGGCCACTGCTTTTATTTTAACTGCTTGCACAAATCTCCCAAATAAGAAGCCAGCACTTTCCACAAGCGCATTAACAGCACCCGGATGAAGGTTATATACATTAGAGAAAAGAAGTCACGGGCTGCACTTCACCTGATCTTTGCTACGATCCCCTACGACCACAAAAAGTGTCCTGTGCCGTGCAGCTACTCCATTCTCGATCAGTATCCGGATGCGATTGTCCACTTTCTTGCGCTGCATTTTCAGCTAGAGATCCTGTAAAGTTTTTAAGAGATATTGTAGCGATTCAGTGCAGGGTGGCTTCAGTTTTCACGGAGACAGCAGTCTGGGGGTGGGGGGTGGGGAATAGCAAATACCATCCATCCCAAGATTGCATTTTTCATCCTAAGCATAAGAACACCAATCCTCCAGCACCTCTGACACGTCTCCCCACTTCAACTCGTCTCCCTGACCCCTAAACTAAAAACCCTCAATGTTGTAACCTTTTCTCACAGAGGAGTTTCCCCACCAGCTGCTCATTCCGATTGCCCAGCCAATTATTATTATCATTATGATTACTGCCCTTTTCGCGACCGTCTTGCTGCTCTTAACAATACCTTGGGTACACAAAATTGGAATCGACACGTGCAAACAAGGAAGATGCCTCCAAACCCAGCCGCTGACTCGGAGACTGTTCCCTTGCTTTTTCTGCTTCCTTCCTTACAGAAACCAGTTCTGTAAGCCAAGAGGACCCTGGTGCCTTTAAACTCTGGTGCCAGCTTCCCACGTGCAAGGGGGAGGGGGCCCACATGGGCTGCGCAGCGGAGAGGAAGGACCCTGGCTGCTGACACAGGCACAGCCTGCAAGGATGCCCTTCCGGAAAGAGGCGGCGCTGGGGCCGCCAGGCGCAACACGGCCGGCAAGGGCTTTACGCCGAGCCGAGGCCTATAGTATACTATAAAGGATTCTAGGTACGGAGCGGCGGGGGGGTGGAATTCCAGCCGGGGGCCTTTTTCGCCTGGGCGCTTTTTGATATCGTATTCGCCACGAGCAGGAAGAGGAGGAGCAGGAGGAGGCGCCGGCGGTCCTCGTGCGTTTAGCGTCCGCCCGCTTGCGAAGCTGGCTGGAATTGGTAGCCGCGGGCCTTTCCATGACATACGGATCTTGAGAGTCCCGGTGCCTTCGAGCCCAGTCCTAGGCACTTGGTCCCTCTCTACCGCATAGCCATGCGCGCATAGCGCTGAGCTGAAACCTGCCAATAAGACTGTAACCCCGCTAATTTCAGGTGACAGCAAAAACTGCAAGGTTTTCCGAGGGGGCAGTTAGAGTAAGATCTACTATTTGATTATGGATGTAAACCCCCAAAATGCATTGTATCTCTATCTTCAGTACATTTTATTTTATTGCTATGCCTAGTGGCTGATGCAAATATTCTTCTGATTCTGCAAACCCGCATTTATTTTTTCCGGGAGCGCCTCCACGTTCCGTTTCCAGCTTTGCTTCTCAGCCATGTGCGTTGCCCGCTTCAGTTCCTCGAAGGGCTCCCGTGTATTTCATCCTCTCAAAGAAAGATCTCGCCCTGTGATGCACTCTTTCGTTACTGTCGCCGCAACGCAAATAGTGTTGCTGAGAATATAGCCCTGCAGGATGAGCTCCCCAAAGTCCATCTGAGTCCAGTATCCTGTTCCTACAGTAGTCAACCATTCGGAAGCCCGTAATCGGGACCTGAGTGTAACAGCAACACTCCCCACGTTGTAATTCCCAACTGGCATTTAGACGTAGCGCACATAGCCGATACGGGCAGAAGTCCCTGGTAGCCTTATCTACCAAGAAGGCTCAGAATCATGGCCGAAAATTTGATGCCAGTCTCTCCTACCTCTTCCTCAGCCTACACAAAAATATATACAGGCCATGCAATTCTTCCAGCTGAATTTTAAGTTTTTGAATCGTTGGCTTGACTGAAGTGTTTGTGTGTGTGTTTACAAACACCATTCCTGTTTACCATTTGTAACAGAGCTTCCTTTTTAAACAGCTTACAGAAACCACTTTTTCCCCAGAACAGAAACCTCAAAATATCCAGTAGTAAGACTTAGCTAATGAACTTCCAATAATCAAGTTTGGGATAGGGATTAACAGTACAGTCCCAGGCCTGTCTACTCAGAAGTCTTGTTGAATTCAGAGATAACTCCCTGCCAGATAAATATGTATAGCATCATAGTCTTAAGGCTAAGCAAATTAACTTGAGATTCAGGAACACAGCTGCATTATACAGTCTATAATAAATTGATTAATCTAGCTCAGTATTGTGTACACTGGCCGGGGTGGTGGTGATTCAGGTATGGCACAATTTCCAGTTTAGCCTACAAGGCAGGGGCAACCCAGTCCATTTTGTGACCTGAGGTGAATCAGGAATTGCCACCTCCTGTCCCCACCACTGCCGCACCCCACCCCCCATACACACACTTTCACTGCCACTGAGAAGGGGGCATTCTGGCAGTGGTGGAAGTGGGCAGAATGCTGCCTCTTGTGCTTCCGCTACCGGAAGTAGGCATTTCATCACATCTCGCGGGCAGGCTGGCTCTGCTACAAGGCATTTTACCCAAGATTACACCAACTGCCCCACACCTGAGATCTACATCGTGGGCAGGTGGAGATGTGGCTGTGGTAGCCCGTGAACAATTGGGAGCCTTAAAGTGCATTGCCAATAAACACGCACTCTACCACAGAGCCATGGACCTTACTGATGGTATTGTCAAGATGCAAGCCTCACATGTACACGATTGTGTTTTCAAATTGCTCCCCAGCAGGGCTTTTTCCAGCCAGAACTCAGGTCCAGCACCTCTCAGATGGGCGCCTCTAAAATGACAAGAAAACAAGGAGAGTTCATAGAGAGTTCCGATACCTCTTTTTCAAGAAAAATAGCACTGCTCCCTAGTTTGTGGGTGCTTTACAACATAAGCCTGTGCTTTACTCTGAAGTGAGCTCTACATGGGACAAGTGCCTAGTGAGTAGGAAATTTAGGTAAATAACTTATTTAAATCACCTTCTCTAATAGAACAAATCATTTTAGTGTCACGTAGCACACCCTACATATTTTCATTGTAGTCCACCAATTAGATCAAGGAAGTTGGATTTAGTCCCAGATGTCTATTTGTGGGGAGGGAAGTGCAGGGCTGGAAAGCAGGAGTCCTATTTTTCTCCATCCACACTCAAGATATATAAATCATGACTACACAGTAAACAAATATCACTTCTCAAAAGACAAATATATAGCATAATGGTTATCAGGACTATGTGTCATTTTTCAGCCATTTGTAATACGGGTCACATTCACACCATATATATAACACACTAGGATATCACCCTTAGGGGTGCTGAGGGTTGTGAGACCACCGGTATTCCCTTGCCAGTTTCCTGGGAATAGGGATTGTTAAACCACTGGGAATTATAGTTTTGGGAGGGGAATTAGAGGTCTCCAAGAAGTCTCGACACACTTAACAAGTTTTACAGTGGTATCAGTGTTTTAAATGTATGGCATGAACGTGGCCATTCTCTGCGTTTTCCTTCTCTATTCAGGCTTGAAATAGTTGCTGCAAATGAAGCAAGTATCCCAGTGTAGTTGTTTCTTCTATGTAGCCTTTACCACTGTGGATGATCATTGTGAACTTCAGAAGTGTATCCATGAACATTGTTTGAACCACAGTATTAAGAAGATTCAACACCACAGGAAGGAGGCAGGCTTAAGATGAATGGAAGTGTTGAACATTAGGCAGTTGCACAGGGCAGTTCAACAGGAAATGCAACCTTCATGGAGATTTTTATTCCTAATGTTTGATTTTAAAAAGAGTAACAAACTGGAGACAAATACATGGCTAATTTGACATTCGTTTCAGAGTTGGATCTGCAGATATCAGCCCTATATATGCAGTTTAGAACAGATGGGTGTTGCTAGGTTGACACCCTATTCGGCTTGTGCTGCTGCCATTATAGAATTTTGCTTGTAGAATGGTGCTTAAAAGGGGGGCTTGGCTGACAAAAAAGCTAGTGAGTAAACATGTTTAGCATGAATTTCCAATAGCCAAAGACTGTAGTATTGGGTACTTCCTGAATCAAGGCGAAACAGCGTAACAGCAAAGATGCTGCAGAATAAACAGAGGTGGGAAAGCATCTTCCTTGTATCGAATGAACTGACCCTCAGTTCATTTCACTGCAGATGAAATATTATGCAGCTTCTCTATTCGGGCATTAACGCCCTGAAACATGGGTTTCGTTCACATATCCACTTTTACATTAACTATAGTGTTGTGAAAGTCTTCTCAATTTTATTAAAATCAGTTCTGGAACCTAGTTTTAACTAGCATTATCTTTTGAAAACTTTGTACTACCTAATAAGCTAGTCTTGACTCTTCTGAAAAAGTAGACTTGTGTCTATAGTAATTACTCTGAAGACGGGGTGGAGAACCTGTGGCCTTTCCAATGTTGCTCAGCTCCAACCCCCATCGGTCCCAGTCAGCATGCTCAATGCTCAGGAATGATGGGAGTCTCAGGTTTCCTGAAAATACTATGTGTACCTAATTGCCTGTCTATATTTACAGGCAATTAGGTACACATAGCGTGCTCTGGTCCATGGGGTCACGAAGAGTCGGACACGACTAAACAACAACATTTACATTAGAAGTGTAGTCCCATGTCAGATTCCTTTACTATATGCTGAAATTTCACAACTATGCCAGCAGTGTTGTTTAAAGATTACCTGACTTTCACCCTAAAATGATAGGATGGGTTGCAATTTAAAATACATTTAAAAGTTTTAAAAAAGTTATTACAAAAATGCAATCACAAAAAGGTGTGAAATTATACAGACACACGCTTCTTCTTTGCACACACACCCAGTTGTGTTTAAAACCAGGCTTCCTTCCTTTCTATGATCTAGGATGCAAATTATCTGTACTGGCAGAAGTTCATTTGGAAGAAACTGGTGGCGAGATTTCACGTAAAATCATGATTGCTGGTGATGTCAGTGTGAAAATAATAAAGCTTATAATAATTTAAATTACATTGTTTTAATGAAAATCCCAGTTCTCACGCTTTTCCCATACAAGAACTACAAAATAAATGCCTCATTGGGCTGGAGCAGTAAAAGGCAATGGTTCACCAATCTGATCTGCAGTCAAAAGTGCAGAATACAGCTGCATAGGCACTAATTTCAATTTCTTCCAGGAACGTCCAAATTAATCACTACCCTCAAATTTCTAATTTTTAAAATTCACAATATTTGCATAGATATATTATTACAAGCTTGGCTTTGAACAATTCTAACACAACATGCAATTTAATAGTCACATTAGGCAACAGTCACAAGAGGGGCAACTTACTATACTTTTAATGTACTACTGTAAGCACCTCTTCCTATCCAAATGAAGGGTGTAATTTTTAAAAATGAAGATTGTACATTAATTAAAAGAATGCTAAGCTGATTGCAAGAGTAAACTTTGTGTGGGTGAAGAGAGATGAAGAACATTACAATGGCAACACCGAAATCACAGAAAAGGCAGGCAAGGTTTTAAAATGTAATTTCTGTTAAGTGGCAGTAGAAACAGGAATGACCCAACACACATTTGAATGTACTGGTGGTATTTAACAAAAAGTAGAATACCAGAGAAAGATGCAGGGCAAAACTTTGAAAGTTTTTTTTTTTTAACACCAGTGGTATTTTAACATACACTGAAGTTTAGGAATGTAGGCTGCAGTGGAATTTTTTAAAAATATACATCCAGAGTGTTTGATTCTAAATGTCATTGTTTTTTAATAAAGTCATCAGCTTAAAGGTACTGCAGTTAAAAAACAAGGCGCGAAAACACCAAGGCAGACAAAACAGTTCCATTCACTTAATGTCTACAGATTTTACACATGAGCACTTTTCCTTTGTCTCATATGCAAATATAACTCCTACATTGCCTTCAATATGTATTTGATTTCTGTTAAACTGTTTGCCCCACTTTTAACACCATTCAGATGCAGAAATAGTAATAGGAGGGACTCAAACTGCTTTTCATCTTGACTTGTGAGAAAGGTCTAGGAGGATGTAGATGAACAATGAACCGATCATGAAGACTGAACACGGAAATTCTATTTTGATGATAAAGCAGTAACTCTAGAATGGGCACCACAGACAGACACACCTTTCTTAAAACAATTCACAAAACATCTGTAGATCTCATTACTAGAGACTGTTGTGAAGGGCAGTAGCTTTGCCAGATTAAAAAGGAATTAACAAGTGTATTATTGTATCAATATATTAGTTAAGAGTCTGAAGATCATAACTGAATTTTTGGATCCTGAAAAATAATTGGAGGAAAACACTATGGTTGGCATCTCTCTCTCTCGGGAGAAGCACTATCTCATGTCTTTTTGATGGCTGGTCACGGAAGAAGACAGGATTCTAACATACAAAGTGATGATCTGAATAAGGTAAATAAATACATCTAATACTGCTCCTAAGTTGTTTGAACTGTAGCTTTTCTATCACAAATAGGCCTCTATTAAATAGTACTTCACTTTTTTCCAAGCTATGAAGGTGGATGACAATTTCCTAATTCAATATAATCATTTAAGATCCAGTGATCATAAAGACTACCACCAGTGAAGTCATAACATCACCACGTTGGTCTCCAACTCAGGGGTTGCATCCAGAAGTGGAACTCTATTAATTGTACACTTCAATGGACAATGGGGAGGTGATGGTTTTGGTTATTCCTCTTCATGCTGAGCAGCCTCCTATGCACCCTGCAAATCTGCTCCAGAGGCTTAGATGACCCTTTGGAACAGAATGGAAGGGAACAATTAAGGGAAGGGGAAATGAAAAATCTGTTTCCCTCCCTTCAGCGGAAGCGTCCATTATGGTGATGTCCCTTCGGCAAACAAAATGGATACAACCCAATGCCTTCTGGTCATGCTGAGTCACTATGGAGAACATAAGGAATCAATAATATTTAGAAGAGTAGAGCTCAACTTTAAGATGTGTACTTTAGTTTGATTATAGTGCCCAGGGATTCTGGCCTTTATAGCTACAATATTGGCCCTGAAAGTACAAAAATAGTTGAGTAAAATCTCAGAAGCCAAAGAGGGAGGTTAGCAGTATTTCCAAAGTATTCAGAATGTATGGCTTGATTGTGCTGCATGGCTCCTTACAGCCAAAGCTTGCAAAAAATTGTGTAAAATAACCCCAAAGCATGCTATTTGCATAATTCATACTTGCACAGCTTTTCTAGACAAAAATTGGGTGTGTGGTTGTGTGTATAATCACACCACAAATTTCTGCCTATTTAGTTCCTAAATCTGAACCTTTGGCTTCAGATACTGTACCAACCTGTTAGAAGACTTGCTTAGCTGTATAAAATGGATGGGGGTCACTTTTTAGAAATGCAAAAATGCTACTTGTAAGTACTTAGTAATTACAACCTAGGACAACCTCAAAGATGAAAGTAGGTAATTCTCATGGTGATAGCTGAAGTCTTTCTCCTTTCTAAATAAATGGAGGTGGGCACAGATGCTAAGTAATTTAAGAAGAAACCACTACTTGCCAATCAGATTTTAAAAATCTATTATCTTTTTCAGTTCAATTAACTATACCCATGAAACAAAAACAGTCTTAAAAGGGGATCAGCACCAATACAAAAAGGGCACTGTGCACACAGAATCAGCCTTCTGCAAATATATTCCCAAATAATTCAGAAACTCTTCTTCAGTGGGTTCCATGGGCTGGACTGCTACATTCAACAGGTGCCATGAATACAATTCTCACTACCTGCTCAAACTATTATGTACAGCTCATGAGATGGCTTGAATGATCAGCTTCAACAGTCTTCAATTGGTTGGGGGGGAGCAGAGAAAGAGAAAGAGAGAGAATGAGGGGAGAGGGAGAGGGAGAGGGAGATGACTGCATCTCCTCAGAAGATAAGTTTCAAGACTCCACAGAAGATAATACACCTACTAACTTTCTGAATATCTTTGAACGTTAACATTTAAAGATCTGGGAATGTGCTTCTGAAGTTTCTGTTTCCCTATTACATTTGCAGTAGTCACTTAAGATACGTTAAAGAATACATATTTTTTATAAACATGTTTTATTTATCTTGCTTAAATCTGTAACTGCTGGCTGTAATTTCCCTTAAAGGGGAAACCGATCCAAACACATACTGGTGCTTTTCAAAAGAGAGCAATTTAAAAGGGCAGCAGCAGGGATTTGAGATTTCTTAAAACCTTCAGGCTGCAAAATAGAAATAATGTAACCAAAAGTGTTATGAATATCCATTAATTCCCATCAGTACCGACATCAGTTATTTGGGCAATAATACAGCAAGATCAAGTATCAGTGGCAGACAAGGGGGAAAAATAAGGAAAGATAAGAATACCAATCCTTACAAATGTCATTGCTATCCCAGAAATGTGTTCAGGAGAGAATTCTTTAACACTTCACATTGCAACAAATGTGGCCATTCAGATTACATCTTCTATTTCTTACAGAAAAATTTAAAGTGCCAATCAAAGCCTAATTCTGGGTTTACACAATTATATCAACAGCTACACAAAACAATTAATGCATCCCTTTGCCACAGCAAGTCAGGCCTAATAAAAAAAAATGCTGTAACTAAGGGTGTGCCCTAAGCTGTCCATCAGCTTATTAGTTGGGGTATAGGCATCATTTATTATGCATCACAGATGTTCAGTGCTTCAGTCTAACAGAAAAAGCTGAAATGCAGTTGCTCTGTCAAACCACAATTCGCTTCTTCCATCTTCCTTTCATGTCAAAGTTTAAATACACCAATTTTCTGAGTAAAACATTTAGGGATTTAGATATTTTTATCCGAATTTGCTGCAGCACTATATAATGTCAATGGAGTCAGTGGGGTTATTTCTGCCTGTTCAGTTAACTATGGAGATTTTCATAACCCTAAAACTGCCATTTTTTGCTTTTAATCAGAGCAAGGGTAAAAATTCTGGATCTCATGTGCAAGGCTCAAGATGATGCTTAGGATAGAACATGCAGAGTAAACGTTGTTTCTTTCCATATCCAGGTATAAAGCTGACAACTGTAGTCTTGTCTTTATGGGCAATGAAAATAATCCCTTTACTATGAACTTCCTATAAAGGAGAACCAAGAGATAACTCTTCTGGAACATGTATGGTACACTGGCCAGTGTGTTTTTGGCGTTTAAATGTAATCCTGTGAATTAGTTTAATTCACTTGCTGAGCATTCATTTGAGGCATCCCTCTGTTGGGTCTTGGGGGCCCTCCACGACCTAGAAAATAAAAATAGCATTTTATTTTTGGATCAAGTGAGATCCTTTAATAGTCAGAATGGCTGCCTCTCTAAAGTCTGGTCCCCTACTATGTTTGTCTAATAAATGCCTAGAGACAATAAGAAGAGGAATGATACCTATTCGCTCACCAGGTGAAGACAGGCTTTGAATGTACACAAACAACTTACTTACATCAGTCTTAAATCTAACCTTTGTTCCAAATGCCTACCAATCTACTACCAATAAGCCATAAACTATATTTCAGTGAACACAACTACAAAGTACTATTGAAATGTAGTAACTGAATAACAGTATTGTATACAGTTCTAAAACAAAATATAGTATAGACAATTGTCAGTGTGCTGATCCAAGACACTAAAAGGGCAGTATCTGGTTAGAACTGCTTCCAGTGGTTCTATTTCGTATTTCGGTACATCAAAGCAATCGTAAGAAATTCCTGTAATTTACTTTCGTTCAATGGATTTTCTGGAAGGATTTATAATAAAGTTTGCACTAGATGAGATTTAACTATCTTTTTTGCCTCATCTTAAGTCCTACATCCATTTTCAGCTGGTGCACTAAAAAATTATTGGCTTCTATCCACTCAAGAGCAGGCATAGTGCCAACATGTAGAGTCCCCCACCCACAAGACTAAAGAGCCCTTCCTCCCACCAAGCGTACATACATTGGTGACATAAGGGGGCACTGCAGGGAACTAAATACCTGTTTATGTGCTTCCTATAGCACCATCCAGCTTCCTTCTGCACATCCTGTGCTCATACTGGCAAGGGAAATTTGGGGTGGGGTGGGGCAAGAGGCTCTACTGAGCCCTCTGGAATGAATTCTTGCACAGGGAGTACACCCACACTTGACTGAACTGCAGCCACTGCTTTGCTTATTTTCCAATTGCAAACTATTTTGTACACTTAAGTATACAGCAGCAAACAGAATAAAGTTGAAAATATGTATGCTATTTACATGCGAAATTGAGTAGGTCTTTTTCAACAGATTCCATCTGGATACAAGAATATAGCATCTTATGTAGCTGAAAACAGAATTTCTGAACAGGCTACAAATAATGCAAGATCTTTATTGAAATCCAAGTAGCAATAGCAAAATACAAAAGCAGACACTATTGGAGCTTGCCAAACATTTTTCACAGCAGAATTACACGCCTCACAATTGGGTAAGCTTACATTTTCAACAGTGGCTTGGGCAAGGAATAAAAAGCAACCTAGTAGCCTTAAATAAAAGCCGAGAAAGGAAGTTTAACAATATACAGTTCAAAAATCAAATTCATGAACAACTTTCAACAAATGTCTACAACAGTTAAACACATGTGAACTGAAACAGCTGAAAGTCTGCAACTCCTAAGAGCCTCTCTACATATTCAATCAGAGATTCACCACTTGAATATTACCTCGAGGGGCTCCCCGAGGACCACTTTGTCCAGAGCCACGCTTGAAATTCTGTTGATATCCATCCTAGAAAAAAAGATGACCAAAGAGAAGTGCAGCAAGTTTCATTAAAATGGTTTTAAAAGTTGTCATTTCAGTATTTTATTTCAGGATATACTGTATTTTTCGCTCTTTAAGATGCACCCTACCGTAAAACGCACCTAGTTTTAGAGGAGAACAGGAAAAAAAATATTCTCTCCCACTCAGCGAAGTGGCAGGAGAAACGGAGCCCCTTCCATTTCTCCTCCCGCTTCGCTGAAGGGGCGCTACACAGAGAGGGAAAGATGCACAGTGCCTCTCCAGCGAAGCGAAGCCAGAAGAACAAGAGGGATTGGTGCGCACCGATCCCTCTTGCTCTCCTGAGTTCAGCAAAAGCTGCGCAGCCTGCATTCACTCCATAAGACGCACACACATTTCCCCTTACTTTTTAGGAGGGGTTGCGTCTTATAGAGTGAAAAATACGGTTAGTTTTTGGAAGTCCCTGTCCAGGATTCAAATGGGCATATGTGCTATTTCAGTCACACCCTTAAAAACCATTTCAGAAGATTGGGGGACAAGGGGATGCAGCTAAAAGAGAAAGCCATTAGCACCCTTCCTTTCTTGTGCACACATAGAAATGCTTTCTGTTCACACATGGGGCAGATGGAATCAAAACCCAGAAAACGGCAAGCTGGAATTTGAACACAATATTGCAATGTCCCTAAGAACAGAGTTCTAGTCAATCTAGAACAAGAGACTTGCAATGTTGTTCAGGAGGGGTGGCGGGGGAGAGAAGACAAGAATTTGGAGTGGTGAAAGAATACCTTTTTTCTCAACTTCCACCCATCCCCTGGTGATCCTATGTCGTTCCATATAGGACTAGGCAGCTGCCCACCCCAACCCACAGTATTTTATAACTATTATTTGAGGCAGGAGAAGAGAAGCACAGGCAACTTTTTTCATTTCCTTCCTCCTGAGAAAGCCACCACTTCGCTTAGGGAGAAGAGTTGGGCTTCTTAACCACATAACACTCATTCCCTCCCAACTTGAAGCCTCTGCAGCTCCAGGGCACTTACTAGATGCCGCCAGGGGCTTGAGTAGGCCAACTTCCTATCTCTGTCTGCCCTCTCCCTCCCTTCAAATGACACACTTTCTGTATCTCAACTCAACAAGAGGTATAACTGGTAAAATTCTCAAAGGCTGCTGGACCTCTGGTTTTTTAGGCAACAGATGGGGAACCTTTGGCTCTCCGGATGCTGCTGAACTACAACTTCCATCAACCTCAGCAAACATGGCCATTGGCTAGGCATGATGAGAATTGTAATCCAAAAACATTTAGAAGACCAAAGCCCCCCCACACCTGCTCTAGACCCTCCTCTCTCTTGGCCATTAGCAGTTCAAGTTCACAGATTGCTGTCAGATATTTTGGGGTGACTCAAGTTAACAAACTGCCTTATAATTGGCAGTATAATTCTATACTTCTACATACTTGAGTTATGTAGAAACTTCTCCCTTATTCTTTGGTGAGCTCATTTTGCTTCTCAATTGATAAGCCCCTCACCTAGTAATGTCAGTACTAAATGGAGTATGATGGCAAATGGATGCAGTCTAACAAAGCAGACTAGGAGGCAGAAAGTATATAGGCAGTGGCCTATTTGTACCCAATGGGAAAACTGTTAACCAAGGATTTCTAAAAGTAGATTTTATCTTTAGATTAAAAATCAATCCAAATATAAATTTCTTATGCAATGAAACTTTTATTAAAATATGCATTTTCTCAAGCATTATAAACTAAGGAACTCTTTCCACTGTTCCATCAACTTACCCGCTGGTAGGTGGAATAGTCGCGAGGAGCACTGAATTGTGCCTGTGTGTAACCACTATTTGGAGTGTTAGAAAATGAAGGGCGGTAGCCATCATAACCTCCTAAAAATCAGAGGGGAAAACTAATTGAAAAGTATTGCATACCTTATAAAGGATATATGTATATATTCAGAATAAAACAATATTCAATTTAAGGAAAAATATTCTCTATTAAAGAAAGCAATCCAAAGGTCATCTAAGAGATTGAGAGAAAAAACACACCGGAAGGAAAAATTTCAAGCTGGTAAGCTTTCGGTATAGACATTGTAGTTGTAGTCCAATATCATCTTCGGACCCAAGGTTAAAAAGCACAGTGACAGGCTTTTACAATGTAATAATGTGCAGCAGGAAAATACGTAACACCTAACCCTTCCTGATACAAAGTAAGTGGATACATGTTTAAACTGCACCTGGGCTCCTGGGCACTATTCATTGTCTTCAGTTTTGTTCAAGACTTCACATTGTGTGTAATATATATTTAGCAATGTCATTATTTAAAGTGATTTAATAAATGCAGGCACCAAAATAAAGAATCCCACAAAATGCCATATGCTGAATAAATGAAAGACTTGCTTTTGTAAGCCAAGGAAGTAACAAGCCCTGAAAAAGATGCAGCCATTTAGCAGGTTACAAAAATGGAAAGTCAGTTTCATACTACATCATGTTATGTTTCCAGTCAAACAACTCCATTGTTAGTTCATACTCATAGTTTGCTGTCGTGTAATTTTTACTTAGTACCATATGCACTAATATTATAGCAGAGGAAAAGCGGCAGCAAGCTGACCAATCTGTAGTATATTAAATTAATAATTTTAAAAAAATCATTGAAGCATTGAAGCATTTCTGGAAAACATTCAGAATTAGTCTCAAAAGGTTTTTAAGTTTTTACCTCTAAACCCATTGGCTGGTCCCCTGTATCCATTCATTAAGCCTCGAGTGCCGCGTGATCCACCACGAGACACTCCTCGGCTGTTATAATAAGGCTGACTGTTACGTGGGAACCCAGTATTCTGTTGTGGAGGCTGCTGGTGGTTACCTGCCACTTGATGGGACTGGTCCGGGGAACCATGGTAGGTGCCAACCACTAAAATGAAGAGAGAGAGAAGAAAGAAGTGCAAAAAGCTTGAATTTACTTATAATTCCAGTTTCCTAAAGACTCAAATAATATCAAGCTAACTCACCAATGAACTTTGCTTAAGAGCCACCAAGTACGACAGTAAATGTTTACCTACCTAAAGAAAGATTGTTTGCAGAATTAAATTGAACATTGCAGTCTAAATACCCTGATCATTGAGAATGTTCTCTGGATGTCCTTTGGCATAACCACACAGATTTAATTTGATAGTGCTTAACATTTGGGAGGTGAATTTTTATTTCATGTAGTGCATAAACTGCACTTTTCCCCTAAGTCCCTACAAATACTATAAAACTTCCTTCCACCTCACCATACATGCTTGAAATGCTACTTCAACAGCATCAATCAAGATATGCTTGTTTGGTCTACATTATCTTGAAAACTTATCCTTTCAGAATGAAGCATTTAAGTTCTATCTTTCACAAGTTTACCTGTCTGAAGCTGCTGTTCTTGCTGAAGTTCCGATTGCTCTACTTGGTGAGGCTGATTGGAGAAAGGCTGGCTGTAACTGGTCTGGTACTGATTTTGTTGCTTTAAAGTTTCTGGCTCATTGACAGGAGGAACAGGTGCATTCATGTTAAATACCTATATGAGAAGCAAATGAGAACCAAAGAGATTCAATATTCTGAATAAATTGATAAATTACCAAATACACCTTGCAACTTTTAGAAAGTTAAATGTCTTGGAAATTACTACTACTGTCCACGGTACAATTAACCATTATGTAATCAAGATGCTGACTTCCAAATGTTTTGCAGTCTATAATAAATATGATTGTTCAGTACTTACTGTCTGCATGGACTGGAATGGAGCTGCATTAACATTGATTCCGCTGCTATGCAAAGGTTTGCTAGAGGCAGCCTGAAATACCTGAGGCTGGGATGCAGCTGGAAGAGGCGATGATGTTGGTGTCTGATCTGCACTTAAGGTTATTGAAGCCTGCCAAATAAATTTCAATCTGATGTTAGCAAGCCATGAATCAACTTTGTGTGATATCATATTATAAAAGCATAGGTAACTGATGGCCAAGCGTTCCCAAGACAAGGATAAGCTAAGATCCCTACTTATCTAACACTTATTATCATGCTCTATGTCTTTGAGATATGGACCTAAGCATTGTCCCTCTACACTACACCCATATACATGAAGTTCTGGAGCAGGTTACACTGAATCAGTAATGTCCCTCCTCCCCTTGCCAAGCAAAATGAACTTGCCTGAATCTGGTCAATTGATTCTTTCTGAGGCCGTTGTTCTGTTGAATGAGAAGGCTGATACATGGGCTGGGATGCTGTATATCCCTCACTTGTGGAAGAAACCAAGGGGACCTGTCAAAGTTTTAAAATTAAGCAGATACTCCTGCCAGGGCCTCTGGGTAAATTTCTTGCTATTAATCTCATATGGTTTTACTGACACCTGCGCTAACAACATTCTTTTGCTCAGTTCAATTACCTTTAGATTACCTTTAGTATTCATTACTCCCAGTAAACAATTACAAGTTTTGCCAAAAGTTTTATTTTGCAAGTTTCCATCACAGCCAGATAAAAAACAACATTTTGCTAAAATTTTGCCACATTTTAGTATTTGCAGAACTGCATGCAAACATAGATGTTCATACACCTGAGTGCAGGCTAATACTAATTTCAAAATACTTGGGCCTATGATAAGGACTTTCACATGATGGGGGCAGGAATAGGCCTCAGACATTCCTGACAACACACAAATTAAAAGCTTGCTATGAGCTAGGTGAACCGAGCTTACAATACACACATTAATCATCAGATACGGATGTTTCTTTCAATTCCCTGTGGATTGGGAAGAAAACACAGATAGGCAAAACGTTCATGTGGGGACTCCCGAGGACAAATCCAAGGCCCAAATATGTAGTAACAGGAATCTGCTTTACAGAGCACCAAAAGATTGGTGCCTCTCGCTTGCCTATGCCGACTGGCAGCAACTCTCCAGGGTTTTGGGGGAACAGAGGAAATTCAGCCAGTAGTTGTCCAGGTACAGTTCCTACCTGTGTGGCTTCAGGTTGGACAGGAACCTGGGTGGACTGCGCAAGCCTCGATTCAGTATGAACTGGAAATACAGTAATATTACCCATAATAAAATAGTGTTTGTGTTAGATGTTATCTGAACTACTGTCTATTTGTTTAATATAAGCTTATATATTTCTGCTGTAGAATACTGCATTGAAACTAAACATATTAGTTTTCCACATTAAACCTAACAGCTGCAAGCACAGCCTCAGATTGTATCCGATTTTTTATTAATCAACTACTTGCTCTTTGTTCAGTATTTACAAGCCTGGCATCAAACAGACTTCATCAGAATATAAAAAGTAGTTCACATCCTACTAGCCTCACTTGAAAACCTATAAGATGACAAATGTTTCAACAGTCAACTCCCTTGACAGTATTTAAATAATGCACATTTCTAGATTTAGATTTCTGAATTCTTCGTAACTTAGTACTTCCAACTATACCAAAATCTTACTCCAACTAGATATTAATTTGATTTTACCAACCTGGAGGGCAAACCATCTGGGGTATATCCAAGTTTTGTGCTGCATTCATAGGCTGAGCTGAAACAATAGCAGGGTCGAGTGCCTGATTCTCAAATTCCAACATGGAGTCCTAGATAATTAAGACAAGATTCAAGCAAGCTACACAAGAAACAGAATCCCTTCAAAAGTACCATATATACTCGAGTATAAGCCAACTTTTTCAGCACATTTTTTATGCTGAAAAAGCCCGCCTTGGCTTATACTTGAGCAAGGCGGGCGGCGGCAGAGGGACGAGCGACCCGAAAGGAGCCCTTTCTCGTCGCTGGTGCCACCACCTCTCACAAGGGCAGGCACAGGAGCTGCGGTTGGGAGAGGCGCTGCGCTGCGCCTTTCGGGCTGCTTGTTCTTCCACCGCCGTTTGTGGTGTGGTGAACCGGCTTATACTTGAGTCAATAAGTTTTCCCAGTTTTTTGTGCTAAAATTAGGTGCCTTGGCTTATATTCAGGTCGGCTTATACTCGAGTATATACGGTAACCAGCAAGCCAGCCAGGGCTGACCTCTCTGAATTAAATGAATGCAAGTGAAATGTGCCCAATTTCAACAGGACTGTAATTCCCGAGAATCCCTTTTGACCAAATCCAACTATGAATAAGGAAAACAACATACCTGCATGAAGTTGTAGGGGCCTTGCATTTGTGCCATAAGGTCCTGTACTCGTTGTCTCCTAACAAGAGGATCTGCTTGAGCCACAGCAGTCAGCGTATGGGCATCTGGAACTGGAGGAGATGTAGCCTGTGGCTGTTGCTGGAGCGAATTTACCACCTACATCAGAAATGGCCAATACTGAGAGTCAGTCTGTCAGTTTCAGCTACTGGCCCACTATTATTATCACAACCGCTAAACTGGATGTGCAAAATATGATATGTAAAAGAATGCATTTCCTGCAAAGGAAAGCATTCTCTTTTAAAAATGATTATCATAACTTAGTATCGCTGCTTGTTCAGCTTCACTAAAGATAGAGAAGTGAAAGTTGGTTGTAGTGAAAGTCGAGGGCACTAACATCTGACAATCTACCACTGAAACCCCTTTATTGTCAGCATCTATTTTGCTCACATGCTTTCGATGCTGATTGGTAATATAATGAATAATGTTAATTTTAATCCAGACTGACAAATAATCTAATGGGTTCTGCTTGTGTTCAAGAATCTTTATCAAACATTCCCACTCATCAGTTATTCAGCAGGAATATGAGGAAAACTGGTTCTGATGTTGTACAAAGTATATAAATGCAGTTCTTTCCTCTGCAAGAATATATGTTGCAAGATCAAAGCAAAAAGGAAAATGTATCAACAGAGTTAATTTGTGTTCCTTGAAAATATGTAAAATGTGCCCATGCGTTTTGCAACTGCGTGCATGCATGCTGCTTTTAGAATGCAATTGCATTTTGACATTTGAGGCTTTGAATAGCTGTAAGGCAGGGCTTGAAGTTCAGTTGTGTATTGAATTATTTCCTTTCTTCAAGAGAGATTTCAAAGTTCTTTTTGCCTTTTGCAGACTCAGGAAATACTGGACTGGAGATTATTTTACGGAACTTTATACTACAAATGCCTGTGGAGAAAATGAAGGTGAAACTTGAGCGGTGTTACTAATAAATAAAGTTGTTTCCACAGGAAACAGGTGTTCGTGTGTATAAGTTGCTCAAAGTATATCTACAGTTAGCCCTATAGCATCTAAAGCAGTGATAGGGAATTTCTGATTCTCCAGATGTTGTCCCAGCAAACCCAGCCAGCACCGCCCACAGTCTGGGACAATGGAAGGCATAGTCCAACAACAGCTGGAGAGCCAAAGGACAGTCAGCCCTGCTCTGATTAAACACTTGTGGTACCACATGTTAGAGGCATTAAGGCAAGCAACGCAGTTTTAAATAGTCAAGGAATCATCAGCATTATCCAATACCTTCAAATTTTATAAGACTGAACTCCAAAATAGAGTGGACTTCAAAACCTGGTTATCCCAGAACCAACATTTAAAGTCACATCATGGCTGAAAATGCACTGGTAATACTGTAGTAATGTAACTTTTACATATAGTTCATTGCACTTTTTATTCTATTTAAATTTAGCTCTCCTTTGTCTACTAATGCAGACATTGGGGGCTAGGTTTCCTGCCAAAAGGTTTTCTTCTAGTGCTAGGAAGTTCTGAGTGTTTCACTGAACAGGCAGAATCCGTATGTGAGACTGCAGAGACCATGAAGAATTAAAATAGCTTTAATATTCTTATTATTCAGAATTTCAAGTGTAACATTTTTATCTCAGGACCAGGAGAAAAAACACACACACACACACACACACACACACACACACACACACACACAGTTACTGTTACAATCTTAGGCAACAATTCTTCTTTTAAAAAAACACTATTTCATTTGACAACCATCAACATTTATCACAGATAGCCTTGCAACTACAAATGTTAAATGCTTGTGGCTTTTAATGGTATATTGAAATTCCACATAAAATGCTGCATCCTGGCTTTAAGGTAGATGAACAAAATGTTACAAAGTCTACTTCAGATAGTCAACTGACAGATGCACCATCTCTTCAAAGGCTGAAGACAACTGTGGACAAAGCTGTAAAAATTACAATTAGTTTATATTCTAGAGTTAGAGTGAACCAATGTTTTATAGAGTTCTACCATTCTGAAAACATCTGTTCTCCCTAATGGATGGGTTCATTCCAATTTGTTAATGGAAACTATCTTAGGACAGACAGCATGCTGTAATTAGTCTCCCAATACCAGCAATACAAAGACTCCTGGAATATAAATATAAATATCAATTACACTATTTTACGTATGGGAAGGTTTAGTGACTGTAGGAGGAAATTATAAAGCAGCACTAGAGCGTTTAATAACAGATATAGGCTTGGATCCCCTTCCTGCTCACTTCAACCCCCTGCTCAATCTAAAAAACTACTTCTAAGTCTCAGATTCTACAGGAAGGGTGTCAGAAGTAGCACAGAGAAAGTGGGATACTGGAAGAAGTAAGAGGATGGAACTTGTATAAACACCTTTGTATCTGAGCCATTTTCTTCTAACTTGTCAGTCTACTTTTAGTTGTGTACTAGCTTATGAAATGTGATTTAGTTTACATACTGAAATTAACTGTGGGCAATAGCTAGCACTGACAAGGGGACTACCAGCTCAATCACGCTAAAAGACCACAATTCTCTTTAGATTTATAGCTGCATTCAAGCAACGAGGGAATGAAAACAGATTGTAATGTTACCTAAACATTCAGAACACCTTACCTCAACAGTTTCAACTGTCCACTCATCTACCTGTTCCTTCTCACTACTGCTGAACTGAGTCTCTGCCATGAACTGTCTGTTTACATACTAAAATAAAAGTGAGAGAGTACAACAGTAAGACAGTAGCATTCATTTTTAAAAGGTGCCTACAATCTTTCCACTGTTTAGTACCTCTGTTGATTCAACTTCACTGGGTTCAGTGTATTCTTCCGTTGGTTCTGGCTCTAAGAGGAAAATACATAATTTTAGGTAATGCTGTACTGAAACATAATACATAACATTTAGTTTACTGTTACCTTACAATTTTAATTTACTATTAACAATTTTAGTAGAGATACATTCATACATGAAACCACTTTTTTCAGTGTTCTGAGCTTATATTTAGTGCTTTTGTTTTTGCTATTTATCTTGGGATTTTTTATTTTGAGGCTTTTTCAGTTAATTTGTTTTTATGACTGTGTGGATCCCAGTTCAGCTGCTGATTGATTGATTGTGTCACTGCAGAAATGGATAAAAGCCCCCCATCTAAACAATGACTATCATCAGTGCAAATAAGAAAAAATAATAATTTTAATTTTTATCATCTACAATACTGTTTTATTTATTTTATAGTACAGTATGTTGTTTATTGCTTTCATTTGATGGATCAATTGTCTCGTAAGATAGTAAAATTCATGTTAAATTGCTGTTTTAGGGGTTGTTTTTGAAAGTCTGGAACGGATTAATCCGTTTTGCATTACTTGCTATGGGAAAGCGCGCCTTGGTTCTGGAACTCTTTGGTTTTGGAACAGACTTCCGGAAGTTTGAGAACCAAGGTACCACTGTAGTTAATTTTAAGTTCTTAGGAATTTAGTATGTATACAAGACGAAGGTTGGTCATAATAAGCACCCTGTAAAGGAAACATACCCACACTACAAACTTTATCTGGTTTAGAGAACTACAGGTTGTTTGGGGAAAGCTACAGAAAGTTTTTTTTAAGTCAGTTTAAGTTTGTAGGATAGATATAACCAGTTACACAAGATTCTAGTTTTGTTTTCCATGGCCGGCTCCAATAAAATAGTAAAGGTTTCAGTAAGCCTATAAATCTACTGAAGTTGCAATTCTATGCACATTAACTTGGAAATAAAACACATTAACAAGCCTAGGATTAGGCTCCAATATATATTTTTAGTTACCAGTTTCTGCAACAGCATCTTCAACTGTAGGTGCAGGCACCGTCTCCTCTTCGTCACATAATCCGTTCTGCTGGTTGTGAGTGTCAAAGTAACTTGTTTGAAGAATACGTTCAATAACTTCTCTTAGGGCTTTATCTGTTATAAAAACACAGATGTTTTAAAAACTGTTTCACCCACTAAATACCTGAGCATTTTAATTTTATCGAATTATTTTATTATTATAACACAAACAAAGGGCATTGCAGATTAATACCTTGCACTACCCACAGCACAATGATCTATTTTGCAAATTTCTGCATTGTTTATTTTTAAATAAGGACTTCTTTAAGATGAAAGTCATTGTATGTAAATCCAAATTCTTCAAGAATAAATTTTTGTATCAATGGATGATTCACACACAATTCAACAAATTAGAATTTTGGCTCTTCAGTGTTTCTGAAAGTTAAAAACTATCCAAAGCCTACATGCAGGAATAAGAACTCCTGACTTGTTAACTTTCACTAACATGAGAATGGAAGAAAGGCACATGGTAGAATAAAAACGAGAATTACTTGTCTAAAGGTAATATCCAATGTTACTCTTACCCACTGAAATCAATGGCTCTGAGTAACGTAAGTACATTGCTTTCAATGGGTCTACTCAAAGTATGACTTGGTCAGGTATTATCCTAAGTGGCCATGCCACATATTAAAATGGACAAGGACAAAAATAAATCATCTGAAGGGAGAAAAGGAAACAGAACTTCTACACAAGCAAGAATGAGACCATTTTTCTGTAGTGTTATATGGTGCAAGTTGTCTGTCACAAAAGCCACAGGTGTATGAAGTATAAGAAAAAAACTGATAGGCCAAGCTCAAGCTTAAATAGAGGAACTGAGTAGTCAGGACTAAACTAAGGTCTCAAGTAGGTAGAGGATCCCAGTAAATGTCTGTAATGAACAACATTTTGAGAAGGGTGTGAACTTATAGCACCATGCAAGACGAGAGGTAACTGATAGGTATTTGTATACTATTTTGACAGATAAAGCAAAACAGGATCAGCAGAGAAGAAACAGTATTTTTTGCAAAGAAAGGATATGGACAATGGACATAAACCTATAGGAACCTCTCAATAGAAAGGACTTTGATATGGAAGTGATCACAAATTCTAAGGTATACACTTTACTGATGATCCTCTGAGTCAGGGGTCTGCAACCTTTAAGACAAAAAGAGCCACTTGGACCCGTTTCCGAAAAAACAACAACAACTGGGAGCCGCAAAAACATTGCAACATTTAAAACAAATATAACACTACATATATTGTTTCTGGCCTTAATGCTATATATACAGGATCGTGCAGTCAGCTGTCAATCTCAAGAAAAAAGGACAAATTAATAGCTAATTAAAATATTTAATTTACAACCAGGTAACCAGGTTAATGGGACTTTTGCTCCTGAACCTCAGTGCTCAGTGTCTGCACATCAGGGCTGTAAGACGTCACCTTCATTTTCACACAGGCTTGCAAGCTGTCATCTGTGAGGCGTGATCGGTGCTTGTTTTTAATATAGTTCATGTTGGAGAAGACCTGCTCACATACATATGTGGAAGAGACCACAAGGGCCATCGAGTCCAACCCCCTGCCAAGCAGGAAACACCATCAGAGCACTCCTGACATATGGTTGTCAAGCCTCTGCTTAAAGACCTCCAAATAAGGAGACTCCACCACACTCCTTGGCAGCAATTCACCAAACTTTCACCTGCTTAAGTTTAAAAAGGGGCTTCAAGCAACTAAAAAGGGGCTTCAGGCAACTAACTCCACGTGGAATTCCACGCGACCGCGACTGCATAATCAATGCCACAAAATGCCAAAGAAAATTAACCAGGGCCCCAGTGAACCATAAATCATAATCAGTGCCTGATGTAAATAATAATTAATAATGAGGGCCCAATGTCATCCTCATCATTATAAAAATAATCCCTCTCTTCGTGCCGCCCAGCCTCCCAAGAAAAAAACCCCACTTCAAACGGTCACAAAGCACAAATTCCACGCGACTGCGACTTGCTATGCCCAATAATCAATGCCCCAAAATGCCATAGAAAATTAATCAGGGCCCCAGTGTACCATAAATCATAATCAGTGCCTGATGTAAATAATAATTAATAATGAGGCATTCATCATTATAAAAATACCGTATTTTTCGCCCCATAGGACGCTCCGTCCCATAGGACGCACCTAGTTTTTTGGGGGGGAAATAAAGGGGAAAAAATTTCCCTTTATTTCCCCCCCAAAAGCAGGTCGGGGAAACTGAACCAGGTCGAGGAACAGCGGGATGGCGGCGCTTCGCCTCCCTGCTGTCCCCCGAGCTTGTGGGGCTGGCCGATGCCTGCGGGGCGGCAGGCTGCTATCCGCAGCGTGGGGAGCCTTGCCGGGAAGTCCGGCAAGGCTCCCCACGCTGCGGATGTCTGCCTGGCAAGGGGGGCGCTCTGCTTTAGGGCACCCCGCCCGCCGAGCAGCAGGCAGACATCCGCAGCGTGGGAAGCCTTGCCGGGACCTCCGGCAAGGCTCCCCACGCTGCGGATGTCTGCCTGGCGAGGGGGGCGCTCTTCTTTACGGCGCCCCGCCCGCCGGGCGGCAGGCTGCTATCCGCAGCGTGGGGAGCCTTGCCGGGACCTCCGGCAAGGCTCCCCACGCTGCGGATGTCTGCCTGGCGAGGGGGGCGCTCTTCTTTACGGCGCCCCGCCCGCCGGGCGGCAGGCTGCTATCCGCAGCGTGGGGAGCCTTGCCGGGACCTCCGGCAAGGCTCCCCACGCTGCGGATGTCTGCCTGGCGAGGGGGGCGCTCTTCTTTACGGCGCCCCGCCCGCCGGGCGGCAGGCTGCTATCCGCAGCGTGGGGAGCCTTGCCGGGACCTCCGGCAAGGCTCCCCACGCTGCGGATGTCTGCCTGGCGAGGGGGGCGCTCTGCTTTACGGCGCCCCGCCCGCCGGGCGGCAGGCTGGTCACCTCCGCCCCTCGCCTCCTCCCCTCGCCACCGCCCCGGAGCCGCAGCAAAGGCTTTAAAGAGCCGCATGCGGCTCTGGAGCCGCAGGTTGCCGAACCCCGCTCTGAGTGAAGAGGAACACAGCAAACCTGCTCAGATATGTGGGAGGTAACTATTCGGTCTTGGTCAATCAGACCAACATGGAGTACGGACAGTTGTCTCCACTGAAATGCTACCTTGATGCTCGCCAAAGGCAAATTCAAAGCTCTGGGTGAAGTGACTAGATGTTGACACTTAAAAAGGATAAGAAGTATATACCTAGCATTGATATAATCGTATCTTGAGTATGCTTTTGCAGGTGTGATAGGAAGGCACAGAGGGAAAAAAGTATCTGTTGCATCTGAACCATCCTGACAATTCTGCCAAAAAATGCCATAGCAGAGTAAGCAGTCTAGGGATCGAACAATCCCCTAGACATGATAGGCACCTATTGTGCATTTCCAAGGAACAGAAAAAGCTGTTGAGTTCATATTTCTAAGTTCCAGCTTTCCCCAAGGATTCAGTAGAAGCATGTATGAGTGATGCATCCCTGCAAAACTCTTAAGACATCTTATAAATAAAATGTAGACAGAGACAGCAATGCAGAAGTGTTTAGAAAGTTGTGTTCAAACCAACAACTGTTCACTTAATACCAAGTTGAATTTTCCCAGTTAAAGTGGCAGACAGCATGTTTAAGACACAAAAAGAAATACATTGTGACACAAAGCACTTCCCCCACTGAGACAACAAAAGGAGAGAGCTCCATCAATGACAGGAAGCCATAGCATTCAGGAGAGCAGCTTCCATACACAGAGACAGTACCTCCAATTAACACTAAGTAGTGGTGTTCAGCAACCAGGTGTACTGTGTATTTATGTCCTGTCTGAGAGCTATGCAGATCACTCATGAGACCTAGCATAGCAAAATTAGCAGGTCATCCTATAGGTGGCTTCATCTAAACACACACATCCTGGACTCAATTTTACATATGCACTGCAAATGAATATTATGCGAGATAAACTATGATCTCAACCACTAAACCAGTAACTGAAACATGAAAACTATTTAAACCTAGATTATTAAAATGACAGTTTCAACACACAAGTTGTATCCTTTAAACAAAAACAGCTTAGATAAACTTTTAATGATAAAATTCCTCAGCAAATATGACTAAATACATCTTCTACCATAGCTTCTTTCAGCCACTGTAACAGTTAATTATTTCTGAAACAATGTTCTCCACTCCTTTAACTGTGAACAATTCTTCAGAAGGCTCTGGATTTATATAATATACCAACTATGACTGTATACAGCAATTTCATACCTTTTATGTATGACCACATTGTACTTAGGCATCTGTACGCTGTACATGGGAGATTCCATCAAACCATCTGAATCTAGTTTCTTTAGTGTATTTGCTGCAAAATTTTGCTCCAGCTATCAGTTACTACTTGATAGGCCTGTGAAATTATCTGTTTTACTACGTCAAATGAAACTTTGAAAGGCTATTTTGCTAACCCAATTTCTGGAAAGCAAGTGTTGCTAAGCAGTCACAAAATACTGATGAACAAACGGAAACCAGCAATGGTTTTCATTAAGTGCTGAGTAAGGTTACATGATAATAGAATACAATCTGCTGTAAATTAGCATATTGTCAGCTACTCAGCTACTATATAACCACTGACACTGGAAATAGCATGTAACAGAATCATTGTGAATACTCTAAAAGCTTGGTATTTGAAGCGCTACTTTAGCTCTAATGTTAAGAAAGATAAACATACTTACAGGTTGTTCCACATACAGGCTTTTCCTTCCCTTCCAGTAAGTCCCACAGATGAATCGATGCCTGTTCATACTGTTCACTCAACCTTCAACAAAAATATTAATGGAAGCATAAGATACCTCAAACCACCTATGTTGCAAAGGAGATTAATTGGATTGTTTCATTAACCATATCAGAATCATTCTGGCAATCACAATACCTCACATTCATGTCCCGTTCAGGTTCAACTAGCTTGTAAAATTCATCTAGTGTTGACAGTTCCGTCTCTGTTAATACCGGCACTCCATTTGTTCCTTGCTTTAGGTCATTTCGAACTTCATCATCGCCCAATTTGTCCAAAATAAACTGCAATTCAAGTACTGTTTTTAAACGTTTTTGCTCAGCTTCTTCTCTCATTAGTTGTTCCCGTCGAGCTGTCTTCTTTATTGTTTTTTGAATCTAGTAATAAAGTACACTAGGTTAACAATTAACTGTGACCAGTTTAAACTGTTACTCTCTCTTCACTTATGAATGAACAAAAAGTAAAATATTCCCAATTTTATCAGCATTTCAAATATTCTCAGTGTTTCCCAGAAAGTTTTATGGATGGTGGACAAACAGGTATGCCAGCTGTCTTTCTCTATTTCCATTCTTCCCAGTCCATTGCCTAAGTCCTCCACTCCCCATCATCTGTGGTTTACCACCTTTCTAGAACTGTATCTCTGCCTCAAATACTGCATTGCAGCATCATGCACTATCATCTAAAATAATACTGAAGCATAATGGAACTAGACTGCTGGAACTTATCAAAAAGGCCTAAAGAGATTCTAGAAAACCTGTTTTAATATCTGCATAATGTATGTGAAGACTACATAGGATCACATTTTTAATCTTTCAACGTTTGCGATCTCAACAATAGAAGAAAAATCAACTTTTGACTCATGTTGTCCTCCTCTATTCCTTCTTTTCAGCAGAGCTATGTCAATTTAAAACAACAACAACACCGGATAAAAGGAAAGGATTTATCATCATTTAAAAGTGGGAGTGCTTCTTTATTAGACTTCTTTTGTGCTCCTTCAAATGTAAGAAAAATCAGCCCAACACTGCTACTAGATACATAAAAGATTGGGGGGGGGGGGATTTTATCTACATCAACCATATTTTAGGAACGTCATTCACAGGTACCACATTCATTTTGACCAGCAGCACAATCCTAACTAACCATGCCTACTCAGAAGTCCTACTGAAATCAACAGGCCTACTCCCAAGTAAGTGGAATCAGGAGTGCAGTCTAAAACATTAAACATGAACAGAGAAAAAAAATCTCACTGTCCAGTTCACAAATCACAGTCAAACCATGGCTTGGGAACATGGTGAGTGCTCATTTTATTTCAACTTGCTAAAATGATTCACAGTAGTCAGTTTGCCATGACACACAAAGCAGTTTGTTGCCTCTATGCAGCCAGTGCCCTAAGTGTCGTCTGAACTGAACCATAAACTTTTTACTTACATCCTGGCTCAGGGCCATGAAACTCCTCTGCAGTTCCTTAGCAAATTCCAGGTTATTACTGACTTCTTGGTGCTTGGACACAGCATCCTGGGGGACGGAGGAAAATTAATGTTGCCTCTTTTGAAGTTTGAAAACTTGGAAGACTTTCCCAACTTTAATCCTCAAAAAAGAAATCTACTGTACGCTAGTCTTTACTTTAGTGTATAGACTTTCCTCCTAGTCATTTGCATAGAATAGTTCCATATATAGTTCCTAATGGCAGAGGAAGTAAATGTGTGTATAGATATTGTTACAATGCACCTCCGCTGAATATAATATAATAATATAAAGTATGTTATTAAGGTCTCTCATTATCTATGATAATGCAACAATTAGAACAGAATAAAAGAACAAGGGCTAAAAGAAGCCAATCTCTTATGAAAAATCTTTCAATATGTCAAGTCAAAATATTTACCAATTGGTCTTGGTTAAGGCGTTCCCCTTTGTTCATTCGATCCTGATAATCATCAAGTTTGCCCTGTAAAGAAAGAAAAAAGTTTCACAATATATATACCTCAAACAAATTTAAATGGAACTGACTGTTATATACTTTATAGAACACAGTAGTCCAGTTTTCCATGTTTCATTGTTTAACAGGAGAAATCAAGTGAAATTATTCAGAAACAAAATATCACAAGAGTTTTCTGAGATTAGGTATTTATTTATGAACCACTAGAAAACATCTGGTAAACAAACAGTACTAGGATGACATTTGTATTATTTCTTAAAATATAATATGCATTTTCCCAATTTAAAAAGAAAAACAGCTATACTGTAACCTTAAAGGGAGTAGACATGTACCGTAAGATCAAAGTTTAAATGTTTATCTGACCATGCAACATTGTATTGAACTGCTGAAATAAATGAGTTATTTATTAGCTGCTTTTCAGGGCCAGGATGTTATAAAGCAACATACAAAGAAAAGAAAGGCAACATAACAGGCAGTGTGAAGCACTAACAGATACATACTGAATTAAGCTCCAAAGTTCTCTTATAGAAACGCAACAGAAAAGGATATGGTGCTATTCCAACATTAGTCCCGTTAAAATCAATAGTGCTACTTAAGTAGCACTGAGTATGACTTAGCTGGATATTACCCTTAAGTTTTGAAGGAGTTACCGAATGCCAGAAATTAAAGAGACAAACAAATATTAACTGGAAGAGAATTCCACAACTGTGGGGCCACCAACAAGAATGCTCTGTATCATGTGTTCACCACCCTAGCAGGATACTCAAAAGCTGATAAAATTATTGAAGTTATATAATTCAGGCTGCAATCCTACACAAATTTACCCAGGAGTAAGCCCCATTCAATTCAATGGTGTTAGCTTCTGGGTAGACATGTATAGGCTTGAGCTTACAGGCTTTATATAATAGTTTAAGGAACACATTACATTTGTTTCTTTTAACTTGTTCCACAACTTTTTGAGGGTTTTTCTTCTGCTTTCCATTTTTAGCAATTCTTTGCAATATCCAACTTGTCATACACAGAGCAGAGCATTGAAATAAAGGTTACTAAAGTTGCTTACGTCCACAGATTTCAACAAGTCTTTGTCTGATATCACCCATCCTTCCCCACACAAACAGATTCCATATGCAACATTCACCACACAGAGAACCTCAAGCATTGTACCTGCCCAGGGGAATATTATCACACAAAGCAGTTTTATGAAGGCTCCTTATAGGACCAGTTATATTAAAATTAATCATTTTGCTTTAAGAAATATTGTCATCTAGTTCTTTTCTTTAGGGTAGTATACTGTAGAATCATGAGTTGCAGGAAGTATCAAAGGTCATCCTGTCCAACCCCGACAAAGCAAAAATCCATTACCATAACATTCCTGATAGGCAGCTAGCCAGCCTCTGCTTTTATCTTAAAGGAGAGTCCATCACCTCCTGAGACTATAGTAATGTAAAATGTTCTTTCTATCATTTAGTCATACTTTATTTCTAATTTGATTCTATTTCTAATTTGATTCTAGTGGTATAGGTTCTACTTCCTTGGAGTGACAGAGAAACAAATCTGCTGCATCCTTTATATGAATGTCCTTCAAATATTTGATTTTTGTATCACCTCTTAAACAGTCACTTGTTCACCCAATTTCTTCAACCATTCCTTCAGTATCATTTGCGGAAGAGACTGAAGAAAGCATGCAAGCTTGCAGCAAGATCCCCTAATCATGGTTGTAAAGTGAACATTTTACATCTGTATGAGACCAATAACCTAGTACAGTGGTACCTTGGGTTACAGATGGTTTAGGTTACAGACTCCACTAACCCAGAAATAGTACCTCGGGTTAAGAACTTTGCTTCAGGTTGAGAACAGAAATCGTGTGGTGGCGCAGCGGCAGGCCCCATTAGCTAAAGTTGTACCTCAGGTTAAAAACAGCTTCAGGTTAAGAATGGACCTCCAGAACGAATTAAGTTCTTAACCCGAGGTACCATTGTATAGTGGAACCTTGGTTCTCGATCGGCTTAGTTGACAAACAAATTGACTTCCGAAAGGCAAAAACCTGTCAGTAAGTGTTCCAGGTTTTGAACGTTTTTCAGAACCTGAACGTCCAATGCGGCTGTCAGCTATTGTTTCCAGGGCGCCTGCCCCAATTGGAAGCTGTGCCTTAGTTTTTGAATGTTTCGGGAGTCGAATGGACTTATGAAGTGGATTAAGTTCGAAACCAAGGTTCCACTGTAATGTAGTACAGTGGTACCTTGGTTTACGAACTTAATCCATTCCGGAAGTCCGTTCTTAAACCAAAGCATTCCTAAACCAAGCCGTGCTTTCCCATAGCAGCGGGGGACTCAATTTACAAATGGAACACTCAACATGTTCTGCTTCCAAGGCAAAGTTCACAAACCAATACACCTACTTCTGGGTTTGCAGTGTTCTTAATCCAAGTTGTTCATAAACTAAGCTGTTCTTAAACCAAGGTACCCCTGTAGATTTATTTTACTCTCCTACTACGAGTACACCTAGCTGCTCCACTTTTAGAAGAATTTTAGGAACAACTATAGAAATATAATGATGAAGAATCCAGGGAGTCTCCCCCTCCTGCTGCGACCAGCTCCCCTTCCCCATGTCTCCTAGAACTTGCAGAGAAATGAAACTGGAAGAGCAGGGGGTGGTTGTGCGCAGACACAGCCTGATACTTCATGGGAAAGACCCTGGAGAGGAGGCATCTTAGGAGACACTAGGAAAGTAGGCGCCTTTAGTCCTCACAACTACTTCATCAGGGCAAGACCTACTAGAAAGAGTTGCTGAGACCACTAGGCCTGAGCTGTGGTTTTTATCATTTTTGTTGCTGACTCCAGCCTTGACAGCTGATTACACCCAATTCTATCCTTTCCATTTGATTCCAGTGTTTAATGTCTGTAACAGGTGGATTAGGATCAACAAACTGAACCGTAATCCAAACAAGACAGAGGTGCTTCTGTTCAATAGATAAACCAATCTATGATAGGAATTCATCCTATTTGCATGGGGTTGCATTTCCATTGAAGTTTCAGGTATCTAGTCTAGGGTACTTCTTGATCCAGCTTGCTGAGATGTCAGGTGTTGGCAGGCGTGCCTTAACCATCTTAGCTGGTGTGCCCATTCCTAGAGCTGTCCAATGACACACACCTTAAATTATATCCAGATTTACTATTGCAATGCACTCTACATAGGCATGCTTCTGAAAAGTGTCCAGCAGCCTCAGTTGGTGCAGCCTGCAGCAGCCAGATTTTTAAACACAGCTGGTTCATCCCACAGCTGGGATCATCTTGCTAAAATAGCTACACTGGCTTCCATGTTATTTCTAGGCACAATTTGAAGTGCCGATCATAACCTTTGCAGTCCTAAACAACTTAGAACAAGGATATTTGGTGGATAGCCTGTCCTTGTCCCCCATTGTTCAGATCTTCTAGAGAGGCTTCATTGAATCACACCAGTTTCCAAGCTGTAGAAATGAAAAAGGGCATTCTGCTGCACCTAAAGTGTGTCATTCTCTCCTTCAAAAGCAGATACCTCATTTCCTTATCCCAGGCTTTGGTTTGTAAGATTATGTGTCTTAGGCTCTTGCCACTGTGTCTACTGTTAATATTTTATCTGCTCTTTTCTTACAGCTGCTATAGTCTATAGTCATTATAAATGCACAATATAAAGCTTAAAAATGTTGCCTTTATACAACTGTTTACTACTCTCAAACCTTTCAACCAAAAAGTTCAACTGGAATCAAAGCTAAGTCATCAACGTAACTATCAAGGAGCAATTTTATATACAGAATAAAGCAAGTATAAGAATATTAGTTTTAGGCACCAAATTAATTGGACATAAAGATGGATACGAACAGAAGCTTGCAAGATATACTCAATTAAACTCTATTTTCAATTTTATGCTACCATCTACTCACCAAATAGACAAGAGAGTTAAACAACCACTGTAATTTAACTTTTATATTTTTCACTGAGCAACAGATTTTGTAAAAAAATTGAAAAGCTATCTCCTTAAGAGTGAATACAATGTTCCAATAGGAAACAGCTTGCCTACATTTTTCACAGTGCAGTTTAACTTTGTGTGAAATAGTTCTCCAAAACATCCTTAGCTAGCTTTAACATTGAAAAGAAGTTATTTTCACTTTCTATTCCAAATAAAGCCTTCTACTTCCTTCACATTGACTTTTATACCTTTAACAAATACTATCTTTTCACTTGACCCGATGCAATCAAAGACACCGAAAACTGCTGTGCTTACTTCTAAATTCTATTTTTAGCATGAATGCAACCCATTTATAAATGAAAAGGAAATTATCAATTTTAACATAGAAATTTAAAATAAAATAAAATACAGTCATACCTCAGGTTAAATGTGCTTCAGGTTGAGCGCTTTCAGGTTGCACTCCACGGCGACCCAGAAATAACAGAATGCATTACTTCTGGATTTCACTGTTTGCACATACGCAGACAGTCAAATGACATTGCGCGCTTGTGCGGAAGCGGCGAATCGCGACCCACCCACCCACACACGCAGTTGCGGGTTGCGTTCGCTTCTGGATGCGAACGGGGCTCCGGAACAGATCCCATTTGTATCCAGAGGTACCACTGTATTTGCAACCTGCAAAGTATTTATTATCTGAATCAATAATTGTGGATCATATTTGATTACAAAGCAGATAAAAAAGGTAATCCTTCCTACTTAATGATGATATTTGGAGCCAGATTTAGCAACAATTTAAAATCAGTACATCCACGTCAACCATGTTAGAAAATGGCAGAGCACTGTCCCAGCAAGATTGTGTGAACAAATGCAGTGTGTGGCTCCCCTCTCTGATCTAGTTGCAGGACCCATGGTGCGAAAATCCTGCTGCTTGGTGAGGAAGGATTTTATTCAGGTCCCACACCTATCCTTCCTTAATGTCAGATAACATATGAAATTTTAAGCTATAAAAAGGGTTCTGTGTAGCCCTAGGTGATCCCCACATTTATTAAATTGAGGTGCTATTT